GGGGCGGGGCTGCCGGGACCTGTTGATCGCAGGTGTCACTGGCCTGACTGGCCCTCGGGGGCGGGGCGTGTGCGCATGCTCCGTGCGCGCGCTCGCGCTCGGAGCCCGGGAGCCTGGTCGCCTCTGCTCCAGTTCCCCTGGAGCGTCCGCGACGGCGGCGGCGGTCGGCGTGTCAGCCCGGTGTCGGCGTGAGGCGTCGCTGGGCCGGCGGGCGGTGGCGCCGTGGGAGTGGGAGGCCCGCGTCTCTCCAGCTGCCCCGCACGCTCCCCTGGCTGCGAGGGCAGAGCGCAGGTACGGCTCCGGAACTGGTCCCTGGATGGAGATCCCGCGACCCGCGACCCCCACGGGCCTGACGGGGAGACTTCGGCTCCAGCCCCGCGACCCGCTCGGCCCCCCACGCCTGGGGCGGACCCCGGGCTCCTGGCTGTGTGCCCGCGCCCGCGACCCTGCAGCGCCCAGCCCCCTGCCCGCCGTGTCCGCTCCGCCGGGGCGCCCCTGGCCGGGCCGGAGGCGCCCCGCCGACCGGGTCGTGGCGGCTCAGGCTGCTGCGTTCCAGGGCGGCCGGGGAGGACCTGCGCCCCGGGGTCCCTCAGGGCCCTGGGATGAAGACTAGGGCGCCTCCTGGGCGCCGGCCCCTCACTCCCCAGCCCACCTCCCCCCGCAGCAGCTTCCTAAAGGGGTTCACGCGGTTCTGCGGGCCTCCGTGGAGACGAGCGATGACTGCATCCGTGAGCACCTTTGGGCTGGCGGTTTCTGAGCGGTAGTAGTAATTTGCAAAGTTAATATTTAGCTTATGAACGGTCACTCCTGGGACATTCACCAAAGTATTTTAAACGTCGTTGTAGAACAGGAAGTACCTGCACAGGTGATGTAGGGAGGGTTTCCAGAGCCTGCAATCTGAGCAGGTCCTGAGGTTTTGTTATCCCGCTACAAAGTTTTCTTTATCACTGCGAAGTCTGATTAACGCTTGCAGAATGTGCTGCGAGGCGTTATTTGTCAGGCAGCAGCGTTTGCCAACTGTTTCTTTATCTGGAAAAAGACATTTTTTTGCAAGGAATTTTCAAGGCTATTTTTGAGGGATGTTTAACAGTAAACTTAAGAAGTTCTTTGTGATGAGGGTCAGATTCGCTTTTACTTCTGGTTTCTAAAGAAAAGCATTGCTAATTCTCAATATTTAAAAGGAGAAGCAACTGCTTACACAAAAATTCTGATTGAAATGAACTTTTGGCTAAGTTGACACTTGTTAGTTTTATTTTCCCTCTCTTTTTAAGTTCCATGATGATGGTCTAGGGTAGGCAAAGGTCCTTGTCCTGTTAAGGAGAAATTAAACAAACCTTATTTTGCAAAAGTAATATACAATTTGCCATTGTCCTAAGAATTCCAAATAGACACACTGTAGGTAGGAGTTAATTATAGCCTGCAAAAACAAGGGTTTTGTTTTTGTTTTGTTTTAGAGGATTTTAAAATTAGCTCTTTGGACATTTTGACTAGGTTCATGATTAGTTGTGATAAACCATAAAAGTGAGTTATTTAAATTGGTTCTCAAATTAAACTTACTGGTAGTTTTGTGTATTTTTTCCTACAGTGTCGAAAAATAAGTGAACAAGAACAGACCTGTGTTTTTCCTTATGAATTTTTGACAAAACTAATTTGTAAATGTATGTAGATTGCATATTATTCATGGGATTTGATACTAGTAGTCAATCCATTAATAATCATTTTCTCTAGAAGATACAAAAAGTAGTTTTTAAAAAGATAGCTATTTTAATGGGGTAGGGGCATTCTTTCCAACTTAGGTTATTCTTTTCCTTAAAAAAAAGGAAATCACAAAACTCTTATACATTTAGTATGTATGATGATTCAATATATTTTTATATTATTTAGTGTCAAATACATGTTTAAAGTGTATATATAGTATCAAGATATACAATTTTGGAATCATATGGTTTAGAAGTTTGTTTTAGGAAGTCAAAGTTAAAATATGAAAATTCTGATCTATTTGAAGGTGATGTACACATTTAAAAGTCAAAGTCCGAGTTATTTTCCCTGCTGGAACTGTTTGGAACTCACTCACCTACCATTCTAGAGAGGACATTGCTTTACCCTACAATTTTCCAAAAATATGTTTGAAATCTATAAAGTGGTAGATTAAGCGATCCTACAGAGATGTTTACTTACTAAAATACTTAGATCTTGTTAATTGACAGCTTTAACCATAAGGTGCTTCTTAATTATAGACCCCAAAGACGACCTACAGCAAGATAGCTTATACATTGCGTCTGGAAGGATTTTGAACATAGGGTGTGCTAGGTGTGCTAGGGCCCAAAAGATTGTCTATCTGGACTCGTATTGCTTGTGCGCTCTTGGATTAAGGGAAGAATGTGCTTATTATGTCATCTTTGGAGAGTGAGCTAGAAATTACTGATGATACAAATGTAGAGTTAGTATATTATTATTAATGTTGTACAGATGCAGTGATTTTAGAAAATGTTTCATTACAGTATATGCACATCACAGGAGTAAGAAAGGGATGTGACACATTCTACCACAGATAAGATTTTCAAAGGTTATTTAAACTTTATATAAAATCCGAATCTTGGTAGGTTATTAGAAGTTTTATTTTTAATAGGAATACTCCGTATATAGGATATTTGGCAAAAAGTATCTGTTCTTTGCTTTTCCAAGTTAACCATCTTACATCAGGAGCTCTTAAGCTGGGATCCATAGTTAAAACCGTGGTCTGTGGTTAGAAATGAATTTTAATATAATTGGTTTTCTTTGTGATCTTATGATTTCTTTTTTTTTCCTATTTAATCCTATGAATTTAACTTTTTGCATTTACAAACATTATTCTGAGGAGTCCATTCCCACATGCCGTGCCCAAAGGCATCTATGACACACACAAAAATGCTACAAACCATTCCATCTGGTTGAAGAATGTTAGTTTTCCATGAGTCACTTCAGAGAAGTCGCTTCGTATATTCATATTTGTAATTTATCAAAAAATAAAATGGTATGCAAATAAACCATATTTGAATATCTTAGCTGTTTTAATGAACAAAATCAGTTATTTGAGTTGTCATGGTATTTTGAAATTAATTTGGAAATAATTACATCAGTCTTCTATTTTGCAAATATTGACCTGCAACAAGCAGTTTGAAGAAACACTTTTCCTTTGGAATTTGGAAGTTTTTTATTCACCTTTTGTGCTTTTCCAAGTTAGCAAATTTATTTAGTAAACATTTATTGACCTATAGTTGTATGCTAGTAACTAGAGAATCAAAAATTAATAAGACAATGTTAAAGTGGTCAGAAATATGAATTCTTCCGTTTCTAACCTCATCTCTGGCTAGTCCTAATCCTCCCCGACCTGCATTGAGTTTCCAAAGATAAATTGTCTTTTTTCTTATACTCTTGCCTTTGTAAGATGCTGCTTCTCTTCTCTTCCCATTACCTTTTCACCTTCCCAGGGACCACATCACACCTGGGAAGTATTCTCTGATCTAGTAAAGGACCTTAGGTTACTTTATCTGTATATTACCACCATACTTGGTACATTCTTTTGTTAAAGATTTACACTGTATCACATGTTAAGTTTTCTTAAAGTAGTTGTATAGCTCTATAAATGAAATTGCTTTTCTACTAAGAATGACTTATGAACAGATTTTAGAATTTAGAAATTGATACTTTATTGTACAGTTTATCTGACCCCGCTAATCTGGATTTAAGGCTATAGTCAAGATTGATACATCAGTTTAAGGAAATGGAGAAAGATAGCAAAATGGGATATAAAATATCATGTAGTACAGCTTCTAGTTTTTGTGCAAATGTTTGTTTATATTATTAAAATCATTTTACATTAAAGATGCTGTTTTGCTGTCATTATAATCAGCTTGCATTTACTGAGTGCCTGCTATGTTTTGGGTATTTATTAGGTGTCTTATACATGGTTTATGATTCTTAGAATAATTCTATGAACCTTTTTTATAGATCATGATTATAGATGTTGGAACTGATATGATTTTACTGATTGAGTAGTTGAGTAATATGCTGTGTTGCTGGATGCTGAACCCGAGGTGGAATAAATAATCGTGGGAATCAGGAGGTCAGTGTCAGCGCATGGACTCCATCCTTGTCAGGAGCCTATCTTTGTCCACCAGACTCGTTAGGCTTTGGGGTCTTCTAAACTTCTCAGCCTGCATGATAAACTCGCCCCTCTCATGGTGGCCCTGTCTGTGTGTAGGTGAGCAGCCTGTTTGGACCCACGAAGGTGTTTTCCTGCTGTGTGGGCCTGTGAGCCCCCTCCCCCTTTGTCAGTGTAGCGCTGACACTGAGCTCGCTGCCAGCTGGTGGGAAACTCTCCTGTCCCTTTAATGCCTCTGTCGCCTTTGGTAGAACCCTGATTTTAGAGAGTTTGTTGACTGAGCTTCGTTCAGTCAGTACTTAATGAGCGCCTGCCATGTATTAGGTGCTGTTCGAGGGGCTTGGGACCTGCTTTCCAATCTAAGAGGACTGGGAGAAGATACAACAGTAAACATGTTAGCCAGTTACATGGTGTACCAGCTGGTGAAGAATGCCAAGGAGAAAAGCACGTGGAGAGGGTGGCGGGTTGCAATTTCAGGTAAGTGTAGGCCTCATTTACTATAGAAGGTGATTTCTGAGCAACGTGTTCATGAAGGGAGCCAGGGGGAAGCCACGTGGGTGTCAAGGGCAAGTGCGACCCAGGCCCTGGCTCTAGGAGTAACAGTGTAGCACGAATGGAGGAAGTGAAGGGAAAGTGGTTAGAGGTGGGGTTAGAGCTGAGGGGTGCACAGGGGTGGCGTAATGAGAAACACAGATTTGGTCTCTGGCCCCATTTCCTGTCACAGCTTCTGAAACCCTTGGAATATTTAGAAATGATAAATATTTTCTGTGTGCTGATGAGATGATTGGTGGCTGGGGCTCCTGGATACATCCTTCAGCTTGGGGGCTGGTTGCCTGGGGAACCAGCCACGTGATTAGAGGAATGGAACTTTCAGCCTCCCCGCTCCACCTCCAGGGAGGGGAGAGTGGTGGAGGTCGAGTTAATCACTAAAGGCCAATGATTTAATCAGCCATGCCTACGTAATGAAGCTGCCATGAAAAATCCTAACTGAAGGGGTTCAGGGAGCTTTAGGGTTGGTGACCGCAGGAAGGTGCTGGGAGGGCAGAGAAGCGCTATGCCCCTGCCCGCGTGCCGGGCCTGTGCATCTTTTCCATCTGGCTGTTCCTGCGTTGTGTCCTTTTATAATAAATCTGAAATCTAGTCAGTAAGCTGTTTCCCTGAATTCTGTGCCATGCTAGCAAATTACTCGAACTGATGGAGGAGGTCACAAGAACCCCGATTTATAGGTGGTCGATCAGTCCAGGTGACGACTTTGGCCTTGTGGTTGGTGTCTGAAGTGGGAGGGCCATGCAGCGGGACTGAGCCCTTGACCTTGTGTCTCTCACTCCAGGGAGATAGTGTCAGAATCGAGTTAAATTATAAGACACCTGTTGGCGTCCCCTGACAACTGGAGAATTGCTTGTTGTAGGGAAAACCCACACATCTGGTCTCAGAAGTGGCATGAGAGTATCGAGGCAAGTCGTTTTTGTTTTAGGTGGTAAAGGGTCTCGCAGAGCTCTGCTGCAAACCCCTGAGTTGGGGACCTCTAGTTCCTTCCTCAACCAGGCTGGGGAAGTCTCAGGAGAACCAGAGCACTCAGCGAGCGTGTGGTCGTGGGCACTGCCCTACTTTATGACAGCGAGGGGACGGAGAGAGGGTCAGCCAGCGGGGAAGGAACATGGAGCGAAGTCTGCTGGAAACCAGGCGCCGGCTTCCCTCCGGCGGGGACCACAGGACACTCATTCCTGCAGAAGTCAACTGTGATGACATGTAAAATGCTATGGACCGGGAAGCTTCTTGGAGACTCGGTGCCTTAGGTTTTTACCGGGTGTGGTCACATAGACATCCTCTGCCGAGGACACATCAAAATGCCAGGCTTCCTGGAGGAAAGCAGGTGTTTGGGATAAGCCACATTGTTTGCATAGTTTGGCGCAGTGACCAGTCTGACCAGTCAGATACTGGGATCCTCCCAGAATCCCAAGTGTCCAGGGCTTAAAATGTTGAAAGCAGGTTTTCCTAAGGATCACAGCTTCTGGCCTGCTGTGCTGTTTTTTCTTTTCCTTTTTTATTTTAAAGTAGCTTATTCAAATATAATTTACATACCATGCAATTCGCTCATTTAGTGTCCAGTTCAGTAGTTTTCAGATAGTCACAGAAATGTACACCCATCACCACAATTTTAGAACATTTTCACCACTTCAGAAAGAACCCCCGTATCCTTTCTCTCACTCCCCACCCCCCATCTTACAGTCCCACTTCTCCAGCCTAAGCATCCGCTGATCTCCCATCTGTAGACGTCTCTGCTCTGGACGTTTTGTGGATGGAATTCTATAGCATGTGTACTGTCGTGACTGGCTCCTTTCCCACAGCAAAATGTTGTCAGTGTTCATCCAAGCCGTAGCGTGCATCAGTACTTCCTTTTTATGGCTGAGTAATATTCCATCGTGTGACTACACACACACACACACACACACACACACACACGCGCGCGCACGCGCGCGCGCCTGCGCGCGTTTTGTTTGCCACTCATTAGTTGATGAACCTTTGGTTGTTTCCACCTTTCAGCTGTTAGGAATGTTGCCATGCTAGCTCTTTTCTGTACAGCCTCACAAATATTTATTGAAAGAATAAATATAGAATCACGTTTGCATTCTTGGGATAAACCCCGCTTGGCTATTATTCTTTTCAACAGCATGGACAGTCTCTGACTAGTGATGCTCTCTTTGACTTAGGAGTTTTTTACTTTACGATGGTGTGAAAGCGATGCACACTCGGGAGAAACCGTCCTTTGAAGTTTGACTTTGGATCTTTTTTGGGCTAACGGCATGTCGCACCCTGCTCTCTGGTGATGCCAGGCCGCGAGCCGCAGCTCCCTGCCAGCCGGGCCACCATGAGGGTAAACAGCTGCTATCTGCAGTGTGTTCATTGTGTCAGGGGGTCTTCCCACCCGCAGGCTCAGGTAAGTGTCCCGAGCACGGTTAGGGGCGGCTGGCCAGGCTCTGTGGTTTGGTAGGTCAGGTGTAGTAAATGTACTCTTTTGATTGACAATGGGTTTGTTGAGATGTAAGACAAGGAGCATCTGTCCATCATTCTTTTGTCACTTTGAGAGATGATGTTTGCTAGTGTTTTATTTATAAGCTTTGCGTTTACCATCGCAAGTCACATTGGTCTGAGGTCTATCATGTTTTAATAGGGTTATGTTAGCTTCATGAAATGGTTTGGAGTACCTTGTATTTAATTTTCCCTGTGGCCTGCAGTAATTTAACTTTAGAATTAACAGTTCTTTAAAGTTTAGATAAAATTTAACTTTGAATCCATCAGATCCAAATGCCATTTTCAGTGGGAGAATTCTTGTTTTCTCTCCATTTTCTTCTAAAGTAGTCTTTTAATTTTTTCTACTTTTTCTTGGGTTAATTTTGTTAATTTGTATTTTGCTGGGAAATTATCTGTTCCTTTAGATTTTAAAAGTTACCGCCATAATATTTAAGTGATATTATTTTCCAGTTCTTTGGCTGATTATGTACCTGTGGTCATTGCCCTTTTATCAGTACTATGGGGTTCATATTTATGTCTTTCCTTTTTCCCTTAATCAGGCTTGTGAAGATTTTGTCTGTTTCATTAGGTTTTACAAAAGATTACTTTTGGGTTTATTTTTTTATTTCTATTGTTTGCCTGTGAATGGGCTTGAACCTCCCCCTCTCTCTCTCATTTAAGGTTTCCCAGTTCCCTCCCTCCCTGCCTTCCTCCCTTCCTTCTTTCCCCCATCATCAAGTCCGTCTTATATGTGTGTGCCCTTTGGTCTGCGCCTTCCGTTTGTGGTATAGGATAGCTGCCTGTCTTTCATAGTGCTTGTACCCTGCAAGTGTCTGGTTATCGTAGTAACATCTACGTGAGAAGGGTGAGAGCACTGCTGTCAGTCGCGTGTCTTCTGGGATCTCAGGGAGCAGAGGTGGGGTGTAGGGGCCGATGTGGAGGGAGGCAGCTGGGGAGTTGGTTCCAAATAGAACTCCTGTCGCCTTGTCCAGAGGCAGGATCTTTCCAGGTCCTGCTGTCCTCTGTTCTGTAGATTAGGGGTGAGGGCAGAGCATACGGGGCCGTGCAGGTACCTGTACCTGTCACCACTTCCCAACCTGGCCATGCCCTAGTGTCTTCCTGGCACTGGGACCTCCCTTACCACCCAGATGGCACTGGGCTGGCAGCAGCACTTCACGCTTCATTGCATTGTGCGGGGCGGGGATTCTCTGCCAGAGCAGCGTGAGGAATGAATGGATGGACGGACGGACGGACGAGGTCACGACTAGGAACTGCTTTCCCGTCGGCCATCCTGGGCCCCTCCCACTGAAGGAGCCAGCTACTTTCTGTGTCCTTAAGGTTCTCCCTGCTTCTCATTAGCCTACCTGTAGCTTTTGTATCATCTCCAGCGTTGGGTCGGAGCGGGGACCAGGAGCCCATACTTGTTTGGTAACTTGCACAGGAGTGGAAGCCTCGATATTTTTAAATGGTCTGTCTGTGTCTGTGGCCCTCACCAAGCAGCTCATTAAGGGTGGGGAGGTTTTAAATACCTTAGCACAGTTCATGGCACAAATCTGGTGCCTAGCAAGTGATTGGTGAAAGAATTTATTTCAAAAGGATTCTTCCATTAAAAATATGCATTTACTACCAATACAGAGGTCTTTGAATGTTAAAATTTGTGACTACATTTATTAAAAACTTACTTTGCATGAAAGGTTTGGGGATCGTTTAGATCACTTTAGAGGAGGTTGCAACCCATAGAGTGAAAATAAAAAGAAGAAAACAACTAGCATTATATAGTGTTGTGGTTTTTTTATTTTTTATTTGTTCGTTTGTTTGTTAATTGGGGAATTGGGGGAGGGGAACAGTATTGGGAATTGGGTAGGGGGACCAGCCAAGTTGTTGTTCTTCAGTCTTCGTTGTGGAGGGCGCCAGTCGCCATCTGGCTTCCCATCAGCAGCTCATGGCCTCTAAACTCAAGGTGCCGAGTCCAATCTTAGTTGCAGGTGGGCGTAGCCACCATCCCATACGGGAGTAGAACCAGCAGCCTGTTGTTAAGAGCACCCTCTATCCAGTGAGCCATCTGGGCGACAGCTCAGCCCAAGATGCCGAGTTGTCTTAGCTGTGGGCGGGTGTAGTCCGCCATCGAACAGGCAGTCTTGTTACACCAGCTGAGCCATCCTGCCACCTGTTGGCAGCTCAGCAGCAGCTCAGCTTGGGCGCTGCGTCACTGGTCCATGTGGGAATCAAACCAGTGGCCCTGTTGCTCAGAGCTCTCGCTGTTAAGCTAACTCTTAACCAGCTGAGCCCCTCGGCCGGCCCCATAATATAGTGTTTTATAACATTTAACTTATGGTAATCAGGGCCAGTATTTTTACCCCCATTTTATAGATGAAGAAGTTATGAATCAGAGATGACAAGGATTGTCTATAACCAAGCAGCTAATAGGTGATGTTCTAATATGTGGGGCTGGAGACAAAAGCCTCCTGACTTTAATTCTTTAGACTGATGCTTTCCTTCTTTATTGCTCAGTGCTTTGCTGCCTTAGAAGGTGTTTGATCAGTGGTACTGACCTGACCTGAGCCGTTCCATCTCTCATCTTTTTGTGCTGTGCAAATGAAACTCAATGACTTTCACCCAGAGTTAAAGCCGAAGTCTTTACAAAGGGCTTTGAGGCCCTGCGAGGTCTCTCTCTTTTCCACCCTCCCTTTTCATTTGCTCCCCTCTCTGTTCACATTTCTCTTGCCAGCATCTTCTTACTATCCTTCCAACATGTCAAGCAGGCTGTTCACTCTGGCAGGAAGGTGGCACCTTCACCTCCTTCAAATCTTCATGCAGTGGTAACTTTCTCGATTAGACTTTCCGTGATTCCTATTTAAAAGGGCAAACCATCTCACATTGTACAGTTGACCCTTAAGCGATGCAGAGGTTAGGGATGTCAACCCCCTTCCTGAGGTCAAATATCCGTGTATGACTTTTGACTCCCTCAAATTGAACTACAGTCCCTTGGTGTCCATGGGGGATTGGTTCCAGGACCCCCACAGATACCAAAATCCGTGGATGCTCAAGCCCCTTCCATAAAATGGGGTAGAACAATGCGGACAGTTGACCCATCCAGATTCCCAACCACGGATCAAATTACTGTTTTAGATCTGCGGTTGGTTGAATCATGGATGCGAAACCCAGGAATACAGAGAGCCGTAAATTTATTAAAACAAATCTGCGTGTGAGTGAACCATGCAGTTCAAACCCGAGTAGTTCCGGGGTCAACTGTATACACTTGTTCAGCCCTTTTCTTGCACTTTCTGTTAGCCCTCAGCACATAACTCTTCTAGTACACGCTACAGTTTATCATTCATTGTATTATTGTCGGTCTTTCCTCATTATAACAGTAGTTCCAGTGCCTGGCACAGTGCATGGCTCAACATATGTTGTCGAATGAATGAATGCTGGAAGGAAATTTAATTGTTTAAACAAATTTGTTACTAATACTTGATAAACACCTTTTAATCAGGAGCCTGTATTTGTAACTGATGTGGAAATTTACTGTAAGATTTGTTTATCAATTTAATGTTTTTTTCTGAGTCTTAATGCATATCAATTTACATAAAATTTGATTTGTTTGTTTTTTAGGAAAATGATACGGCTCTGTGTAAGATATATAGCAGTCTAATCTCTGCATATGCATTTGCTTTAATAAACAAAGCAATTTAATGTTGACAGCAAAGTTCGTATTTTTCAAAATACTACCTGAAAACTAATTTAATTTTAGTTTTCTGTAGAATATTTTCCTTATGACTCCATTTATGAAAGTAGGTGGTGATTTTTTTGTTTGTTTTTTATTTTCACATTTAAATTTATTTGACATTGTTTGAGAAGTTTAACCTCTTTGATTTACATTAAAGCTGAAAATTCTTATTTTACACTAGATTTCATTAGTTTTAAAATGATGTAGCATGGTAACACCTACAGAAATATTTTTGAAACTTAGCAGTGCTTTAAACCAGGCTTGGTATTGTGCAGATTCGATTCTCTTTACAAGTGGAACCAAATAATCTCTATCACCTACTTACTTGTTTTCAATGTGCAAAAATATTCTATTTTTATTTTAAATTATACTTGACATACAATATCATATTATTCTCAGTTGTACAACATAGTGTTTTGACATTTGTATACCTTTTTTTTTTTTATCTGAGCCATCCTGCCACATGTTGGCAGCTCAGCAGCAGCTCAGCTCAGGCCGGGAATCGAACCGCTATTGCTCAGAGCTTGCACTCTTGAGCAAGCTCTTAACCAACTGAGCCACTCGGCCAGCCCCTCGACATTTGTATACCTTATAAGTGATCGCCACGTTAAGCCAGTACCCATTTGCCACCATACAAAGGTTTTATGATATTATTGAATATATTCCCTATGCTGTACATTCCCTCACGTGACTTAGTTTATAACTGGAAGTTTGTACCTCTTAATCCCTTCACCTTTTCCGCACACCCCTTCACTCCCCTCCCAAAGGCAACCATCCATTTGTTTTCTGTAGTGTTTGATGTCACACTGATATTTTTAAAAAGTTAATGATGAACTTTCATATTTTCGTATTTTAGAACATTAGTTCTAATTCTTTTATGGTTACATATTCACTGTGTTAAATATATATTCAATGTTTGTGTCTAAAAAGCAAAGCAGGGATTTTCTTGATTAGCCTTTACCTTAAACATTTCTCTTTTTTCTTGTAGATTTGCTTTGAGGTCACGTGGATATGAAAGATGGTGTCAGCTTTAATATCTTCACCCGGGAGAGAGACAACCTTCTTTCTTATTAAAAGACCATAGGGAGAGGAGGTGACCAAAGGAATCATGCCAGATGCCAACTCTCCATCTTTTTTACATTGTCGAGACAAATGGCTTGTGCATTAAAGAAAATGATTTGTTCATCGACATTATTTGTAGCAGTTTAAAAGAAAATTTTTTTCATCTTAAACTCTGCAACTCTCATAAAATTTAACACATATAAAAATCTTTAAGGCCTTGTTGAAAATACCCTTCATTCTTTAGCTTTTAGAACTTAATGTTTATGGGCCGTGTTTTTACTTGACAAAGCTCTCAAAATTCACAGCATCAGCAGAGATATGGACCTGAAAACGTATGTTATTGTAATAGACTGCAGTGAATTCAAGCGGACAATTCAAGATACCGTTCATTTTATCATCAGAACTATCACATAAATATATAATTCGTAGCTTTAATGCAAACAGAGTTGCTTGGCAATGGCCTGGGTGAAATTTCTGCGGAAGCCTGGTGGCAACCTGGGGAAGGTCTACCAGCCCGGGAGCATGCTGTCCCTGGCGCCTACGAAAGGCCTGCTGAACGAGCCCGGACAGAACAGCTGCTTTCTTAATAGTGCTGTGCAGGTGAGGCAGCAGTTCTTGTTACATTTTCAAAAGTGATTTTTCAGGAAGTCCTGTTTCCTAATACTTCTTCAGCTTATAAATTGAGAATAAAGTTATTGACTAGAATGACTTTTTACTATCACTTTTAATGATGGCAAAAATATTATGACTGGGCATTTTGGTTTTTATGACAAATGGAAATGGTTTTTTTTTTTCAGCAGAATCATATGATGATTACTATGATATAAAAAATATCTTTAGGTTTAAAATGATGACTTTGGGACCCTTCCATGCGGTCACCACTCTGGTCCTGGCTAGTGGGCCCCGCTGACATTAAGTGCTGTGAGAAATGCAGGAAAGTCATTTTTGAGTGGCACCAGCTACAAGGAACCATCATACACAGAAAGCCTGGGAAATGCTTTAGAGTGAAGGAAGCTGAGAGAACGGGCTTCTGCCATTTCAAGTCTTTTCCTGTCGCCCATTTTCCAGTTTGCTTTTTACATTTCCCTTTGTTTCTTTTGTTTGGCTCTCAACATGCTGCATGCAATTTGGAGAGATGAAAAGCATATTATAACAAGAGAGAATTCTGAGTAATGACACTTACATGGTAAAGAAAATGGAGAAGTATTCCTATGGGGATGCATTTTTTAAGGAAATGAACATTCCACTGACGTTCACTGCGAAGGCTATTTATCCTCGTCTACGCAGTTACCGTTTGTGGTGCCCGTCACTCCTTTGTGTAGATCCAGCTTCCCGACTGGCATCATGTCTCCTGCTTGAAGACCCCTTTTAACCTTCCTTGTAGTACAGGCCTATGGGTGATGAATTCTTCCATCTTTTGTGTGTCTGGGGAAAAATCTGTTTCATCTTGTTTTTGAAATCTATTTTCACTCATTAAAGCAGTCTAAGTCGACAGTTTTTCTCTTTCAGTACTTTAAAGATTGTGCTCCTCTATATTCTACCTTGAATTATTTCTAATGAAAAACTGCTGTCATTCTTATCTTTGTTCCTCTGTATGTAATGTGTCTTTTTTTGTTCGGCTGCCTTGTAGATTTTCTCTTTTTCCCCAGTTTAAAGCAATTTGGTTATGTTGTGATTTGACATAGTTTTCTTCACGCTTCTTGTATTTGGTTTATTGAGCATCTTGGATCTGTGGGTTTATAATTATAATCAAATTTGGAAACTCTCTGACATTATTTCTTTAAATTTTTCTGTCTCTCCTTTCCTGGGGGGACTCCACTTACAGATATAGTCGGTTGTCATAAATTGCAGGAACAGCGAGTAGTTGGCATTCATTGCCTGCCAGTTATGTCCTGGGCACTGCTCTACACACTTTCCATAGCATTACTTATTTAATCTTCACAAGGACGCTGCGAGGCAGCCACAGTTCTCCCCATTGTTAGATTTCAGATTGCTCAGAATGATTTTAAGTATTGGACTGGTTTACTTAAACCATTACAGTAATTTGTTTTGTTTTGTTTTTGTCTTTTAGTAGCAAATGATGAATGGATAATTGCAGCTAACAAATTCAGGTTACCTTTTAACTGCGGCCTCCTCCCATGCTGTGTCAGCGCTGTGTCCACACAGATTGCCCCCCTTTCAGTCAGCACACAGTGACCCCACAGGCCTCGGCTCATCCCCTTTTCTTGCCTCTGTGTACTGCCCTTATTTGGTATACCCTGGTTTTCAACTCCAATTATATTTCCTTTCTAAATTGCAGTTTGTTCCAAGTATTATAATCACTTCCTCTTTCAGGTGTCTGCCAAGTCCTCCATTCAGGACGCCATGTTTCCTGTGCGTGTAAAATCCTCTACCCAGGAATTCGTTTCTTCTTACTCTGTGCCTGTCGTGGTTTTTACATGTGAATCAATGGGAATATTTTCTGAATCCGCCCTGTATACATGCACTCAATGTATATAACAGTTTTATATTTGCTATTGGTTTTAGTGGTCGTGTATGTCTGATTATGTACAAGAGATTCAAAGGAGTTATTAGCCTTCTGCAGTTTTAAAAACATTTAAATCTCTTTTATCACAGTGAGAAAAGCCTTACTGTAGTCTTTCTTCATGTCTCACTATTTCTTAGGTTTTATGGCAGCTGGATATATTCCGAAGAAGCTTACGGGTTCTGACTGGACATGTCTGTCAGGGAGATGCCTGCATATTTTGTGCATTGAAGGTAACCTTTTAACTTAACGGTTCTGAAGAACTATTAATTGTCTCTCCAAAAATCGAATTGTATTTGATAGTTTAGTTTAGTTGACATATTTGTTTTGCTTATTTGTATTAGAATTAAAGTTGATTGTGAAGTGATTGAGTTTTGAAGATGAATTCTTAAAGTATGAGTTAATCAGGTTTATGTTTTCATTTCCTACTTTTATATAAGGACAGTTAAAGTTAATATTCTAAATGGTATAAAATTGTTAGGAACATTGCATTTTTCATTATTTTGAAATAATTATGCATTTTAACAAATACTTTTGCACTGCGGCTGGATTCTGGGCACTGCTGTAGTTACTGAGGACACAGCAGTGAGCAAAACTGAAAAAACCAAAACGTTCTCATGGAGCTTATATTCTTTAGAGGAGGAGAAAATCAGTAAGCAAAATAGAAAGTATGTTAGTTAGAGGTAATAATTGCAAATGAGGAAAAATAAATCAGGGAACGGGATTAGAGCTGAGTAGCCAGGAAGGCCTCACTGAGAAAGTGACATTTAAATTACAACCTGGGGAAGGTGACAAAGTGGAAGAGAGCCTTCAGGCTGGAAAGCCTGGTGCGGAAGCTTGGTGAGCGAGGGGCGGTGGTGGGAGCTGAGCTCAGAGGTAAGGTGCAGAGTGGCGATTAGAACACGCTGCGGATTCTTTATTACTCGTCCTGTCAAACTGTGGAGTGTAGTTCCCTGAATATGGACTGGCCTTCGCGATTCATTGCCATCAAATAGGATGTGGCAGGAATGATGCTGCAGACATCAACGTGAGGGTAGATTAGAAAACGTGCTAAAACTCCATCCACCTGGCCCTGTCTGTCAGGTGGTCATTCCCGGAAGTGGCTGCCATGCTGTGAGGCAGTGAGGCTGGCCACAGCTGCAGCAGGGGTCCCAGCCGACTGGCAGTACCAACAGCTAGCGTCAGCTGCTAGATGGTAGTAAGCGACCTTGAGATGATTCAAGGTCCCAGCGTGCCCTCTCTCCCAAATGACACCAAGTAGAGCAGAATAGCGCCGTCCACCCAAATTGCAGCTCTGTCATCAAAGGAAATGTTTTTAGTAGCTAGGTGTTGGGGTGCTCTGTCATGGAGTACTAAATAAGTGGAACAGGAGTCCGGATTCTGTGGGGCCTTCTCGGCCTTTGTGACGACCCTGGCTTTTCCTCGTTGGTGATGTAGGAAGTGGGATTGTTTTGAGTGGAGGAATGATATAATCTGTTTAAACTAGATGGACTGTTTGGACTAGATCCCTTTGGCTGCTTGGATGGGAATATAGACGAGACAAAGGCAGAAACAGGGAGTCCAGTATAATTAGCAACTCGTTTATGTCATTGAAATCTTTGGCCAACAATTTAAGATTTTATGTACACATTTTCAGAGATAAACATTTCATTTTATACTCTTGAATATTGTTCACACACACACACACACACGAACACAAAAAGACATTTTCATGTTTTTATTTTGATTTATGTTCCTGAAAAGGCTGTTTGAATAAATCATCATGGCTTCTCTATTATAGAACATGGCAAAATAAGATTATTGTTACAGTATCACATTTTATTTACTTTGCAGTAAATTTTGAATATTTTGTCTAATTGTAGAAACTAGTACAGTTAAATTTCCTAGCCCAAATCTTTTCCAGCCTTACACAGTCCCCTGCCTCTGCCCCCTGCGTGCCCGCACATGCTCGCTCTCTCTCTCTCTCTCTCTCTGTCTCTCTCTCTCTGTCTCTCTCTCTCTCTCTCTCTCTCTCTCTCCACTTTAGCCAAACTGGCCTTCTTGCAATTTTTCAGAACTGGCTTCCATCTCTGAGTGGTTTCATTGTTACTCCTTTTGTCTAGAATGCTTTTCTTCCAGATGGCCTCATGGCTAACATCATCATCATCACTATTATTATTATTATTATGATGCGTCTCCTCAGATGCTGTTTTTCCACCAGCGAGGCCTTCCCTGACTGCCCCAGGTCAAGGGTTAGCCCCTTCTCCCTGCTGTCCCCAGCTTCTCTATCCCTGTCACTCTCCTTTAGTTTCTTTCTTGTATTTCTTTATTTTTCTCTGTTGGAATTACCACATTTTGACATTCTATGTGTATAATGACTTATTCGCCTTCTCTTCATTAGTACAATTAGAATGTGTGCCCCATGAGGGCAGGATCTTGGCTTTGTACTGTAGAACGACGCTTTGCATATACTGGCGATCGACAAACAGATGGGTGCCAAGTGAATGAATGACAGGCTCGTGCAGGAGTAACATTCTTAAATGTTACCTGGAAAAGTTAGTTGCCGGAGTAAGAAATGACAACTAACAATATTTTTCATTTTTTAGTATTTGTAATTATAGCTTTAAAAGCTATATCTGGATATCTAATATCATTTGGCATCTTTATTTTTAAATTTCTTATTTATTTGTAAATGCAATTCACTTATAGTAGTGGAACAGATTTTTGAAATATTTTTGTAGCCTGCCATCTGTTGATCTTAAAAATTTGTTTTTTGAAATGGCATACCTCTTGAGCTAATTAATACAGATCTTAATATGACTCATCTGTATTTGGTGAGTTGTCCCTGAAAACCTCCTTTTCCCTACTTTCCCTCACTTAAGATGATTGTTGTAAAACTGGAACTTATTAAAAAGTTTTTCTTGCTTAAATTCAATAAGGAAAATAGAAAAAACAGATTAACACCTGTAATAATAGGTCCCTGAATGATGCTTCCACAGTTTCTTAGGCTTAGGATAGAGATAATTCTCAAAGTGAGGAAAACCGATAACTTGAAAGCAAACATTTTTAAACAAATTAAAATTAACCTTTTCTCTGGTTCCTCTTACAAAATGTACAGTTTCATTTTTAAAAGAAAATTTAATAATAGTGGGAAATTGCACTCTGTTGAAGTTGTCTAAGTATTGTTTTTTAAAACAGTTTGTCATTTTTTGAGGCTTACTTAAGAAGAAACAAAAATAATTCTAAAAGCTCATTTAGGCTATTTTAATTTTTTTTTTATTAAGACTCCTGAGTTCCTGATTTTTATGTGAGTAGATGTTTATTTTTGATTAACATAATTTTAATTCCTAGAGTATAATTTTAGATTTAAAGCATCTTATCTCAAAACTCTTCCATAAACCTGTATCAAAATCAGCTGGGGAACAGTTTAAAAATGGCGCCCCCCTACCCTCCACCCCATCCCAGCTCAGGCTTAGTCAGGCCTGAGGACTCCACACATTTCATTCTCACCCACACTGACATTTGATTTAGAGGCTGTTGCAACCGTTTGTACACGACTGATAAGTAGAATTCGTTTTCATATGGAATTTTAGAGCAAGAGACTGTTTTGTATTAGTTCCTGAGTGTAGTGATTGGAGTTTCACCATGTCGTAATGAAATTATTTTGTAACCGTTGACATTAAGCTCCCGGCTGTTCTTGTTGATTCCCAGACAATATTTGCGCAGTTCCAGCACAGCCGGGAAAAAGCCCTTCCCTCGGATAACATCAGGCACGCCCTGGCCGAGAGCTTCCGGGACGAGCAGAGGTTCCAGCTGGGCCTCATGGACGACGCCGCGGAGTGCTTCGTAAGGACCGGGCGGGCCTGCCCCTTAGGCTGGACACTGGTTTGCACCCCTTAACTGGGCAGATTGGGAGACAGACAGAACCTAAATTGAGAGCAGTGGAAAAGGATCCGACCTGCTCCATCTCGGGATCCAGCTCGGGCCCCTCTGTCAAAGCTGGTTGAAGGCCCTCTGTTTTGTGGACTTTTGGTTTTGATGATTTGTGCTGCTCTGATTTTTGTTGAGTGTTAGGCTCCTAGAACATTTTCACATTTATTTGTCGGAGCCACAGGTGTATTCAGTTACACTCCATCATGGAGTCAGTGTCGCCTGCTCAGGGCCACTGTAGCTTCTGGGAGATGAGTAACTGGGACGAGAGGTTCTTGGTGGGCGGCCCTTAGGGCAGCACCTCTGACACCCCCGCCCCAGCTGGCTCACTGCCTGCGATACCCGTTCTACGCTCTCACCTCCACATTAGTGAGTGGGGCCTTCCTGTGATCTGTAACGGGCCCTGGACCCCTTCCAGAATGTTCATGTGGTTAGTCAGTGTTTCCACGATGCAGGCGCCACCCGTGTTTAAGACGTAACCATGTCTCCTCTTAGCCTTGTGTCTATTCAGCAAATTCTGTAGCTCTTCCATCAGAAGCCCTTTAAGGTGTTCCTTGCCGTATTAGTTCCCCATCACCACTTGTTCCTGGCTTAGGCCTCTACTCTCAGCATGATTTACATCTCCTCACTAGCTTCCTTTCAGCCTTACAGCCTGTTTTCTAATGGCCACCAGATCTATATAATTCTCTTGAGAGTAATGCTTGCTCTTCAGATATTTCTGTGATTCGGTTCCAGGCTCTCTCCTGACGCCTGAGGCCCCTACAGCTAAACTCCAGCTTTCTCTCTTTGCTTCCTCCAGAGTTTTCCCTCCTAGTGAGACGATTACATTCTGTTCCTCAAACGTGTCTTTTAAATCCTGTTTTTACAGCCTTTGCTTTAACAAATAATCCTCCTTTTTACCACAGCACATCAAGAGTTCATTTTAAAAATCTTTATTAAAACCATATGTTACGTTATATTTCTTTCATTAAATTTTTTAAAAGCTAATACTACAAAAGGTGAATAATTGAACATTTGTGTCAATTAAAGAGGAAAGCTGAAAAGCTGACAATATGCATGGCCCTCCTAAGTTGAACGCAGTGAAAAATCTTAAAAAGGTTTTTAAATTTGTAAAGTTAAAAAGAGTTGTACTTTCAAGTGTCCTCTGCCAGATTCGCAACTCATCTGTCTTCTGATTTTTAAACTAGGAAAATATATTGGAGAGGATTCATTTCCACATCGTGCCAAGCAGAGACGCAGACATGTGCACGGCCAAGTCCTGTGTCACTCACCAAAAGTTTGCTATGACTCTGTACGAGCAGGTGAGGCAGCTCCCCCTCTTAGGACACCTTGTAGTTACGTTTATAGCCGGGAAATTAAACGCATGTTTTCCCCGCAGTGTGTATGTCGCAGCTGTGGTGCATCATCAGACCCTTTGCCTTTCACGGAATTTGTGCGGTACATTTCGACAACAGCCCTGTGGTAAGAGCCTGTTAAAGCTCCTTTACCAAAGATGTAAGAGCACATTTAAGACCCTGAGCATTGAGTTTAGAAAACCATAACATACATGAATGTCTTGCTCTCTGTCTGGGACTAACAAATATGCTACCATCGGTGTTTGTCTCAGCTGGATATTTCTGAGTTAGCTAAATGACATGTACAAAATATTAGTCAATTCATGTATATTTGTATTTATAGCAAGCTTTTGGAACTGTGAAGGAGAGCTTAAAATGACAAGTGCAATGGTAAAAAGAACTGCCCACGATTTCTTCATTTTTGCGAAGGCGTTAACTTTGTAGTAGCCACGTGTCCTGGCAGTGCCACTGTGTCCCTTCATGGTGATGGAATCTAAGGGTAGGCAGAAAAGAAAGAAAAAGTGAAACTAATCTTCCGTTAGGTTTATTGCATTTAAGGCCTCAGCAGTCACCTGAAGTTAAACTCGCCGTACTCTCCTTCCCCGGGAAACATTAGCTAGTTAGGGACCCAGAAACGAGCCCACACTTCACCTAATTAGAATTATTTGAACACTTTCTAACAGGCATTGGAGAGTATAAATATTTGATTTTGATAAACGTTGAATAACATTATCATAAGTGTTTGCAGATATTTTAATACAAAAGCAAAACGTGATCTATTATTCTCATTCAGAATATGTCAATACAGCAGTTAGTTACTAAATGCTACCAATATTTTTATCATGTGCAATGTGAATATCCTGTGCTCATCCATTTCATTGTGTATTAAACTTCCCAGCTTTTTTGGATATAGCACTTTATTCCTTAAAGATTATTGAATAATAATTTGGTTATTTGAGTGTGTTTAGTATCTTTCTTATATACACAGATTTGGAGAATATTGGTTTGGAGAAACATTTCCTAAACTTCAGTTAATTGTAGCCTCATTTTTTAACTTTGTATGAAAAGTAGGATGGTGTTTGAACAAGGAGTGACTGCACAAATTCGAACTGTAAAGCTCTGTCTGCATGAACCCTTGGGTCAGTGACAAGCTCCGAGGCCACCTCTTCCGCAGTGAGGCAGAGCCCCCTCCGTCAGCCTCCCTGGCCCACACCACAAACTGCAGGAGCTCAGCTTTGAATTCTAATAGTCTCAGTTCATTGGTTTTTAGTATTAAATACCAATTATTGAATGCTTTTACTGTGGTCTAGGCTTTAAGTAAATTGTCACATTTAACAAAAACACTCTTTTGTTGATGAAGAAATAGATTTAATAAGGTTGATCTGGTAAACAGACAAACTAAAATTGAAACCCAGGTGTGGTTTCATTTCGAATTCTCTATTTGTCTGGTCAAGCACTGCTCCGATGCTGTGAATTCCGTACAGCTATTCCGTGCAGTTCGGATGCGCCTGTCAGCTTTAGTGCTTTCTAGTATGCTCGTGAAGTGCTTTAGAAGAAGGGCCATTTTTGGTAGTTACTTGGTATTGTATGGTATTTAGACCATATGGTAAAAGACCCAGCTCCAGGACAGTTACATTACTTAGACCAGAGCATCTAGTAGTAAGGGTACCTGAGTTTAAGTTACTTTTCTTTTTGTAAATGTAATAGTTGTTTAAAGATACTTAATGCTTTGACATGTAAAATTTTGACTCTAGGGGAGGTTGAATAAGAAAGAGCCCAGATACCCTGTCTAGGCTCTAATGATTAGCATTCCGGACAGGAACAGAAGGCCCAGCCTGGCTAAGGGGCTTTGCTTATGAAGCCTGCTTTAATCTGCGAAGGGCCCTTCACTTAGCTGAAAATGATAAGTGTTTCTAGGGGCTTTAGGCCAGAGAGGAAGCTTTTCCTACAATTTGTTGTGCTTGTCAGGCCCACGTTTACAATCAAGTCCCTTAGTAGTTTATGGAATAATTTAAGTAATAATGTACAAGAAATATTTGACTTCAGATGAAGCATCTTACCTTGTTCATGTATTTCCAAACAGTTGGTATAATTTTGTGTTATTTTATTCTATTTTTGACCTAATCTTTATCTTGACCTGCCAAATATGCTTTTGCACTTTATAGAAATTTATGGTTAAGTTTTTAGACAAAATCATATTTTAAGACAGAAAAAGTGATCATACATATATTGGTAACTTAATATTTTTCATGCATAATTTATCCGATCTTTTTGAAGCTCATAAGCCAGATTGGGGACTGCTTTTTTCTTTTGTAGCAATGAAGTTGAAAGAATGATGGAAAGGCATGAACGTTTTAAGCCTGAAATGTTTGCAGAATTGCTGCAAGCAGCAAATACAACTGACGACTATCGGAAATGTCCTGTAAGTATAATTTGGAAAATATTAGTATAGTTCTGGGTTTGTAAGTTTGAAAATAGACATCCAGAAATTATTATGGAAATCCTAATTAGGTATGGAATTAATTTTAAGAATTTATTTTTTCAAAATTATTTTAGGTAACTATACCATGTGAGCTATATATCTCATCACCATTTCTTAAAAACTTAACTTTGTGAAGGATTTAAGGTAACATAAGCTGATTAATTTTTTTAAAGTTCTGAAATCTATCATTTGACTAAAGACAAAGTTAGTTTTTTATTTTTCTTTTAAGTAGATATTACAAATGGTATCGTTCTTTTCTCATGTAATACTATTAATGACTTCAGAGGTTGTAGTTCTGATTTATTTTTAGATTGAATTCTTGTTTTAACAGATTTACAAAAATACTAAAGAAAAGTACTTTGATTTAAAATAAACTTTGTGTTTAATTAATAATTAAGACAGTTTGTTTGAAGTCCATTTTAGTATGCTGAGTAAATAAATTTCCACTACATCTTAAGACTGTTATTGCATAATACAAACTGTATAAGGTGCTACCCTGTGACACATCTGTTTCAACAATTTCAAAACGTGCCTTTTGTATTTTTCTTTAGAGTAACTGTGGCCAAAAAATAAAAATCCGCCGTGTTTTAATGAATTGCCCAGAGATTGTGACAATCGGTCTAGTCTGGGATTCTGAGCATTCTGACTTGACCGAAGATGTTGTTCGGAACCTAGCAACACACCTTCACCTCCCTGGGGTATCGCAGCTGCTTTCATTCTCTTCCCTTTTATTTATAAATTCTTCTGAATCATCTCTGTCTATTATAACACACTCTGGTTTTCAGAACTGAATTTGCCTTTTAAAGGAAATAATATTCAGACGTAACTCTGATAAAAGTTAACCAAACCAGACTGACTGGAATGCCTTTCCTTCATAAGGCTGGGAATGGCTTTCAGTTATAAACTAAACTTCCTCATGCTGTATCCAGGTCACTCTAGGTCACAGCGGTTCTCAACCTGTGGGTCGCAACCCCTTTGGGGGTCAAACAACCCTTTCACAGGGGTCGCCTAAGACCATCGGAAAACAAAAAGATATTTACATTACGATTCGTAACAGTAGCAAAATTACAGTTATAGAGTAGCAACGAAAATAATTTTATGGTTGGGGGTCACCAGAACATGAGAAACTGTATTAAGGGGTCGCGGCATTAGGAAGGTTGAGAACCGCTGCTCTAGGATGATGATGATGATGGTGTGTGTGTCTGTGTGTATGTGAGAGAGAGAGAGAGAGAGAGAGAGAGAGAGAGAGAGAGAGAGAGAGGGAGATAATCATAAATATTAACTTGGAAAGGTTTAAGATTTGAAATCTATCTATAGCACTGATACCTTTATTTGCTCATTACCATCTTAATATAGTTTGAATTGGTTAATGTTACAATTCAACTTTTAGATGTTTTTAATGTTTTTTCAAATATGTGATTCAATCAAGAATTATCAGAAAATATGTGATTTATCTCACATTTTGAGTTTATGTATGTCAAGTGTCACTTCTGTGTTATTGCAGGTACTCTATTACTGAGCCAAATCACAGTTCATGTTATTGGAGTAAATGTTTCTTAAAGACTAGTTAAAAGAAGTAATTCTGTTAACCGTGCAATGTCAGTGGTGTCTTCATAAAATATAATACTGGATTGGGGTAGTGTGCATGAGAAATATTTCTTATAGAAAGTCAAATACATGGCAATCAAATGATTCATTTTTTTAAAGGATGCAATATTAAATGTACATTATTAATTTTTTAAACAGCTTTTTTATAGGGTTACTGATGAAAATGCCAAAAATAGTGAACTTCACCTTGTTGGTCTGATCTGCTACAGCAGCCGACATTATTGTGCCTTTGCGTTCCACACCAAGAGCTCCAAATGGGTATTTTTTGATGATGCGAATGTGAAAGAGGTAAGTGACACTTTCATGAACTGGAATAATTATTGTGATTTTTACTTTTTAGGAATAAATATATAATTATATAAAATCATTATATGCAAATACTTATATAAACTAATAGCATCATTAAGTTCACACTTCTTTTTATTCTTGAAATCTGGTTTATTTTTGAAGCCACCTTTTAAGCCAGTCCATTTCTGAATAATAAAAAGGTGACTAATGAATGTTACTATACAAATATGTAACTGTCAGGGACCTCTATGTATGCCCTCTGTCTGATAACTTAGTTGCTATATGTGTTATTTCCTTATGGATGATTTACAACTGCATTGTATAACTAGTGATGAAAATATGCTCGTTTTTTTGTTTTTATTATGACTGTCTTCAAATTGTGTTTGTGGTATTTGGAATTAGGTATATCTGTTACATTTTTTGGTAAGTTATTTACTCAAACATTATAATAATATATGGAAAACTGGTGAGTAACAGTTCTTAATAAGGAGTAAGTACCACAGTCACCTTAGGAGCCTTTTAGAAAACACATCTGCCTGGACTCTTGAATGGTTGATTCACTGGTGCAGGGTGTAGGTATCTGAATTTTTCTGAAGTTCTATCGGACAGTCAGACTTAGCCTCAGTTGAAAATTCTTGATCTTGTCTATGCTGTTTTCAGGCTTATTGGCTTTGAGAACCCTAGTATTTAGCGGTAAACTAAAAAAACAAATTAAAATGAGATAAAACAAAATTATCTCATTGTTACAAGCAAATGATGTAAATTCCATTTACTTTTAATATATAATGAAAGGCCATTTATAAGCACTACTGTTTTCTAAGTCAACAACATTTCAAGTATTTGGTATTTATTGGACTTCTGATTCCACCCATGAAGGGTTAACTGCTATGGAAATAGCCCTTCCTATATTAAAAATCTGAAAGCCGAGTAGATGAAACAACTTTTTCAGGCACTGGACAGCAGGCAGTTGGTCAGAAAAAAGGGAAACACACGAGATTAGCCCCACAGTTATCCCTGCTTCCTGCCCAGAGGTAGTTTCCCGGATGTGGGACATGGAGGGGAACCCAGGCCGAGCCCAGTCGCCTCACTGAGTTGAGAAAACTGATGCTGGAGCTCAGCAAGGCCAACATGGCCAAATCTGCTTGACAGGCTACCAGAAAGAAAGCTGCAGCAAGGAAGGTTCTGGGGATTGGCAGAGGGGTCCCCTTTCATCTTTGCTGAATAGGGATCTGCCACATGCAGGTAGATCGGCCAAGGTGAGGGCAGAGCCACTGGGAAACAGGAGGCCAGACACTTCCCCAAACTCACATAGGGTAGCGAGAGTGGAAGGGTGTGTGACATGCGGGGCATCTCGTGGAGGTCTCAGGGACCGTCACCTGAACAGTGCGTCTGAGTTACCCTTAGACTGAAGATGCTCAGGCCCTGACATCGGACGCAAAGGCCAATACTTTTAAAGGACACTAGAAAACTCAACCCTCAAAATGTAAAATGCAATACAATTTCAATATGCCACTTCAAAGTAGCACGCAATACAAAATTACCACATATGCAAAGAAGCAGGAAAATAGGACCCCTGCCCTGAAGGAGCATTAACAAAAGCAGACGCGCTCCACCACTGCATCTAGTCCAGTCACGTGGTACCAGCATGCAGAAGCAGGGCACGGAAATGGAACACACGTTGTAGTCTCTCAGGAGCTTCATGGTCACCTCGAAAGTGACATGACCTCCAAAGTCAGACCCAGGCCTGCTCTGATACTAAATTACTCTAAAAAAAAAAAAAAAAGGACAAATAAATGATAGAAATGGTAATACCAGACAAGAATGTTAAAACTGCTGTTTAGACAGAGAGAGAGATTAGAGAACAGTCAACAAACATGAACCATAAAAATAACCAATAAACTGGACTTCATCAAAACCTGCTCTTCGGTATGACACTGTTAGGAAAATGAAAGGCAAGCCATGGACGGGAGAAAATAGTTGTCAAGCATGTATCTAATAAAGGCTCTACCCACAATGCATAAATAACTCTCACAACTCAATAATAAAAAGATGAATCAATTTAAAAATGGGCAAAAGATTTGGACAGTTCACCAAGGAAGATCTATGAATGGCCTTGAAATGATACTAAATACCTGAGTAGGCACAAAAGAAATACCCTTTCAATTCACAGTGTGATTCCATGACACATGTTAGCATGGTGAAAATAGAAAAGACTGGCCCCACCAGAGCTGTGGGGCAGCTGGACCTCTGACTCAGGCCGGTGGAAATGCAAAACCGAACAGTCACTTTAGAAAACGTCTGTCGGCTTCTTCTCTGTTTGCATATGTACTTACCATACGATCTAGCAGGCCCACTCCTTGGAAGACAGGTCCACACAAAACTTGCACTTGAATGTTCACAATAGTTTTATTGACAGTAACCAAAGCTGGAAAAAACCCGAATGTCCAACGGGGATGGATAAAGGAGCTGTGCTATGACCATACGATGGGATGGGATACTCATCCACAAAAAGGAGCGAACAGCTGATAAATGCAACAGAAACTATGCTAAAGGAAAGAAGGAGACATAAGCAGCCAACTACTCTGATCCCACTTACAGAAAACCCAGAAAAGTAAAAAACAATATGACAGAAAGTAGATGGTTGGTTTCCAGGCACTTGGAAGGGGGAGCAGGGAAGTTTTGGGGTGAGGTTTACATTTGTCAGAACTCATTGACTTGCACACTATAACTGGGTGGTTTTGTTTCATGGAAATATGCTCAGTAAAGCCAGTGAAAATGTTCTGGTATTTATCGTCTAAAAGCAGCTCTTCACTTGCATTACTTAGTACTTTGCTGTAGCAGTTGGTTACGACTTTCCATCTTGAGTGCGTATGTAGCACCATCTTAGAACTCCCACTTTGAGTCCACATAGTTTAAATTGCCAAAATTTGAAGGAAGAACTGGGTGTATAGTCACCCTATGAGTTTTATGTTTATTTTGCTTTCAAAGTATTCTAATTTCTCAAATATCTCAGTGTACCAGGTAAGGAGGGTAAACAGATAAATATGTGTAGTTTGATAAAGCTCCTGGGGACTTTTCAGAAGGCCCTTTGTTCCCTGCAAAAGCCAGCATTCTAGAATGCTTTGTTTTTTGTTTGGCTGGTTTTATTTTGTTTTTAAATCAACTTTATAGAAGTATAATTTACAAACATTAAAATGCACGCATTTTTTAAGTATATAGTTTAAGTCTCAACAGTTGTATATGCACCAGTGTAACCTCCACAATCATTATATAGAACATTTTCATCACCTCAGAAACATCCGCCAATCCCCCAACCCACATTGGGCCCCCAGAAACCACAGAGGTCACTATAGATTCATTTTGCTCCTTGTACAGCTTCCTGTGAATGGCCCCTTACAGTATATATTGCTCTGTGACTGGCTTCCTTTGCTAAGCATGATGGCTTTTAAGAGTCATTCATGTTGAGTTTATCAGTGCTTCATTTTTATTGTGTTCCACTGTGTAGCTCTATATAACAATTTCTCCATTCACCTGTTGAGATATGAACAGTCTTTGTGTGGACATGTTTTTTTCCATTGCTCTTAGATAATAATAATATCCAGAAGTGAGATTTTCTGGGTTGTATGGTAAGTGTATGTTAAGCTTATGGGGGACTGGCAAGTTAATCTCCGAAGTGACTGCACCAGCTTACGCTCCTCACAGCAGTGCACAAGTATTGAGTTAGCTGCCGCCCCACGGTCTCAGCAGCACGCCATGTCGGTGGTCTTTTTAATTTCAGCCCTGGTTCCAGTACATGTATGATGTTATCTCGCTGTGGTTTTAATATTTACTTTCTTTATGATTAGTAATGTTTTGAGTATCTTTTTATGTGCTTATTGGCCATTCTTACATCTTTTCGTGGACGTGTCTGTTCAAATGTTTTGCCCATTTTTTTATTAATGAGTTGTAGGAATTCTTCATTCTGCACACAAGTTCTTTATTAGATGAGTGTGGCTTGGGTATGTTTGTTTGTTTTCATTAATGATGTCATTCAAAGAGCAGAAGTGAATTCATTTTGATAAAGCCCATTTTATAATTTTTTTCTTCTTTTATGGTTTGTTAGATGTCCTATCTAAGAAAATTTTATCTTCCCCACGGTTAAGATTTTCTCTTTTGTTTTCTTTATAAGATTTATGGATTTTGCATGATTCATTCTGAGTTAATTTTTGTGCTTTATGTGTAATTCTGTGAATGTTCATTTTTTCATATGGCCATCCAGTTGTTCCAGCATCATTTATTTTCCCATTAAATTATCTTGAAATCTTTGTCAAAAGTCAGTCAACCATGTGTGTGAAAATCTTCTTTAAAATTTGATAATCTAAACCTTGATATATAAAGTGTATAACTTTGCCCATCAATTTTTTAATGATAATGTTTAAAGATTTTTATTTAGACTAGTTACTATTGGGTTGTCGGAAAAGTCATGACGTGTTTTTTCTATGTTTTTCATTGCAAAAATGCATGATGACTTTTCTGACAACCCAATAGATAAAATAAAATTAATCATATAATATGATGAACGGTTGAACTGCTAGCATTTGAGTGTCTAAAATGTTTTGATATGCACATTCATCCAGTGTCTGCCCTTTTGTGTAACACATTGAGTACAGGTTTGCTTTGTTTCTACTCATTGTGGTTCTTTAAAAGGTTGGAACCAGGTGGAAAGATGTGGTCTCCAAGTGCATCCGATGCCACTTCCAGCCCCTGCTCCTGTTCTACGCAAACCCCGATGGCACGGCCGTTTCTACTGAAGATGCTCTCAGGCAGGTCGTCAACTGGTCACAGCATAAATCCGTTGCAGAGAATATGGGTAATTCTTTTTCTAAAAATTCCTTTTAGTGTTTTTCTATGGTCACAGCCACAGTATGAATAACAATACACTGCATAGGACATGAATGTTGAGGCTAACCTCAAATGTAGTTTCAGTAAGGTGGAGTTCGGGAAAATTCCAGAACTCGGAGTTAATCTTTATCCAGACACCTTTCCTCTGTAATAGCCTCAGCCCCAGGAGCCACCCACCACTGTGGTCACAGCTACAGGAGGGGGGACTTGGCCCGTAGCTCTTTCTTGCAGTAAAAATTGAGATTTAAACTGAGTTGGTATACAATGGGAAAGTCCAAAGCAGCGAGGCCATTCTTGAGTGCACTACAGAACACGTCGAAATCCTTAAAAGATGTCAGACCTCTGAGTTTTTAAGTAGTTTTGTCTGTATTAAAAATGTCTGAAAAGGTGTTTTAAATATCTCTTCTAGCGGGAAGAGAAGAGGGATGATACATTTCTGTTTGTCTTTTTAAGGATGTGAAAAGCCCTTAATTTATAAGTCAGATAATTCAAAAGAAAATGGATTTGGTGATCAGGCAAAACAGAGAGAAAATCAGAAATTTCAAACAGCTAATATTTCATCATTTAGTCGGAGCCACATTCAAACAAGCAGTGGTAGAGGACCAGGTATGTGTTTCAATTGTCACTCTCCCATTGTCCCTGAGTAGCCACCCTCCCGCTTTCCTCACTGACGGGAATCTGTAATTCCTGGTGAGGACCACACAAAAGGAGGGGGCATAGCTAGCTTTCCTTGGCAACGAGACAATAACAAGTAGATAACAAAATTTTGTCTTTTGATTTATGCATTTCTCTGAGACCTGTAGTTTTATCGGAACTATTTGACTTGACCTGTGTTCCAGTTTCCCCATGCATTCTGAGCTGTAGTAGGCTGGAGGTAACCTGGAGTATAACCAAAAAAAAAAGAATCTGTATGTGGCCTTTCCTTCAAGGTGTTAGCTATTAACTTGGAGAGGAAAAGCATGAGTTAATAATGTAGCTCATATGCTAAAATTAAATTTACTTTTAGTAAATGCAGCAGTAGTTCAAAGTTACTATTGTAGTTTATTCTTAACCTCATATTTATTCAACTGTCTCTTGTTATTGTCATCCTACAACTTTAATTTTCACAAACCAAGTGCTGTGACTTAAAACTCTTAACTGGGTGGATGTACAGGATGATTTTTAAGCAACTTTTAAATATATTAATTAAATAATAAAAATAACTCATAATCAAGGGTGCTAAGATTCAGAATTAACAATTATCATCAACAAAGAATTGCAATAAATGCTTTAAAAAATTCTTAATAGTACTATACTTTTTCCCCCTGATGCCATTGGTACTCTTAGATTAAGCCATCTGTTTTTCCAAAAGACACCTGTTTTTAAGTCCAGAAACTGTGTATGTATTAAAGAACACAAATATTGAAACCAGATAACTTGGGTCTATCATCCTGGTTTTACAGTACATTAAAAGTTAAGTGAACTTGGGCAAGTTTTAACTTCTGTTTCCTAATCCAATATGGACACATTAATTGTACTCACTTCCAAGAACAAAATGAGTTAAAAGACACTTAGAATAGTGCCTGACACATAGCGACTACTCAGTGATCTTGAGCTCTTGTTATTTTTTTTAAAAGATTTTTATTGGGGAATGGGGGAAGGGGAACAGACAAGTTGCTGTCCTTTTGTTCTTCAGTCTAGTTGTGGAGGACGGCCCTTCACTGGCCCATGTTCATATTATCATTGCGCTCTTCCCGGGTGAGGCAGATGTGTCGCCGGCCATCACGGCAGTTCTTGCTGGCTGCTGGCAGCTCACGCTGGCTGCCGGCCACTCATGGTAGTGCACGCCAGCTGCCGGCCAGCCCCACTGCAGCCTACGCCGTCGCCAGCAACTCACGGCAGCCCAGCTCCAGGTCGAGCTGTTCTTCACCATCTTAGCTGTAGAGGGCACAGCGTCACTGGCCCATGTGGGAACCAAACTGGCAGCCCTGCTGCTCAGAGCTCAAGCTCCCAAGCCAACTCCTAACCAACTGAGCCACTCGGCCAGCCCTGAGCTCTTATTATTTAAATAGAAGGTCTCTGTTCCCTTTACACTCGTTTTAGGAACTTTACAAGAAATTTTAAAAGATAGCATGCACCCCCAGTGTTGGGATAAATCACACTGAGGTTTCTTAGTTAAGCAAGAAAATGGGTTCATTGTGTACTTTATTGTATTTGCTTTTTAATATATAGCGTCTTAAATATTTTATACAGTTCAGTTGTACTTTTATTGAACAATTAGAAAAAAAGGGTCTGCATCATTATCCTAAGAATGGTTTCTTTTACAGGTAAGCTAAGTCACAATGATCAAAGGGAAAAAATAAAAGATATTTCCAGAGAATGTGCTCTAAAAGCCGTTGAACAGAAAAACTTACTTTCCTCACAAAGGAAAGATTTGGAGAGGGGACAACGAAGAGATTTGGGTCGACACAGAGGTGAGTTAAGAGCTTATAGAATTTATTTGAAAAGGGGCTACTAAAATCTTATTTTAAAACCAAATATTATAATTCTAATTTAATTTAATTTAAAATATATTTATTATATGTATTTATATATTATATATCTTTAACATACCTATTAAATCTATAAATGTAAAATTCTCCTCATTCTGATTTCATGGTAGCCTGGAATACTTGTTTTGCTGTTTTAACTTATAATTGTCAATTCAATTCACCCATATGGTGCATTCAACTAATAAGGAAAGTTCTAAAGTTAGGTGAAAACGCTTCTTTTCCCGCAACCTGACCTGTCTGGTCCCATTACTAGCTTCCGGTTCATCAGGAGCCTGTCTTACGCTTTGCGGCCTCATGCCCACCTCTTTATGGACAGACCATAGTTTAACCGAGACTGCTAGACGTTAGAATTGCACTAAGAATTCTGCGGCTGCCATCCTTTCACATCTCCCTCTGTGCACTTTGTGTGACAAGCCGTAGCAGCAGATGCTGTCGGAATTGCTGGGTTAGGGTGTGTTTACTTCTCATTTGCTAGATGGGGCTCAGCTGCGCTCCTACAGACTCAACATGTCTGCTCTCCCACCAGCAGGCTTTGGACTTGTGTCCTCACACTCCAAGAAGCAGTGGGTTTAACATATTTTTAAATCTCTACCAGTGTAAGAGGTGGAAAATATTTTTATTTTTATGATTTTCATTAATTATGAGTGAGATAGAATACTGTTTTTTAACCCTACCAGACCTGAGGCCCTGAACCTAACTGTCCCCTGTACCTGGGCTCCTGAGCGTTAAAGAGAAAAAACCAACATGATATAGAAAAATGTTAGTTACATGCGAACAAGTGGTTAGAATAAGATGGAACTTGGAGACATTGTAGAAAATAGGTCTACCTTTCATCTAGCGCCAGTATTCCACCTTTGTGTGCCAATCCACCCAGCAGGATGAGCCTTGTTTCACACAGAGGTGCTTCTTGCAAAGTGAGCACCAGATGTTGCTCTTCACCTTCCTGCATGGATTGTCTTTGTAAGGCACTCCAGGATTTTGCTTGTTGTACCTGGAGTGCTTTTCCATGCACACAACACAGATATGATTAGATAAGATATGATTAGAAATTACCGAAAAATCAGTACAGCGGTCTGGTAGGGTTAAAACCGCTTTGATTATCTTATAATCAACTTTAGAGATTATTTTAAAAAATCAAGTTGTAACCATTTATTTCATAAATGCCTCTCATTAAGCATAAAAGTGAAAAAGCACTTTTTAATTTCAAAACACTGTGTGATATAATTTAAATACTTATAATTATCACTTACCTATTACTGTGTAACATTTCTTCTCAAGCAAAGTATTTGGCTTGTGACTAGAAAGTGGCTCTGAAGAGTAGTTCATTTATATCCTTATTTACTTGTTTATTTTTAAAGATTTGGTTGATGAAGATCTTCTACATTTCAAGTCTGGATCACCTCCTACCCCCAATGGCTTCAGACAATATGGCAATCCACATCTATATCACAGTCAGGGGCGGGGACCATCTAAACATGACCAAAGTGCCCATCAGAGTCGAGCTTCTCTGCAGACACCAAGTTCAAGCAAACCCCAGATTCTTGTGCCAGGAGAGAAAATAATTGGCAAACTTAAGAGTGACATTGGGACCGGATATGATACTGACAGCAGCCAAGATTCTAGGGATAAAGGAAGCAGCTGTAATGGCAGTGGTAAAAGCCGGAACCGAGGTTGGAAACCTATGAGAGAGACATTAAATGTCGATAGTATTTTTAATGAAAGTGAGAAAGGACAGCACAGCCCAAGACATAAATCCCATATCAGTAACAAGGCTAAATGCGGCAAAGACCAGGGTTTTAACAATTGGCCAAAAGAGAATCCGAAGCAAAAATGCTTAATGACTATATATGAAGACGAAATGAAGCAGGAAATAGGCAGCAGGAGTTCCCTTGAATGTAATGGAAAAGGAGCAGAGAAAAATAAAGGCGTCAGAGAGGCTCAAGTTCATGGTGACAACTGGCAGATGCAAAGGACTGAGTCTGGCTATGAAAGCAGCGACCATGTCAGTAATGGGTCCGCCAGTTTAGACTCCCCTGGTATTGATGGTAATGGCGCCGTGATGGAGCTCGGTGGTGGTAAAGACGCAGCCCCCTTCAGGTAACACACAGGTGACATGAGGGACCCACACGCCGCCACCCCACCTTTTTCTTCAGTTAATTTTCAAAGTTTGGGGTCAGTTAAGTGTAATGGAAAGAGCTTGAGTTCAGAGTAAAGAAATCCAGGATATTGTAGGTTATTTGATGTTTCAAATTTCTATTTTTAATAGTAATTTCCTGATTCAAAAAAAAAAAAACTGCTTATTTTTAGGAAATTTGAAAGTATAGAAATGCATTATCATTGTTGGCACTGAAGACCCTTGATATGCACTACAGGTTTTAAAGCTTAGGTTTACATTGATTGCTTCTCATTCATTAAGCAGATTGTTTAATTCTTCAGTCTATTTAATGCTCATTATCCCATCTCATGTTTTATTAAAATAATCAGGGAAACTTTTTTATTTGTCAGAGTGATTTCATCACACTTCTTGGAAAGGAATAGCTTAGGGTAGCAGAAAGATCAGGACTTTGTAACCAGGTAGGCTTGCATTTTAATTATTGTGCACATTAATTTGACTTTCAGAGCCTTAATCTCCTGTCGTAAAATGGGGATAATAACTACTTCTAAGTGTCGTCATGAGATATAAATTAAGTAATGTGCATTCAGCCCCTAGAACAGCACACGGCTTGTAATAATTCTTTAACAAATGTTATTTCCTTTCTTTTTCTTAAAATAATAATCCACGATAGCTGATGTGTCTGGTGTGTGTTTGGTTTTGTTTTCTAGTGACCAGATTAAGACAAGCAACCTAAATATAGAACGTGTGAACAGTACCTCTCAACAGAGCAAAAACCACTTAGAAGGTAAAGTTTTCATCTAAATGTATTGTAGTAGTAGCAGTGAAGAATAAATTGCAATAACAAGAGTAAAGAAGCTACAACAGTCCAATTACTGATAAGTTTATGAGTGCTGAGTACAGAAGCTGGGAGAGGCCATGCCTGAAGGCTTTTAAAGGGTGGAGATAGCTATGCCGGGATGGGAGAAGTGGGGAGCGTGTCACTCGGCGTAGCAGGTCAAGGCTATGCAGTGATTGTAACAGCTTCACAGTCTCAGGGTCATAGCACAGGTCTGTTTCTTGTTCACGGTACGTGTCCAGTGGTCAGCATGCTGTCTCTTCCTGGTAGCCACACAGGTTCACAGGCCGATGGGACCGGACTCCGTTTCCATTTAAGCAGTGCATTAGGGGGGAGGGGATTGAAGGAGGACCTAGCGGGGAGAACACGGGTAAATTCGTAAAACTTTAGCCCAGAATTGGTTCACGCACTTCCACTCACATCTCATTGGCCACGGCAAGTCCTTCTGCCAGGCCTCATCTCAAAGGGGGTGCAAGAGGGCCCTTTCACGGGCGCCTGGAGGCCGAGCTGAGTGAGATCTGTGTGACCAGCCCAGATGTCACCGCAGGAATTAGGGTCAGTTCGAACTGATGCCCAGCCTGCCAGAAAGGTCAGTGTGGGAACAGTCCAGATGTCCCTGTGTGGCATTACTCGAGGTGACTGGTTAGCAACACAGCAGCCCAGGAGCAAAGGAAATGAGGCGTTTGAATGTGCGCAGGACTCGGAGGACGATGCAGAGGCGATGCCTGAGGGATCCGGGGGAGAGGGATGAGGAGACGACAGGCAAGGGGGTTATGGGGGTTCGTTCGAAGATGTTTTGAAATTTTGGAATTCAGAGGAGTAGAAGGGATATAATTTTTCAAAATAAGAAATAGCCATGAAAACCAAATTTCACAGTTTGTTTTTATTCTTTCTCATCCTTCAGGCTTTTGTGGAGATTATTTTTCACGTTGTAGACATTGAATATGATTAAGTGTTAAATCATTTTGTTTTCACCAAATGGTATAATATCAGAAGGAAACACTTATATTAAGGAAATAGCCTTCCTTTCCCATATAAAATGTCTCGCCTGTTTAAAGATCTGATAAAGTCTGGCAGCCGAATATTACAGGAAACAGTAAAGGGTTGGCCAGAAACCAGCAGCAGAAACTGGTGAGATTGAACAATGGCTGCCAATGCCGTGCTCTTTACGAAAGGATGCTTGCTTCCTGAAAGTAATGAAAACACAAGCTCAGAGAGATTCTGATGGTCAAGGGTGCATTGCAAGGGGAGCCCTGTAGAGGGTTTCCCCATTTAATATGAAAGAGTATGTATGTAACCCACATACAAATAACTTTTTTATTATGGTAAAATACACATAACAAAATTTGCCATTCTAACCGCTTTCAAATGACAGTTCAGTGGCATTAAGTACATTCACACTGTTGTGCAGCTGTCACCACCTTCCTTCTCCAGGACTCTTTCATCTTCTCAAACTGCAGCTGTGTCCCCATGAAACACTAACTCCCCAAGTTCCCCTGCCCCAGCCCCTACCATCTCCTTTCTGTCTCTATGAGGTGACTCCTTTAGGGATCTCGGGTAAGTGGAATTAACACAGCATTTGTGTTTTTGCCACTGGCTTGTCTCACTGAGCACGACGTCCTCAGAGTCCAAAAAGGAATGCCCTTCCTTTTCAAGGCTGAATAGCGCTATGTTGTGGGATATCATGCACTGTGTTCATTCGTTCATCTGTTGCACATTTGGGTCCTTTCTCCCTTGGAGCTGTTGTTGTGAATACGCCACTGTGAACGTTAATGGACAATATCTGAGAACCCTGTGTTCAGTCCTTTTGAGTACATACCCAGCAGAGTGATGGCTGGCTGCATTGGTGCCCCTGTGTTTAATGCTTTGAGGGCCCACCACAGCAGCTGCATGGCTTGACACTCCCACCAGCAATGCACATCCTCCCAACGCTGGGTTTTTTTATCTTTGCTGTCCTAATGGGTGTGAAGTGGTATCTTATTGTGGTTTTGTGTAACCCCCTTTGGAGCCTGGGTTCACGTTGAGCTTGGTACTGCCTGTGTGTGCCCCTCCCTAGGTCTAGGTAAACAGATTTATTAGGCAGCTAGGAACATACGCCTGGGGCTCAGGAAACGTGTATTTGGTGACACAGACATGGACTGCATCACTCAGGAAAAGTAGGGATTTCAGGGCAAAAAATAGACAAAGGAAGAAACATGGAGTTGGCTGAATAAGAGAGGTGAGCCTGGATGCAGAGAGGTGGCTGGAAAGGTTGAGGGAACACAGGAGAGGGTCATCACAGGGAAACCAGGAAAATCGGGAGCTTCCAGAAGAAAAGGGGTCACAGACTCAGCAGGATAAGGACCAAAAAGGGCCAGTCTGAGTTAGCAGGTAGTCATCAGTGGTGTAGTGGGAGCAATGTTAGGGGAACATTAGAAATAGAAGCAAGACTGAGGTGGGACTCGAGTGTTTACAAGTAAAGCACCATGTTATTTGTAACTTATTTTCAAATGGTTCAGGGGAAAAAATGGGCAAAAATGGTAATAGGTGAGTCTGGGTAAAGGATACACAGGTATTCTTGGTACACGTTTTAATCTTTCAACTTTTCTGAACTTTTTGAAATTATTTCCATATAAAAAGTTTTGGTGTTTTTTTTTTTTAAAAGATTATAGTAGAATAGAAACTATTGATAAATAAATGCAGAATAAAGAAATGGATGTAGCACATGTCCGTCAAAACCTTTGCTGTGAGTAGCAAGAAAGCAGCATGGGGAGGGGCGGATGAAGCCAGGAGCTTAGGTGAGCGTTTGCATTACAGCAGGTAAGGAGCTAAGGATGTCAGAGGGAGAGCAAGGTGTGAAGGTCAGACAGGACCATGATGCATGGAACTTGATCTCTGAGGGAGAGTGAAAATGAAACCTGGACGGGAGAGGGCCAAGCTGGGAAGGGAACGGAGCTTTTCAGTGCGGGAGAGAAAGGTGTGTGCAGGTATTGAGTGGTCGGTCCCACTCACGGCCTCTCTTCTCTCTGAGGTCAGGTTATCTACTGAAGTCAATGTATGTTAGGATATTTACAGATTACACCCAACAAATCTCAAAGGGATTATTATTAGGTCTCTCAGAAGCTTTGCCATTGGCTTTGGAGTCTGAAGGCTTTATCTCAATTGATCATAAAAGTCAGGATTAGTTCAAGCTGAGACTCCTGATCTTGGAAATGACAAGAGTGAAAGAAGTTAATCAGTGGTCAAAAAATCTGTTAATACCCTTAATTTCTTCATAAAAGAGTCTGTTCCTCCACTCTGTCAATAGAGACAGACCGTCCTTAACGCTGTAAATCCTGGAATTAGTAAATGGAAACATTTTATTGGAAGAGTTTGTTCATGTACGTAAGTTTGATGATTCTCTGAGATTTTTGTGTGTGTATGAACTAGAGTATATTCATTTAAAGTAAATATATTATGAAGTGTATCAAGAGAAAGAGGTCCTTTTTACAGTTGGTTTTGTTTCGATGCATACTAAATTTATTTTTTTAAGAGTTCCATAGACTGTTGAGAGTAGACTGAAAACCATAAACTTCCAGTATTGAAATTTAATTTGTAGCAAAAGTAGCATTATTTGCTTTTTCTTTAAGTTTTAATTCCAGTGGGAAAAGAAATTACTGTTTCCTGCCTTTTTATTTTGTATCACCCCCAATTTAGTTATTTCTTAGGGTAGATTATTTATATTACAGTATCTCTCCCCTTTTGGTATGTGGTCAATTTAGGCAGAAATATTTATCCAGTTAAAGTTTTGTGATTTTTCTAAAGCATTCAGATTTTATTTAAATGTTTTTATTGTAAATCAGATCATTAATTAGATTATTGCTCTTGAATGTTTAGGCTTTGTAATCGTTTTACTATTATAATCTGAAATCTCCTTATACAACATGAGTGAAGATTATATGGTCTCAACCGGCCATTTCATTTTATTGCTACATAATTGTATTTTAAACCTAGTTCATCTTTTCTGATGAAGTATATATTTGCATTTCTTACATACAATACAAAATCAGCATTATTAATTAAAGCCTCTTGCTTCAACATTGAGATATCTTCTGTGCCAAGTGTTAAAATCGGGCTATTTTAGATTTGCAAAGAACCTGAAGCCAAAATTCCCCGTAAAGACACATGGATGTCTGTGTCAGCAGAAGAGAAAAATAACACATCTATTTTTAAGTTAGTTGGAATTCTGAAGTCAGACCACGTGGTTGAATGCCTGCCATAGTGATATTAGAGTTTCAAACATGTTTACAAAGTCTCGGGCGCCTCCTGCTGCTGGCTCTGCGGACAGTTTAACAAAAGTAAAGAATTCTTTGAGGATGAACTGCTGATTTTTGTGTTTGTGAACATTAAACTTGAAATTATGGATAAGTTAAGAAGGAAAGTAAACATTCCGAAGTGAAAATCAAAGTGGGTGAAAAATTGTAGTATAACTTCAGCTTATGAATTTTTCAGGCTTTAAAGATTGAAAAAATCATCAAGGTTCTTTTGACATTACATTTTTTAAATCATAAAGTAATTGTCAAGAGGGGGGCTTAGGTTTTGAGCCTCAGGCAGTGTGTCAAGCTTACAAGCACGTAAGACTAGGGTAAATGATGCTGGCTTTTGTTTTTATAACTGTGTCAGTATGGCACTCGAGAGACTTACACTAGGTGGCGAGGAAAGTAAGAAGAGCTTGTCTTAGTTTATGCTTATCTGGCCCTGGATCACTGAGTTGGGAACACGGTGGACAGAGGTGAGGTGATGTGAAGAAGAAAAACAGTATGTTTCTCATGCAATTGTTTATTCATTCTGCAGAGTTTGATAGTATGTGTGTTATGTGCTAGATACTATGCTAGCCACTGAGGGAAGAGTAACAAGGAGCGGACACACCTTGGTACAATAAGGGGCTTCCTGCAATCGGGTGGAGTAAGAGTTAAATCTTAGACAAATACGCGCCAGACGCAGTTCCCGCGTTCACTATCTGGAGTTTCTGCTGCTGGGAGGTGTCGTTTACCTCGTGAACGTCCAGAGAGGGCATTAAATCCTCATGTATATTTCACAGTTCCATCTTGGAAATTGCGTCAAGACTTAACTTAGAGAGCCTGATCAAAATCAAATAAGAGATTTTTTTTTCCGTAGGGTAATATTTAGATGTTTTGATCAACTATAGAATCCAATTGAATTTTGAGAGACAAGGTAGTATTTTTAAAACGAACCCAGAAGATCAATTTAGAGATAAAAAGGTCATCTAAGATATAATTCACTGTTATTGTTTAAAAAATAAAGTTGCTGCTTTAATACCTTTGATTTCGTTTACTTTGCAATCATCAATTCATGGATTTGGAGCCCAGAACAGAAGCATGAGAGTGAGAGGAAACTAGATAAATGAACATGATGAAAAGGTCATCTAAAAATAAGGGACTACAGAAAAACTTAGTAGACTAGTACAAAAGTATAGGGCAGTTGACTGAAAATTCAAGCTAATGCCACATATCTCGTTATCTTCCGTGGGCACCAGCACATGAAAGTATATCATGTCGTTTGATGTTCAAACCAGTGGCCCTGTTTCCTCAGGAGGCTCTGATGACCTTGGGTTTCCCAGGCCTGTGCGCACGCGCGCCCCCTGGTGGCGCGGAGAGCAGAGCGCTGGCTTTGGCTTTAACCCCGGGCTGGTGGAAGCGCTGCCACTTCCGGGCTGCGTAGCATTGGTGGGTCACTCACTGTACTTCCTTGGATAGAAAAAGGGGTACTATTTCACAGAATAGCTGTGACTGAGATTTTAAAAGGGCAGCTATTTTAAATCAACTAGAACAGTGGTTTTCAAACTTTTTTACCTCAGGATATACTATTAAAAATATCGGAGACCTGAAAGAGCTGTTGTTTCTATAGTTATATCTATTAATATCTACTGTATTAGGCATTACATCTGAAAACTTTAAGTGCTCATTCATTGAAAGATTAATTTACTTTGTGCATGCAAGATTTTATAACATCCATGTATCCTTGTTTGGGAAATACAGGCTTGCTAAATTATACAAGTCTTCCAAATGTTGGTACATTTCTTTATGTAATGTCTTCTTTAAAAGCACATCTGTTAATAACACCACAGATATTAGCAGAAAGTCTGTAATTATTGGGAAGCTACAAAACTCGTGGTGCATACCAGTTTTCCTAGATTCTCATTCTCATCTAAAAGTTTGAATTTTATCATTGGCAATAAATACTATCAGTTGTTTTTTTTGTTTGTTTGTTTTGAAGTGACATACATGTTCATGTCTTTAATTTTCAAGAAAATTAAATAACCAAAGTTTGTCATCTTTCCAAGTAGAAATGGTGTTCAATTGTAAAGATTAAATAACTATTACCGACTATTTACAACTTGAGTCACCTGTCAATAAATGTAGCTAGTTGGTGGTGGTATAACATTTTACATGTTATCATAATGCCCTCCCACCCATTTAAATTCAGCTGATGTTCCTACTATTCATGTGAGGTAGGTAAAATAGATATCAGTATCTCAGTACCTCAACGAGGAAGCTGAGATTGTAAAGGGGTGGAGAGGCTGGCTTAAAGTTAGCAGCCAATCGGTAATGAAGCCAGACTTCAGCCAAGCCATCTGTCTCAAAGCAGGATTTCCCCGCCACTTTGTCAGCACTGTGTCTCCTACGACAGGGGGACGCACAGCTCTACATGATCCAGGGGGAACAGCACTATGCAAACACTGAGGACATTTTCAAGTGGTAATAAATTGAGGGAAAAACCATTCATTTTGTGTAAAGGGTTCAGAAAAGAGGTATTTATTTGAGCTGAGTCTTGAAGAATTAGTTAGTTTTTGTTAATTGGAAGAGAATTTCCTGTTTATAGAAAAACTTAATGTAAATTATGAACTATAAAGAGAGTAAATTATTCAAGATCATTTAAATAATTTTGTTTTTTTCCCTCGTCCCCTCAGGCATTAGAAAAGAAGGCAGGAACTTGGAAGTAGGCTGTAAACCTCATGAGTTCCATCCAGATTCACATCCACAAATAAAAAATCCTGTGACAAAAAGGTAATCAGAGACATTTGGAAATATTAAAATCTTTTTTATTAAATGCATGTGTTACAGGAACACTTAGTCAGGAAGGCATACATACTGCTCTGTAACTATTGCTACTCTGAAAGCAGTGGGTCCACAGTATCATGACGCCTGTCTTATTGGGGATCGTTAAAAGGATGTAGTCCTAAGGATTAGGGCCTGCAGAGCACCAGGAAAAACATGGTTGTCTCAATCCTCACAGCATCTTTGTGAGATAGGTGGTATTTACAAAGGAGAAAATGTGGGGCCTAGATTAAGTCATTAGCCCAAAGCGATGGAGCGGAATGTATAAATAGCTCTTGTCTGCCCAGCAAAGCCTCAATGCTTTTCATCCTTCTGCTCTAATTGAATCCCATGCAGTTCACACAATAAAAATAATCAGATGATGATAAATAATTTGCAACGTGATGGCATTTATCCTCACCTTAGAAGTTAATTATTACCTAAATCAAGGTAATCTTGATTAAATTATTTTAAATCTATACTGTCTGTATAGCATTATGTATCAAAATTAAAGTACCTCTACTGCTGTAAACTTTGTATGTTGGATGGGGAGTGTTTTAATGTATAGAAGTGTTGGCTTGTAACATTTTCTTTAAGCCTATGCTACATTTTGTCACAAATAAATGCAATTTCAGTTCTGTGTTTATAAGTTGAAGTTAGTTTTTTTTAATTACACTTCTAATTATTAGAGATTTCATTTTAGTAATGATGGGTGTTTCTCGTAAGCGTTCATGTATTCTGGCATAAAGGTTTTACATTCAGAGAGTATAAAATGTTCTTGGTTGCGCATTATCTTCCCATTTCTGTTGCTATGTTACAAAAATAGCAAACTGTGTATTGGGAGGTTAAATTACAGGACCAGTGTTTGTTTTGCCTCCAGTTTTCAGTGTTTGCATGTGGTGTTTTAGCTTTGTTTTTGTTTTTATAATTCAGGCCGCATGCCCGTGGAACCAATGGAAAGTCATTCCCTGTGTCCAGTCCACACATACTCAAGGACCATACAGCAAGTGAGCATATCCACCAGTCCGATGAACAGAAACTTGAAAAATCAAGTGAATGCAAATTTTCTGAGTGGCTGGTTACAGAAAATTCTGAGAGAGCGGGTTTACTTCTTCACAGCGATGATAAATCTGCTTCTGGAAAGAGAATGAACAGCGAGGAAGTACTCGCGCCATCTTCGTTGTGGTCCTCCCATGTGAGAACTGCTGGGTTGAAGCCAGAAAGTGCTGCTCTCACCCAGCAGCAGACTGCGATGGAACAGTGTCACTCTGAGAGCTCTCCATCCAGTGAACGTAGACTTCACACCACCTGCAGATCCGATGTTTGTCAGATGCCAAAACTCCAGAATCCACCGCCCCCTTTGCCGCCAAAAAAATACGCTATAACCAATGTGCCACAGCCAGAGAGAAACGATTGTTCACCTGAAGTCACACTTACAGACATGTTCAAAGCTAATTCTTCCAGTCTTCTGAAGCCCAGTGTAAGTCCAGCTTCAGAGCCAGGCTCAGGAGTGAGCACACACACAAGTGATGACAGACTCAAGGGAACATTTCAGGTGAGGGAGCAGGCGGGCAACTCACTGAACTGCCCATCCAGGTCTCCAGCTGATGGTTTCCAGGCACACGTGGGTACAGTTGTCGATGCATTGTGCCAACCGGAGAGAGACTCCAGCTCTGCCTGCCCAAGTGACACAGTTTCATTAACTACCTATTTTTCAGTGGATAGTTGCATGACTGATACATACAGATTGAAATACCATCAGAGGCCCAAGCTCTGTTTTCCAGAGAATGAGAATTCACCAGCTCAGTGAAAGAGGTTTGGGATCTGTGTCACGTGACAGTCTTGGTTCGAATTGCCCTTCTGAGCAAAGATATGACCCCAGTCTACATTATAATAGATAAATTACAAAACCGGCACCTTTTACTTTCAGAGGCCATTAAAATGGAAGAGGAATCGACTGACCAATCCTAGTGAAAAATGAAGTTAAAACCATGGTATTTTTTTAAGTCATTAATCACTAACTTTCTCTCTATATTGTTTGTTTTGTGATAATCAACTTATTGGGAAATTTAGAAATCCCTTTGAATAGTCTTGGCATGCCTCGAAAAATAGAAAATCAGGGTATACGCGAAAAGTCATTTACCATATGCTGCTGTTGTGTAAAAATGCAATTCATCCCTTTATTTTGTGGCTGGTAGACCCATAAGTATTAAACGCATCAGTACTCACGTGTGTAGATTGGTAAACTATGCTCATTGAAAAACGCCAGGTGATACACAGTTTGTGTCATCAGAGCAGGACTGGTTTCAGGAAGCATTTGGTCACGGGAACCAAAAGGACGCTTCACCCGCTTGTTTCTGATTCTGTGATTGTCAGCTACATGTCATCTCCCTAAGTGTCTTAGAAAATATCCACCCAAGACATTGAAAGCATTTCAAAAAAAAGCCTTAATGATAAAGAAAATTGTTAAATTCAATTCTCAAGGTCAGAAGAAACTTCATTTTGCTCCTAGTACTGTTCTTTTCAGAACACCTGAATTAGGCCTTTGTTATATGTATTCATAAACATTACTTCAGCCAAGTAAGCTACACATAATTAAAATACTTTAGCATATTTATTTATCCTGTTACAGTTTTTCTAATTTTATATGAAATGTGAAAGGGTTTTATTTGGGTTCGGTTTACCTGGGGCTGCTAATACCAGTGTTAGGAGCTCATCTGGTGCCCTCTTACTGGGCATCTCACTGTGACTGCCTAAATTTTCCCTGCTGTAATCTTACCTGTTTATAAGTTGTCAACCCATTTTATTGATTTTCTGATTCTTGAATCTGAAAAGCTTTCTGGGCTTCCAGATTAAATTGCTGCCTTTCATACAGAGGTTTAATTTTAATAAAGTATATTATTTTGAGCATCCCTCCCTTTTTTCTACTCTAAACAGTCATTTTACCTTATTTTTATGGAGGCTTTATTTTTAAATAAAATAAAGGAATTTTCCATTATTATGATAACCTTAAAGTGTGAAAATAAGTTACTTTAATTGCCTTATTTCATTAGTTGTCATTTTATTTTGTACTAAGCTAGTAAATTGTGGCTTAGGCTAGTTTTATATTGTCCACTGCAGACAATTGAAAATTATAGAATTAAAATTTTCCTTACATTTATCAAGTTTATAGATATAACTTGATAATTACATAAACTAATTAGTAAATTTAACATTTTGACCAATTCCATAAATTGTTAAAATATTCCAAAATGTAAATGATTGAAAATACTTATTGACAAATAGAAAATAATTGCTTGTAAAAGTCTAACTTCACCCAGTTACCAAATTTGGTCAAATTTATCTTCCAACTAGAGAAATTTCTAATAGCCTTTTCTACCTGTGATTATTTATATTCTCTTAATTTAGAAATACTTGAATATCAAGTAAATTAAATTTTATCTTTTAAGGAGACCAATGCCTTATCCATTAGGCAACTGGGGCTTCTAAATTTTATCTTTTAAGAAAGCTTATTTTTAACATAACTTTTAGTATGGAGCACTTGTAAATATTGTAAACTTTGTAAAATTGTATTTGAAATGTCAGTGTATTTAAATATTGCTTTTATAACACTGTAAAATACTAGAAAATGGGCTTCAAGTATTTTTAATAACTTTCAAAAACTCTGTGTAGTACTTTTTGTTTGATTTTTATTTGGTCAAGCTGTCCAGTTGAAATGTTATTTGAAATAGTTTAATTTCTGATATTTGGCAGCAATCTCATAGATTTGTATTTTCAACTCACAGTTGAGTTGCAAACATCAAATAGAAATGTTCGAGTTTGGCTCTTTTTAAAGTACTGTCCAGTTGAAACCTCCTGAATCATGTAATCATACTAACTGGAAACTGACCATTTGTGTTTATGCTGACTCACCACTCCAAATGTAGATCGAATGCATATTTAATAACTAATCACATGTACAACTTTTATTTCTAAGGTGCCTATTTACTTTTATAGGTGTTTTCTTCTGGTTATAAGCTTATTATAACTTTTGAAATCATGCAACAACAGTTGTAATGTTCAGAATACTTATCTTCCAAATGTCCCATTTTCACGTGAAATCAGTTTCTCTGGCTCAATTTTTTTTTTTTTTTTCAGATAAACTGATCTTGAAGTTGATATGGTTTGGCCTTCCTTTGCATTTCTTGTCATGAACTATGGCTTCCTCTCCCCCCACGTGGATTATGTATTTTATGGAAATGTAAGTCAGTGTAAAGTTCAGGGGTACTTGGAGTGTCACTGATCATAAAATGTTATACCAGGAGGCTCTTGAGTTAAACTCCAGGGAGGTCTGAAGCAGGGCTCCTCCAGGATTTGGCAAACCACATGAAGAGCCAGACAGTAAATGTCTTAGGCTTTGCGGCCCATGGGATCTGTTAACAAACCGCCCAGTTCAGCAGTACAGGGTGAAGACAGCCCTGTACGTGTAAATAAATGACGGGCACATCTGTGAAACTGACTGCCATTGAAACTTGGGCGTTCACATCATTTAACGCCATGAATTAGTCTTGCTTTTTTTGTCACTAAAGCGTAAACATAATTCTTATCTCGCAGACCCTATGAAAAGAGGCAGTGGCTAGGCTTGGCCCTCTGGCCATAGTTCAATGACCCTTATCCTAAAGCATTACCTACACTGAATGCCCTCACTGACCCTAAATACCCTGTGGTCTCTGAATGTATTCCCATGCTATTTAGGGACTAAGTACATGGAGTTTACATCCTAAAATTTTCAGGTTAACAGACCCCCCCTACAGACTTCCTCACACTTGCTAATCAGTCAGTTCATTTCAAATGGCTATTATTTATATGAAATTAAGTTTGTGAAATTTACCAGATTAAAATCACATTGCTGTTATTCTTTTGATGTCTGTTTTTGTCTTAAGTTTGCCAGATTTGCGTGGTGTCCCCTTTATCCAATTCTTCAAGGCCTTTAGCATGCGTACTTGAGAAGGCGCAGTTCAGTGGGAGGCACAATCCCTTAACTCATATACCAGCAAGATTCAGCCCTTGTGAGTGTCACCATTTTTGTACGCCCTTTGCAGCCATGCTCTAACACTAAGGTTCCTCCGTCTTTCCTGTACTAGAAATTCTCAGAATGTTTGATAGTTGTGGTCCTTGGCTGATTTGGGGCTTAGGAAGGTAACATAGAGTATGTCTTTGTGTGTTACCTAACATTAAGTTATATGAGAACCGTTAATCCGGTCACAACCTCAGTAACAAGTAATCTGTTAGAACAAATGCAAATCAGACCAAATTTAGCTATAAACATTTATTGGACAAATTAACAAGCAGCACGAAAACAGTTCTGTGTTAGCTGTGTTAGCTCTGGAAGCTTCAACCTTTGCATAAAAGGTTTTGTTCAGACAGATGCCACAATACCCTGAAGGCAGAATCGTTAACCTTATAATGGGCAGTTAAAATCCTCCAAAATCAATCCCAGATTTCATTCTAATCCTAAATGCCAATCTAAAAAGCAGAGGATGTAGAGTTTACCAGATCTATGCCCTGATTCTGAGGGGAATATGCCCAAAATAAGGCAGTTCACATGTATCAAATGCCACCAATTTCAATTTCGAGAGGCCATTTCTAACATGTTAAATAAAGGAGTATCTGTTCTATAACAGAAATAGCTTCTGCAGGGCTAGAGTAGCTGCTTGGGCAGTGTGACCAGCTGAGCGCTCCTGGAATATCTATTCTTACCTACATTTAGATAAAAGCAAGGGAAGCCCCATGAAGACGAGGATTGTTGTTCTGGTCACTGCGTACTGTGCATAGTAAATACTCAAACATTTGCTGAATGAGGAAATATGCTGACTGATGAAGTATTTAAGTTACAGAAATTATAAAAATAAACATGTCTTGGCCACACGCATTCTTAATGTAACCACAACAATAAAAACAGGTTTGAAATACACAGTCCTATGTTAGGGAGTTCAAGCGCCCAAAAAGAAGGGAGGGATGCACCCGGGTAAGAGGTTCCCAATACTGGGCTTTATGTCCTTCTCTAAGATCGTATCCATCAGCCACAACAGGCCCACTCGGTCTACAAATGAAACTGACACGTACAGCCAGTACTTCGTGGACCTGCATTTTCTGTAGAGCCTTTAAATCCTTTTCTCAAAATCCTTCCCTTGATTTTGAGTAATTTATGTTTTTTAGGCACTTTATTAATTCACATATTATTTGCATCATACTAAACCCTAACCAACCCTTAAAATGTTAAAGGAAAGACATTACTATAGCTCTTAATGAATACACTAAACCTTTCTGTATAAATATTTTAATTCAGCCTCCTGTAAAGCTATCAGATGTTTGAAAAAAATTGCTAAACATGAATTAGAGTCTAATTTTAAGCATTCCACTATGACTGGGTGAGATTATTACCCATTTAATATGGTCCCCCAAGTAAGGAACAGGATGTGTACAATGAAAGGAAGGTCCTTTCCTTGTTTGCAAGTCTTCCTGTTGCACAGCGCGGTCTTCCTTGTCCACGAAGTCGTAGTCATTGTCAGTCCGCTCCAGGAGCCAACTCCTTAATTTAGACATCAGGTAAACCATTCTGTAAGAGCCGGACATTTGTCAAGAACGTTTACTGTTTCTTCCCATTTTAATACTTTATGCCAGCTTCTGAAATGGACTGTTACTTGTCAATTCCTACATGATTTACGTATTGGTAAGAGTAAACAAACAAAAAGAAGCCCCTCCACCTGAGACCTGTCTCTACCAAAAAAGGAGGCGGAGCAGAGGGGAAACGCGCCGTTTCCGGATGGCTCAGCAGGGTTTTCTAGAAACACCACCTGTTCCACTCTCCCCTCAACCCTCTGTCTTCTAATTTGCGGCGCCATCCACAGAATCAGAGGAAAGGGGGCCTCAGATGCCCGGCGCTTGTGCCCAAGTCCGTGCCCGAACTCGGAGGTGGGGAGACAAGGCACAACCTCCCATCGCGGAGTGCAGATTCACAAGCGTGATGACTGCGACGTTAACACGGGGACTAAACCCCCGGGAAGTCCCGCGAGCTGCTCAGGCCCCACTGGGGGCTCCGACTGCCGCCAGGCAGCGCGCACACGCATCGCCTGGGCGCAGGGACGCCCTCCCTCGGTCCCCACTGCACCCCTCGGGGCTGGCCGGCTGCTGTCGGTCCCGCAGGGGAAACGGGAAAGGCTCCCGGACGCTGGGCGCCGTCCCGTGTGCTCCGTGGGCGTGACGGGCAGGCCCGTCGGCCTCGCTCCGAAACATCGGACAGACGAGGCGCGAGGCCCCGCTTCCGCCCCGCACGGACCTCCGCCCCTCGCGGGCCCCAGCCTCCGTCATAGCCCCGCCGCTCCGGACCCCGGAGGGTGCGCTAGTGCGCCCCCCGCCCCCCGGTGGAGCCCAGTCGCCACGCCCCTCACCCCTTCCGCTCCACCTTCAGGGGACTCACCAGGGCAAGAGGTACACGAAGACGAACAACGCCAGGTCGACGAGGACGAACAGCCAGAGGTCCAGCCAGTAGGAGTGTTTGGGACCGCGGGCAGCCGCGGGCTGAGGCTGCACCTGGTGGTTCTGCGGCGGCCTCGCCGCCTCGTCCTGCCCGCGCCGCTCCCGGGGACCGGCCCCTCCATCGCCCGCCGCCGCGCCCCCCTCCATCGCGCACCGGCCCCGTGACGCCGTCCGAGCAGCTGGAAACCCCGCGCGTCGCGTACTTCCGCGTTCACCCGCCCAGAAACCGGACGGAGTCCGGCCCCTAGGCGGGCGCCCCGCCCCGGAAGTGGACTGTGCCCGGCCCTTCCCCCGCCCCCCAGCGCGCAGGCGCCGCCCACATCCCGCTGTGTCCGTGACAGCCGTCAGGCAGCGCGGCGGGCGGGACCGCCGCCTCCCTTCTGCGGAACCAGAGGGTCCGCCCACTCCGCCTGCAGCCTCCCCGGGGCGAGCAGGTCGTTCAGGTTCCCCTGAAGACCTGCCCGGGGCGGGCCGGAAGTCCCCACCACGTCCTGTTCCCTTCAGATGACGCGTTCCGCCCCGGAACTGCCCGGGGCACTTCTTGTCCCTCTGTTCCCTTTGGGTCTTTATGCCAAGGCTTTAGGAGGGGCCCGCTGATGGGTTTTGAACTGCCCCTACCTCAGGGGAGTGCATTTAAGAAGAACCCAAGGCTTTGCGAGTGTGATCCCCAGAGATTTTAGAGTTCTACCTGAAAGGAAATGATGGACCATTGTAGGCAAGCAAAAATTCTCTGCCTTCGCTGGGTCTCCAGAATTAAAGTGACATAAGAATTAAACTGACAAGACAGGCTAACCGGAGGCAAGCACACAGGTTTTATGTTTTTACATGCACAGGAGAACCTTCCTAAGAGCACACAGACCTGCAGAAGCGACCAGAGGAGAAAGCTTTTATCCCTTTCAGACAAGGAACCGAGACACGGGGGTGGTCAATCGTGGAGAAACGACCAGGAAGATAAGGGTTCGTCTCACGAGGTTTGTGCGGATTTCTTGCCTTGATTCCCCATCTCTGGTGATAAGAGTGTTTTTCTTCCTCCTAATACAGGAAGGGCCCCTTCATATGGGAGTTTTATCTCCTTGTTTCAGGAAGAAAAAGGTCAGAGTGCCCTTCTCGCACCTGCTGTCTCTCAAGTACGTTTAATTCAAAGTAACATGCCAAAGTGGCATATTTTGGGGTGACATGTCCTGGACTCGCTTCATTTCTCCTGTCTGAAACTTCCCTAGAAATTTCACACAAAAGCGGAATTTGTGGCAGTGGAGAGAAGAATGGGGTTGTGGCTGAGTGGCAAGGGATCTGCAAAGGGAGAGAAGAGAATAGATTAGAATGAGAATGAGTACACAGAAAATAACAGATCTAAGCACATCTCCCCATATCCCATTAAATCAGCCTCCCTTCCTGGGAATAGGCCAGTCCCATAGAACAGCTGAACCTCTTCTATCTGATGGAGAGTGTTTATCTTGTCCTTCAAAGGGTGTAGATTTGCAACTATTTGTCCCAAGAGATTTACATAGAGGCAGCATTCTTCAGCAAAGGGCGTGCACCTTCATTTTATTTTATTTTATTTACTTTTATTAGTTTCAGCATAGGGAATAGAGTGAATGAAATTATAACACCTTCCTTCTTTTGGGGCTGTCAGTATGTCCAGGTGAGGTGATTATAGAGCACAACAGAGGCTAGCTATTAACTTCTGATTGAAGGGCCTCCGATGTTTGCATGGCGATACTGAGCTCTTGTTCTATTTCTCTGGAAGGATTTCAAACTGCCTTTTGCGGCTGGTAAGTTCCAAAGCTTGAGAAAAGGGATCTCAGTACTGAAAAGAACTTAGCATTGTGAGACACACGTCAGTTTTCTATAACGCCTCGTCTAGTATGTTTATGCGGCACTGCTTTAAGAACAAAGGAGCCCAGGTTTGTAATTTGGCTGACATTTAAGGTGGAGTACCTGGTGACAGATGGTGTCAGGAATCCAAGTCCACATCGACCTGACCACCCGAGTGGGAACGCTTTATATACCTTATCATCACACGATGTAAAAAAAGACCAGTATTGTTCATGGATAAGATCAGCAGGGGCATTGTGCCCTACCAGGATGGGGGAGGGTACACCTTGTCACCTGTTGTGTTGGCAACTGCATGTCTCCATCATCCATGTAATCCTGTGAGTCAGTAGGAGCAGAAGCGGTTGTGAAATACCTGCTATAGGAGGCCTGAGCGGCTAGAGGGCTTGGTTTGGTTACCTGACCAACTTAGTCCGGAGTTTTGGTCTAACCATATGGAATCTTTGGTCTTTGGTGGCTAATTAGGGGAACAACTGAGCTGCTCCAGGTTACACATGGTGGCTTATGAGCCAGCTGTTAACATGGTGATGTGGCCAGTGTCCATAAGAGTGCTTTATTCAAAAATGTGCCCTTTATTCTAAAAACCTTGATGTACATCCAATCTCCTGGTCAAAAGGGATGGAGAGGCTTGCCGGTCAGTGGAGGCCGTGTGCTTTTGGCCGATTGGTGATCTCCTCCAAGTATCCTAGTTAGTCCCTGCATATAGCTACTTAGAGTATCAGATTGTTCACTTAAGTCCCTCTACTGTTTACTGAATCCAGTAGGCACGGGGCAACCAAGCACTCTTGCAAAAGGGGTTAATGCATGTCTTGTATTTGGAGTATTCCAGGTTTTTATAAGTGCCAGAGGTAACGTTTCTGGCCATTGAGTCCAGTTTCTTGACAGACTTTTCCTAAAGTCCTTTTGATGTCTAGATTTTTAGGTTTTATTTGCCCTGAGGATTGGGGATGGTAAGGGTATGAAATTTTAATGAGTGCCCCCAAGTTTTTGCAAGGAAGTGGTTTATTTCTACTGTAAAATGAACTCCTGGGTGTGAATCAGTCCATAAAGGTCACCAAAGTGAGGAATAATCTGAGTTACTAGTTTCTCCACCCCTGCTGTGGCATCGTCATGTCTCGTTGAGTAGCATTCAGTCCATCCCCTAAATATACAGGCAGTAGCCAGTGGGGATAGCCTAAAGCTGGAGGTAAATATAGGGAATGTGTTTGTAATGCCACAGGGGCAGTGTGACCAGGAGCCTTCTCACCCACAGCTCTGGCAACAAGGATGGGATGTCACTGGCTGGACACTGCTCACAGCAGCCCACCTCGGCGGAGAGACCGTGGGGCCTCCGACATCCCTGCAGAAGGTGAGAATTCTTACATCAGTCTCCCTGCTCTGCCTGCTCCCATCAAAGCGAGAGTGGTCAGTCTGTCCTTGTCTGTTTCCTTTCTAGATTTAGATTAGTGGGAGAAACCACGTTTGTGAACTAGTTCTTTAGGTAGAGCGACTCTGGTGTTTTCTGTTATGAGTACTCTTGCTTTTTATTTCTAATGGCTGCAAAGAAATGAAAACTTACAATCTCTCTATACCCCAGCACCCTCAGAGGGTTTATTTTCCCCCATCTGTGGGACAATACCCCATGAACTGACAGGGTCACCTGGTCCTCAGCCGCGCCCCCGAGCTCACCGTTCAACTAACAGTAGAGAATTGGGATCTGGACTTTTTAATTGACACTGGTGCGACGTCACCATCCATTCAGAGGCATATCTCTGCCTGGCACCCCTGATTCTATCCAAGCTGTCCGTGTCTCGGGCCACCCCAGTATCCTTAGGCCCTCCGTTTTTCTTTTCTCTTCCATCATGACTGCGTTCCATACCTGTGACAGTTCTCTTCGAGAGTTGTACAGTCGTCATGACCAATTGCTATTTGTTTCAGCCTTTAGACAGCGGTTCTCACCCTGTGGGTTGCGACCCCTTTGGGGGTCGAATGACCCTTTCACAGGGGTCGCCTAAGACCATCGGAAAACAAAAAGATATTTACCTTAAGATTCATAACAGTAGCAAAATTAGTTATAGAGTAGCAACGAAAATAATTTAATGGTTGGGGGTCACCACAACATGAGGAGCCGTATTCAGGGGTCATGGCATTAGGAAGGTTGAAAACCGCTGCGTTAGTAGCTCCCATTCATATACCCTGCTGGTAACCTGTGTGCACCCCACTCGGCCCCCTGGGGCCCAGCAGCCCCCTTCACTCAGCCAGCTCGCTTTCTTCCACCTTACTCATGGAAATCTCTCTGCCTTCGGGCTTGTGTATTATGTAACCATTAGTACAATCCTGTTCAAAAAACACTTGTTGAATCACCTCTTTTGTAACAATAGTGCAATGATACCACTAAACTCCGTCACTGCTGATCTCTCTCTCCCAGTAGGGATACTTTCTGAGGTGTTTTTTAAGTACTAGTAACCGGTGTGCACTGGTCCATTCCCCCATTTGGGACTTCTGGTCTTTAATCCCAGCAAGGCCCCTGTGAGTGTGCCAGGCAGGCACGTGAGCTGAGGGGCCACGGGAGCGCAGGTGCAGCCACCCAGCTCATGGAGGTGCTGGCTGAGGACCTGTCCCAGAGCAGGGGGGTGTTCAGACACTGCCCGGAGCCCCGAGGTTGGGCAGTGTGATCTGGGCGTGGGGAAGGCCAGGCCGGACTGGCTGTGACCTGCCTCCTGCCCTCCTCACCTTGCCGGCTCACACATGCGCACACTTCAACCATAAGAGCTCAGCCTGGTTTATTTCATGTGTTAGGGTTTCGGAAAAGATTTTATTTTAAAATGAAGCAGCCATTCTGTGGCCTTTCACAGTTTAAAAACAATGTCAATAGGGCAAAGTTTACTTAATGTGTAGGCATAGATGACAGGGATGTCGAAACCCACAATCTTGAAATATCATTATGCTGATCAACAGAGCAAACAACCTGCTTTTGTTTTATTGAAAGGTGCTAGAGGGACAGTCATTTAGGGTGGAGAATGAAAGGTTAGTCAATATGTGACATGTCTTCTCATAAAATTATATGAGTGGCTTCCAAGAGCAGATATCAGCATAGGCGTGAACTAGAATAACAGTGTTGAGTAAGTGAGCGCCAAGGGGGCAAATGCTATACATAAAACATTAACCAGAATTAGCCTCATTTTATCAGTGTGAGAAATGTCAGCACGTTAACAGCAGTTATCTCTAGGAGATGGGACCACCATCATTTTATTCTTTGTGCTTTTTTACATTTTCCAAATTTTCTCAATGAAAATACATTAATTAGAAGTTGGGAAGAAAGGTTTTGGAAAGCAAGTAAGTTAGAAAAGAAGCAAGAGACAGCCTAGGTCAACGTTATCGTTTAACTGTTTCCGACATGAAAGCACGGGCGCGAGGCAGGCGAGTGTCGGGACTGTAATGATTGCTGACTGCTTTTCAACCTACATCTCAAGTCACTCCATGATTCCTCGGGAAACGCAGGGCCAACATGAACGGAGGAGGCGGAGGCCTCTTGCAGAGGCTCAGCCTTTATATTCAGACCTGTAACTGCCCCTGTTAGAAAGCAGGTTGGCTTTTTTGTCCTGTTCTGGTGAGTGGTGAGAGCTATGTCAGAAAGCCCCGTTGGGAGACCCATGTTCAAAATGGTGGTCTAGGCAACTCCCAGCCTCTGTCCCTCCCCAGAAATATTGAGAAATAAGCAGAAAGTATCCAAATCAAGTTTTTCAGAACTCTGGAAACAAAGGTTTATAGCAAACAAGCCAGTGCTGAGTCAAAATATAGAGGAAGACACGGTCAGACTCAAAGGGAGAAATAGACAGTCCTGTGATAATTGTTGAGAATTTCGATATTTCAAATGACAGCTGGGTGGACTTTCAGTAATGGGTAAAACACCCAGACAGAAGATTGATAATAAAATGGAGGACTTGAACAGCACTGGGAGCCATTAGACACAGAGGCCTGTGGAACACCCCACCCAGCAGCTGCAGAATACGCCACAGCAGGTGTCGACCCAGGCAGGCTAGGCCAGTTGACATATTGGCTTCAGAAACTGGGAAGAGTAAAGTTCATAAACTCACCCAACGCAAATCCCAGCTGAGGGAACATGAAGAGGCTTGCATCTTCGTCACTCGTTCAGTGGCATCATGTGCTCTTCTCTTCCCAGCATCGCTTAAAACACACTTAGAACGGCTCATTCCATCACTTCCTCCAGGTGATTGTTCAGGCGTCACCTACCCAGGTGATTTTTCCCGACCCCCCTATTTAAAATCGTCCCCACCATCTCACCAGCACTCCACACCTCTTCCGGGCCTCATTTTCTGCATAGCGTCTACACCATCTAATGTACTTCACATTTACTTCTTGCTCTTGTATGTGACCTGTATTCCCTCCACGAGGAAGAGATGTTTTGGTCTGTCTTGTTCAACCGTTGTATCTCTAGGACCTAGATTGGCACCCACATATAATAAATGCTCCCTAAATATTTGTTGGATGATATTTTGAAAGAAAATTTATGTATATGATCATAGTAAATAAAATTGAATCTGGACTCTAGAACATACAGACTCCAGAACTAGATTGCTTGGGTTCAAACCCTGATTCAGCCACGTACTGGCTGTGACCTTGGCCAAGTTACATAACCACTGTCTGCCTCAGTTTCCCCATCTGTCAAACGAGGATTGTAATACTAGTTCTTACTGTAGACAGTTGCTGTGAGAATTAGCATGAGTTGAGTTTTATAAAGCACTTTGAACAGTGTCTGGCGTAGTATAGACGCCACCTAAGTGGTAACTTGCAGTGAGAGGTAACTTGCATTGAACTGCATCAGAATTAGTGCTACGTTTTGTGGATAATACATTTATTGATTTATATTTTATAATTTTCTCTTTGTGTCTTGAAGCAATTTGTATTTTGAAGATTTTGTAGGGCCTGGGCACTAGCCTTTTCACGTACAGTTACAAATAAAAATAAGAATGAGAAGAATCTCAAGTGTGAATTAAGCCTCTTAAAATTCAGAAATAATTAGGCATCGTAGGAAAAACTGACCAATGGAACATATAATTAAGGCATTCCATGTATCTGTGAGACCCTGCACACTTCTTTGTGACGCTTATCACAGTTGTTGGACTTGGTCAGGGCCAGTCTTCTGCCTCCAGAGTATCACCTTCTAAGCTGGATTCAAAGCCCCGTGGGAACAATAGATTTGTCTTGTTCACCACGAAAACTCATGTCACATTTGTCACATGGTAGGAGCTTAGTTCTTATTTGGTTAAAGAAATACGTACTGTTGACAACTCAGGATCCAAGGAAGCCGTAAATGAACAAGTTATATTTTTATCCACCAGAAGCAAGAATTCTTATTTCTACCTCTAAGAACATACCATCTCACCTTCTTTTCTGCAACCCAATCTGCGTTTTCTAGAACTCACCATAATCCCTTTTGCCTCATGGCCTCTTGTCTGCCTTTCAAATTTTGCCCATCGCTACTAGCTGATGGCATTTCTGTGTAGTGGAGTCAAATTCCCAAGAGAGAGACCCTAACCAGTTTGATTCATTAGAACTCTTGGTCTTAGATGCAGTTCTTGAATTCTAGGCTGCTCTCCAGTATATGGACTGACTGCCTGTGCATCAGGTGACCCCCATGGGACGTGCCAAAGTGGGAGTGACATTTCGCTCCATGCCCCATAACTTTCTTCATCTTCTGCCACTGTCTGCTTGCTCCTCTTTTCCAGTCAATTCTCCCATAAGGTCTGTTCCAGCCAGTAACCTGACTGGACATTAGCACTCAACGAGAGCATGACCTCAGGGGATCATCCCAGTTGGGAAGATGATGGTGCTGTTCTAGGTATTCTGACTCAGACCCACGAGGACCCTGATAATTTGATCTGTTTGATGACGTTCTTAGTAACCTACAATACGTGTCTCTACCAGTGCTGTCCACCATTGAATGCTTGATGCCTGGCACATAGAGCTGTGTGCAACATAAATGAAAGCCGCTTTAGGGGATTGTTCGGAAGGACAGACAAGGAGTCTCTGTATTACTTCTGGTCAGTTTGGGAGTTGGAACTGAGTTAGCAGTTGATAATTATTTCAAATTACAGAAAGGGTATGTCCAGCCTTTCTGGAACTCGCTGTCCTGCAGACACGCAAAGACCCTGCATTGGGAGTCTTTGAAAGAGTTCATGCCATTAACCAGTAGGTGGCAGTCTTACACTAGAGCGGAGAGAAAACACCAGTATCAGAGACTAAGAAGCATTTCCTGATAGTCTGAAGTGTCGGTCCATCACCATCTGACCCTTCCTAGTCCCCAGAAAACCCCTCCCACGTCCATGCTCCCCAGGACAACTGTCTCACCCAGCCAGTCACCTCTCTGCAGGTGCCCAGAGGTGCCTTGCCTCCAGTCCAGTTGCTCACGGGAAAATATCTTTCACACGTAGTCATAGCCAGCTCATAGGAGCAAGAACAGCCACCTGATTTTCAGGGCCCTGTATACAATGAAAATGCAGGGCTCCTCATTCAAAATGTATTGCGGATTTTAAGACAGTAACGGCCGAGTGTTAAACCAAGCATACGGACCTCCTGAGCCCCACACTCATGATGCCAGCCATGCTTACGGATTTAAAAAGTATCTCCCTCTTCCCACCCTCTGTCACCGCAACACCTCCCTGTGACACACACCCAAGGGGCTGCTTCAGGGAAGAATCACTGAATGCTCTTCAGAGATCATAGACTCTCAGCACTGGAAGGGAATTCAGGGGTCATCTAGGCTGCCTCATTTTAAAGATGATTGAACTAAATTCGAAAGGGATGAAGTGACTTGTCCCAAGTCCCCAGCTGGTTACATCACAGATGGCACGGAACTAAGAGTTCTCATTACCAGGCCCCGGCTCGCTCTGCCACACTCGGCAAGGGTATTTTAAGGAAAGACTTCTCCACCTGCTCAGGGCACACTTTGCTCTGTTTTCTCCACCAGAGAAGGGCACAGGTTTGAATTTCTTACGTTACTGAGTACCCCTGATATGCTGGGCGCCACACTAGATGTTTTATATCTAATACCTCAATTAACACCAATCTCGGAAAATCATGACTATTGTCCCCATTTTCCAAGTGGGAAAAATTGAGGCTCAGCACTTGAATTTTAGTCAGTCCATGGAAGGACAAGAGTTTAAGCACCTCTGTGTCTTTCCGGGTCCCATTCTCTCTCCACTATTCCCGCGTCCTCAGAAGGCTGAGCCAGCCAGCATGTCCTGAGCGCTGGTCTGGTTTGGGGTCAGTTCTGGAAGGCCGTGGGGACCTGAGCAGGCTGCCCATGCTCTCTCTGTTCACCAGCCGAGCTCCTGCCACAGGGCCTTTGCTCCAGGGTGTCGCCTCTGCTCGCAACATGCTTCCCCCGGACATTCCATGAGAAGAGGAGCGCATGTCAGATAGGAAACGGGGGATCTGATCACAGAGGGCCTTCTAGGCCACCGTAAGGACACTGGCTTCTTCTCTGAAGGAAAAGGGGGGCCTTGCAGTGCTTTGTGCACAGGAGTGACATGACCTGAAGCCGATTTTAAAGGCTCCTGGCTGCTGTGTTGGAAAAAAGACTGGCGGGGCGGGATAGGGACGGTGGAAGGAAGGAGGCTTTTTAGGGAGTCGGTTCAGTCATCCATGGGAAAGAACATGGTGACTCAGACCACGGCGACAGCAGGGGAGTGATGGGAAGTGGCTGGCTTCTGAAGTTCTATATGTATGTGTTATGTCTTTAAGTTTTTGTTATGGAAAATTTCAAATGCATATAAAAGTAGGGAGACAAGTTTAATGAATTCTCATGCTCCAAGCAGGTACGCAGTGAACCTATCATGTGTCTCTGTGTGTCAGGCACTTTCGACAGCGGCAGCCATCGTCAGCTTGTGACCAGCCTTGCCCCATCAGCACCCTCCACCCCACTCACCCCAAGGCCAGATTGGGGGGAAGCAATGTGAAGTGAACCCTGTGTTTCCGGGGAAAGTTGTCAGCTTTTACTACTCCGCTGCTTCTCCCAGGCCCTCTGTTCAGCTGTGGACCTGGGGCCCCTGCCTGGTCGTGGCTTCATAGACTCGTGACTCACTCACCGCCTGCCTTTGTCCTCTTTAAACTTTTTCCTTCCTACCCATGACTGCGTATTTGTCAAATTGAAACTCCCTAAGAAGAGGTTCTTCTGGGTTCAGTTAGTGGCGTCGTTCCTTCTGCACAGAGGTCATTAACTGGCCAGATTGTGTGGGATCGGCCGCTCCTGGTCAGGCACCCTGCTGGTCAGTCCAATGGCATAAAATCAAGGTCAGTGTCCTCGAGAGGGGTTATAGCCATGGCAGTCACTTAGCAAATGATAGGCTTCTCTCCAGTGCTAATAAATTGTGGAGAATTTAATACTAGAAAGGATACAAATTGTGAAAAAAAGTGAGCCTGCAATGAGGCCAGAAATAGATCCGTGTCTAACCACTTCATTGCCACTGCTTCAGGTTGTGACCTGGATCATTTGCAGCGCTATTCTGGGGTGCCACTAAGGAACTAAGGGATATTTTTTCCTTAAGATATTTTTGTTTATAACAGGCTGAGTAATAGCACAGATCATAATGTACCAGGCTGAATGTCAAGACCTACATTTAATGTCTGTCTTCGCCATGGACTCCCTACAACATTGGACAAGCTGATAAACTTCTTGCGCCTTAGTTCCTCCATTTTCACATGGGATTAATACCTGTCCTTTTTCTGTTTTACATATATAGACAGGTAAGATTAGAGAGGTAAAAGTACTTTGAACCTGTATTTTAAAAAAGCATATGAAAGTCTAAATAATTACTATTTTCTGTGTGAAATTTTTAATGAAGTTATAAAACGAACAGGTGGATTTAAGTTGGTGTTTTTGCGAAAGGTTACGTATTCTCTAATCTGTTCATTTCCATCATGTACTCAGATGTTTTCTCTCTACATTGTAATGTTTCTGCTGTAAACATAGCACTTAGCACAGGGCCTGGAACGTAGTGAGAACTATGTAAAAGTTAGCTGTTACCTTCATCCGTGTGAAAAAGAATTAGTCAAAACAAAAGTTCATAGAGTTAAATTCATAAAAAAAAATCGACCTCCCTCTCCACCCCTTAATACACTCCCTCCTAAAATGCAATTGCTTGAAGTACATAAAATAGTGTATCATGTGAGGGTATGAATGAAAGAGAACATTTTGGGCCCTGGCACATTGGCCACGTGTTTATGAGTAAAAGGGGTGGCAGTTGAAGGTGACATTTCCGGTATCTGCCAGCCCAGCATTCTGAAAGGCTGGCAGGGGGCCTGCTGGATCAGGGTCCTGTGGGGTGTCCTAAAGTCCCCGGTTTTGTTTTCTGAGGTTCAGACAGAGGAGGATAACAGTGGAGAGAGGGAATGTAAAACACTGGAAGTTTCTTGGTGACCTGATTCTTAGCCAGGTCTCGAACTGCCAAAGGTGTGGGAGATGTAATGCAGGTCTTTCGCTTGTACGTCATTCGTTTCCTATCGTATTACTCAAAGTGGTATGTGTGGGAAATACACATTTCCACACCCAGAGAGGAGGACTGGGAGGAAAGGCAGAATGGTGGCGACTGTTGGATCCTGGGCTTATGGGAATATTTATTTTGCATTTGCTTTTATTCTTCAGTTTTCTGGTTGAATATGTATTATTTTTATAGTAATTGATTTTTACAGAGGAAAATACTTAAAACCAGTGTAACATTTTAAAGACCCCCATGCAATCTATGTCTTTAGTTTAGCAAATGTGGAAAAAAAAACAAATAGTGTATCTATACACACATCCATGTCACATAGTTTGTTGTTGTTGTTTTTGTTTTTAAAGAACAGGCTACTTACAAAACAATGTAGGGACAACATTTATTCATGTGTTTTGAAGAATGTGACAGGTTCTTTTAGAACACCAATAAATGTACATCTTAGAGATATAAACCAGGTTAAATCCTAATTAGCTTTTACTTTTGCTTTGGCAAGACTGGAAATGTAAGTGGTCCGTGTTATAAAGGCCTGATTGGTCAGTAACTTAAGACGGGACGAGGACAGAACAGGGCAGTGGGACGCTTCAGACTCGCCGTCCCGTCTGCGTTCTGGGTTGGGCACCGAGACAGCACTCATTCCTTCTTGAAGATCCTCTTGGCTTCTACTCCTTCATACACGTAAGTCTGAAAGGTGTTAAAAACAGAGGAATTCCCCATTAAGATTTAAGACTAAGTTAAGAAAAATATTAGATTAATATAACATTATAGCTTTAAAATGAATTTGTAGTATTTTTTCTTGTACTCAATAGCAACATTTTATACAGATACAGGATACACCCATTTAAAAACACGTTTTCAGGTAAAGTAGGCATCAATGTATTTGACATATATATAAGTTCTCATCAATATTTGACATATATATATATATATATATATATATATATATATATAAGTTCTCTTTAATTCAGAAAACATATTTTTAAAATCAGAAGATTTATGAGAAAAGTAATAGTCTGTTTATTGAAGATATAACAGCAACCACAAAAATAAAATTGTATGTAATTATTTTTTCCTTTGGGAAATAGCTATAATCCTTTTATAACTCACCTGGACCAGTTCACCACCTACAATTTCCCGGACAGCATTCAGTGCGTTTCCATTGTCTACCCGGTTGAATTTTCCAATGAGTTTATTTCCCTCTAGGCTCCAGGTCCCCTATAAAAGGATAAAAATAATCATAATACAATAGCACATGGTAGGGTCTTACATGTGTCAGGTGCTATTCTTAGTTGTACAGATCTACTTCTTCCACCTTCACAGTGACCCTGTGAAGTAGGTATTATCACCTCCATTCCCCAGATGAGGAAACAGACACAGCGTCACCCAGAGGCACAGAGCTGGCAACCAGGGTACCCCTCTCACCCAGCATTTCCAAGTGCTGAATTTTACTTTTCTAAATATTTCATGTTCAAAGGGTGTCCTAAATTTAGTCGCAGTTCAAATTAGTTTCATGGAGAGGTTAACAACCCTGTGCTTGTTTTAATTTAATTGTTACAGTAATTTTAAAATGGCCATGATTGAGCAAATATTTGACAGGTTGTCATTGCAGACATATATACTTTAACTAGAAGAATTCTAAGGACGAAAAACTTGAAAAAAAATCAGTTGAAACATGTGACTCCCAAAATTTTATATCTTAAATATTAAAAGGTGTATTCCCAAAGACCGACAATGTAGCATTAGACCTTTCCATGTGGTTACTCACTCATTCACTAATTTATTTATTTATTTTATTATTTCAGTTACATTTATCAAAAGTCTGTTATGTTTAAGTTAGATAACTCAAAGCTTTTGCTGCTGTCAGTATGTGAAATGAAAAACACTGAGTTTTAGTTTTCTTTATGAATAGGTCTATACTCAGTCATTCAAAGGATTTTTTCTAATTCTTATTGTTCAATCCAGATTCCTTATAGCTGTGTATGAAAATAAAAATGTGTAAATACTCTGCCAACTTGTGCAATATCTAATGTGGATAAACTTGTAAATGAAAGAGACCTACATTAACTAAACCATCCAGAGACAGAAAGCAGAGATTATTGTAGTATTGTATAGAAAAATCAAGAACCCATTGCTTATAAAAAGTTTCTTACAGTGAGTTCAGTTCCGTCTGCTAGGCTGTAGGTAAAAGTGACACCAAGCTCAAAAACAATTTCAGCGGTTCGAAAAGTGCTTGATTCTTTGACCGTGAATTTATTTCCTTCTTGTGTGATTATCAGCTTCAGATTGTCATGAGCTGCAAGCTTCCTTTTTACCATGTTAATACCTGCAAAGGGAAAGAGATTGGATAAAGGAAAGGCAGGACGCCACAGGAAGTCTTTCTTTTTCAAAGTTCCATTTTCATGAACGAATTGCTAATATTTGGAGTGTTAGGGGAAACCCTGAAAGCACTGCGTTTGCACAGAACATTCAGGTGGCTTCTGCAAAACAAGTTCAAGCACAAAGCCCCAGGGCACTGATTCCAGCTGTTTCTCCAAAATTTAAGAAAAATTAAATAAAGCATAGCATTATAGAACCTCACAACTGAGTAACTTTAATAAAATTATCAAACGTTTTGTTTCAGTGTTTAGTAAACCAAACTCCATAAAGGGCAAAGGAAGGATTAAAAGGCATATTCATATATTTATAAGGATATGCAACTTGAATTCTGCATACACGGTATTCTTTTTTCTAATGTCACTTTGCTTTCCATAGTAGCTTTAAAATTTGAACTTCTTAATTCATTATCTCTGCTCTTTGTGACATTTCTGACTCACAAAAATGAGAAACTTAGCAGTTATTACAGGTAAGTTCATTATTGTAAAGTATATCAATTCCATAAAGTTGCACTAAGAATCCCTGAACTGTAGGTGATAATGGATGCAAATTTATATTTTCAGGGAATGACACAAATTTGTTTAGCCATTTTGTTGCAGTGTATAGGCTGCCAGGTTATTGGTATAGATACTAAAATAAATTAAAACCATAGAAACTACATAGTGTCATGAGAGTATTCCAAAAGTTTTATAGGTCAGAGGAGAAAAGAACTAAGTCTTATTTATTCAGTGCTGTGACTTTCGATAGCACTCTTTGCTGTTAATTTATTAGATGGTCTTTGCGTTTCCATCCCCTAGAATTCAATGTTTTGAAGTCTAGAAGTTATCATTATGCACTGCTATTTTTTACTGTCTAAAAAAAACCAAAACAAACACACAAACAAACAAAAACCTGTCAATTTTCAGTGATACAGGCCTAGTCAGCGGTAAACCTGACTGAAAGCTCTGGATATTTTTTGCGTTAGATGAACACGTGAGACTCGCTTCTTCCTCTAAGAGACAGTGTGTCTCCCTAATGAAGCAGGAAGGGCATGGTTTTCGCTACCGAACCGGCACACACCCTGGCTCCCCCCTGTCCAGCAGGCACGTCCACATGCGCAGAGCTTCAGAGGGAGTTAGAAAGAAGGAGAAGAACAAGTCTGTGAGAATTAAGCCCTTACCCATCTTCTCCATGAACTTGTCATAGTTCTCATTCCGGTCCACCTTCCAGGTGCCATCAAACGCCATGATGCCCCGTCGAGTCAGCCTCGAGACAGTCCAGGACTCGGATCTGCCCTGAGCAGAGAATTTATTCTATTTCTTATCTCAGAACCAGCTTCATGCTGTGATATGGAAGTTTAAAGTTCAAAAGTCACCAAACTCCACGGACGCCACGCCGCTGGAGTGGTGGTTGTTTTTTTTTTATAACTCCTTAACTCTTCTCCCGAAATTCAGCCGAATGAAAACATAAGATGCGTATAGTAATGTTTTCTCTTGAATTACAATTTCTGGGCACATTTCTTTCAAGAATTAGCATGCGTGGTGTCTGAAGATAGATTTTCTACTCCGAGTTCAAAGTGCACTCTGCTGGAGATAACATAATTTAGAGCGTATATCAAATACCATCTGGGAAGTGAGAGCCCTGGCGACCTGTTCCCTTTTTACAATTGCAGTCACCTCGTAAATAAGGCTTTATGACCAAATTCAACTGACAGGTTAAAGTTAATATGATATTGAGACTGAAAATGTATCGATTTTTCGAAGGTGTCCTTTTGAATTGCGTCTTGGGGTTGCTACAGGTTTAGTTAAATATCCTGGTACCTGGTGAAGCGCATGGCACGTAGCAGGGACTCCTTCTGTTTCAGTTTTGGTGAGAGGCCGCTGAGAAGAATTTCAAGAGGTAGAAATGTGGCTGGAAAAGTCCCAAAAGAGAGAGAATTAGCTTTAAATGTCTGCCATGTGCAAAGAACATGAAAACCAGACGTTAGCTCTGCTTCCTTTGTTCTGCTCTCACCCCCAAACCTGGTGCAATCAGAAGCCAAAACGCAGTATGCGTGTGGGGTACAGGATGGAGTGCCGCTGGTCAGCACTTAGCTTCCCCACTGCGGGCTCCAGCCCCGAGCAGGCCTGAGCTGGTGGAGGAGAAACCTTTCCTTAGCATGAAGGGCCGAGTTTTGATTACTGACTAGCCTGAGCATATGAATTACTAGAAAGAGACACTTATTGTGGGTGAAGGTGACCAGAGACCGCTTGTTAAGTATGAGACGACCGGGTGGGTGTGCCCGAGGTTCCGTTCAAGGGTCTAGGGAAGGACGCATCTCACACACCTGAACAGGACCTGTGGGAACAGTGTCAGGTTCTTAAACTTGATTGTATCCATCGGGCTCATTCTTTCGGCGGAATTGCCCCCCTTTTTATTTCATCAAGCAGAGGAAGAGCAGCCTCTGCCAGCCGCCAAGCGGTGTGGACAGAGCGGAGCTGACAGAAGGCCGTCTGCGTCCTCCCCTCTCCTCCAGGGCAGAGCCGACCAGCAGCCCGGCCCAAGAAGCTCCTGGGGTGTCGGCACGGCCTGCATGCAGGCCCCGGCCCCCAGACACGTGCTTTCTGCTGCTCAGGTCCCCCCTGGTCGCCGGCCGCTCCCGGAAGCCAGCCCTGAACGCCCAGGAGAGGGTGGTCGGGTTAGTCTGCTTCAGAGCACTGACCTTCCAAAGGTCTCAGCATCACTCATCAGAGCCGAAAACCGCTGAGTCACATAGCCAGGGAGATAGCAGTGTCATCACCAAGTCCAGCGGCATCGCGGGCAGGGCAGTGCGATGTTTCTAGCTCGTCTCAAAGGACTAGCTCTCTAGAGGTCGCAGAAATCCTTTGCTCACTGTACGGCAAGAAGGAAAGTCTTTCTGGAGTATATATGTTTTAATATCCTTTATGGGAAACAGCATTTTCAGGCCTTTTCTAATTCCGTCCGAGTTTCTGAATCTGGCTTTTCATCCCCAAGTTGGTAGACTTTAAAGGCTGGAGAAAAACAGTCGTGTGTCAGGGCTAAATCGAAGGGTGTGTGGGACCGACGGGACGGCCTCAGCCAAGCCTGCAGGCTGCGGTCCACCCCCAGCCCTGAGCAGGGCCAGGGGCCTCAAGTCTCCCACGGACTGCACTCTGGTTTCGCCATGAGCCGCTGCCTTTTAGAACTGTAAGACTGGCTACATTATGTCGTAGATTTTGTACCTGAGAAGGCTGGTTGGTTTTCTTCGAAGAAGACAGAGCTAGAGCCCTGCATGGAGGGGTATCCACCAAGGAACGGGGCGTGGGGCCCCCAGGCTGTCGTTCATTACTGACCAGGCAGCCTTTCTGTAGGATCCTTGTGTGGCGCTGAATGGCCTTGCGTGAAGGACTTCTGACCCCTTCACGTTCTGTCTCGTCTGTGGAATCTGAGTCGGCCCCCTCATGCAGTTTGCGGGGGAGGCTGCTCTCCTCCTGTGCCCTCACCTCACACGCAGGAAGGTGGGCGCGCGTGATCTCAGCTCCCGGCTACCATAGCCCGCATCCCAGCCACGTTTCCGCCTTTTATTTATTTATTTTAAGAAAGGCTTTCCTTTTGAGCCCATTTTCACTTGGGTGTCGCCTTCCAGCCACTTCATCATGTCATCTACCACCTCCCCCATCTGTCATTATCTATCTGTTCCCATCTAGCTTTGTCATCTGCCATCTATCACTGAAAATCTTGGCGCCTGGCTCATCACCATCCTGAGTGACCTCAAAGTCCATGTGGATAAGGCCTTGTCACTCTGGCCTCCCGTTCCTTAACCTCCTCATCTCTACGCTTTATCCAGTTCCATCCAGGGCGCTAAGCTGACACTGGCCACCCCTGTGACGCTGAACAGGCTCTCTGGGGCTCTGACTTTCCGTCCTCTCAGCTGCCGCACTTGCTCCCACAACGTCCTTCATAGCAACATGTTCAAGTCGCTCCTGTTTTAAGAAAAGAACTCTCCTGGGTTCTGTTGATGTTTCTAGAACCTACTCAGTCTTCCCGCTTCCCGTTATAGCTGGGCCACTGTCTCCACGGTCTTACCTTCCCAGCACAGCTTTCACATTCACCACTCCAGCAAAACGACTTACTGAGGTCCCTGATGGGCGTTTGGTCCACAGTCCCATGCACACACCGGGCCCTTACATCATTGCCGCATTTCAGACCACGGACGCCTCTCTCTTTGAACTTTGTCCTCTTCTTTTCTTGACTCTTTCTTGCTGTTCTTTCCTGACACCCCTCTTGTTTCTCGGAGCACGGGCAGCTCTTCCTCAGCTGACACCTTGCACTTTGAAGTCACATCTTAAGGCGTCTTAATTCCACACCATCTCCCCGGACCGGGCCCTCTGTTCCCTCCCCACGTCTTCAGCTTGCCCCCGTGTGCCCCTCACATTTTAAGGTACAGCCCAGATCACTCGGCTGCCAGGTCCCTATTCCTTAGCAGGTTCCCCACAAGCTGCAGAGGAGCGGGACTTTCCATCCTGCCTGCTTCTCTCCTCTTGGATTTCGTGTGTCAGCGAGTGATGCTGCTGTCCTAAGGGTCCTTCTAAGGTCTCTCCTCTCCCTTATCCTTGGCTTTCCATTTATCAACAAATCAACTCCATTTTTACCCCTTAAGGTCACTTATGTGTACCTTCTTCCTTCGTATTCCCGATTGTCATTGTTTCTCACCTAGATTACTAACTGGTTTTCCCCACTTTGTCCCCCAGAATCCATTTTGTCCAAAGAATTATCTTTATAGAATGTGAATCTCGTCACATCCTGCCCTTGCCTGTTGTCACTCAGGGATCCCCTATCGCCATCGGCATACAGTCCCAAATCCCTCACCTCTCCCGTGGAGCCCCTACTGCCTCCCCTGTGGGGTGCTGGCATCGCACACATCTTTGCCCGCTGTCTGTCCTCCACCCCCAACCCGCACGTTTCCTTCCCAGCGCCCACTCGGCCTGTAAGGACTGGCTCACTGCCACCTTTCCAGCAAGCCAGCCTTACCCACCTCCGTCCCCTGGCCTGGCTGGCGTGTCTTCACCTGTGTTCTGATGTCATTATTGTAACCCCTCCCCTTTACAGTTACTCTGTCCATTGCAATGGTTTGTTAACCCATTTGTTTCTTCCAAGAGATTTTCAGATTTGAGGTCAGAGATGACACAAAATGTGTACAGGTTTTGTACAACATGGTTCCTGTTTCCTAACTAAAGTCTTTGTTGCCCATTTGCAAGTGTCACTTGTTTCCCACTCGGGTACAATGTGTGAGTGACTAGCTACCAGGCTGTGTAAGAGTGAACAGGATCCCACCGCTTTCCACCCTGATGCGCGGGGTCCTGGGCCCACCAGTGTATGTGACTCCCGGCCGACGTGGCAGCCTGATCCAGGAGCCCCCACTTGCAGGCTTTTCCAGAAGAAAGTTGACTGCAGATAATGGACCCCAAAGCTATCTAGTTGGCAGAACACCGCACGGGGCTCATAGTACATACGCTGTTTTGTAAACGCTTTAAAAATTAACTATCTTAACATTTTCTCATTTCATTAAATATCCTCTACATCATTAAGAAAACTTTTAAATTATAGGTTAATGAGCAGTCAGTGAACGTAACTTACAAATTGTTAAAAGGCATAAAGAAAAACTTAATCAAGGACCCCTAATCCTACCCGCTGGACATAATTACTTAATGTTTATGTGTGAGTCTTCTAGTTTAAGTATATGTTTGTTTATGTGTACATGCATATTTTCACATATTCCTATGTGCATGTGTGTATATATGTGTACACATATGTATGTATAGGAAATACATGGGTATACGTACGTGTGTACTCACATACCTCCACACACACCTTCATTTGGCACCAAATATAGAGGGGTTTGAAGGACGCATCCGGAAGAGAAGGCTAGTTACATATTACTGTAACCTTGCTAAAAATGAAGGCCTGAAAACAAGACGGTGAAAGTTAAATTGGAGAAAAGAGAACCCCAGATGTATGGGAATGCCCTAGGTGGCTGTCAGAGGCCAGCTTAGCAAACAGGACAGTGGGTGCCACTGTGCCAGCTGTGTGGTATCTCCCAAGGGTATCAGGGCACAGGGTTCTCTTTTCAGCTAGCTTGTCTGTAAGGAAGAGGGACCTTTGAAACACAAAGTCCCTGAACATTAATCAGACATTCAAATTTTCCCCTGAGGAACATTACACTTTTCAATAGGAATTTGCTGCTTTTTTTTTTCTTTTGTTAAAGATTTTATTGGAGAATTGGGGGAGGGGAACAGCGCTGGGGAACTGGGGAAGGGGAACAGACAAGTTGCTGTCCTTTTGTTCTTCAGTCTAGTTGTGGAGGACGTCGCTTCACTGGCCCATGTTGGTATTGTGATCATTGCGCTCTTCCCGGGCGAGGCAGATTGCTCACCGGCCATTGGACGGCCGCTCATGGTGGCTCACAGCAGCTCACAGTAGCTCATGGCAGCCCACTGCAACTGGGACTGCAGCCTACGCCGTCACCAGCCACCCATGGCAGCTCAGCTCCAGGTCGAGCTGCTGTTCACCATCCCAGCTGTAGAGAGCGCAGCATCATGGCCCTCATGTAGGATCTGAACCCCGGGCCCTGCTGCCCAGAGCTGGCGTCCCAAACCAACTCTTAACCAACACGCCACCGGGCTGGCCCAGGAATTTGATTCTTAAATCATCTACCTGTTAAGGACTCAGATTAATTTAAATAGAATCACTCTTTGTAATAACTCAATTGGACTCTTACTATCTATTTGCCCATCCATCCTTCTGTAACCGTAAGATGAACAAACACAATTACGGAGTTGGGTTTAACTAAAATAGAAATTCAGTTTTGTCTTTATGGTTCTCTGGGAGAAGGTTTTTTTCCTGTGCCTCTTTGAAAACATAGGCAGTTCCTTGATTTTCTGACCATGCAAGTGATAAAATGTTGTCTCATGGCCTCCAGGTTGCACAGCTCCAGGGTCACCACTTGCATTGTAATCTTCCCTAACAAGTCACCCGAGCCCCTCAATAGATTATAATGGGAATGGTTGGCAAACGTGGGCTGGAGGCCTCAGGTCACTTTAATATCAAAGTCATAGTTTTAATTCAGTACTTAGAAGTGTTTTGTCTAATACAGTAGAGAATGCCTTACTCTCATCCCCACCCCCTCCATGCCAGGGCCTCACGCAACCACACCAGCGATCTTCGGGGAGAGGGTGCTATAACCTTCTGGCCGAGCCCCTCCAGGGTGGACGGGAGGCTGGAGGGCAGAGGGGGCCCTCTGAGGGCTCTGGCCTTTGGCCTCACTCCCGGCGCCCCAGGCTTCTGCCTTGGGCAGCTGGTCCTAGGGCTGCATACTGCCAGTGCCCCGACCTTCTCAGTCCCGCTGCTGGCACAGGATGACGTGTAAGTGGCCCTGGACCGATGCTCTTACCACTGGCTGTCATCCAGTCCTTAGCATTGCGGACTTTTGACCCTCTGTTAGAGGGGAGTGCAGTGCCGTCCTGGTTCCCTGCTGCCATAGCCTCCTTCTCGCAGGCACAGGTGAGGGCCAGACATCACTACCTGTGCCCCTCGGTCAGGATGGACCAGGGGGAGCTAGTGCGGCACAAACCCTGAGTACAGAATTGGGGGGGAGGCAAAAAACTCAGCAATCAGGATAGATGACATTTTAATGAAATATGTACTTGTTAAAATAAATATTATTAGTGCAAAAAACATGATGAAAAAGATATCAGATTTTTAAATAAAGACAGGGCTAGTGCAGGAGACACTGATTCATGTGCATGTGTCGGGGTGCCCTGCAAACAGCCCCCAGCCCTGTCCCCCCCGTAGCACATCTCTCCTTCCATTGAAATCGTCCTCAGAACAACCCTCTCACTGCCTCCATCTTGTATAACTGGGTTGAAATATAGGCTCTGTGTTCTAACAGCTCACTTTGAAATGTGTTCTGTAAATTGTTGTATGACTCAAAATATTCAGTTTAAATTTTTATCCATCCACCCACCCATCAATCCATCCATTCATTTATCGGGGTCATGGGTGAAGGAGGCTAAAGATAATCTTCAAATGCTGGCATATTTAATCACTTTTAAGAGACGGTCTATATATACGGATGGCTGTGAAGTGGAAATGTGTACAGTTACAAAGGGAATACCTCGTCTGCCTCACCAGCTGGGCCCTGAGCACTGGTGATGTGTAAAACTAAAGGGAGTCGCTGTGCACTTTGCTCTCCTGTTGGAAAGGCCCCATAACCCATGCCATGTCACGGCTCCTCTGTCCTGCTAGGATCCCCCCTGAAACAGCTCATGCGAGTTTCTGACCCGTTGTCAATATAAATGGAGGCTGGCCTGCAGGGGGAAAACGGCAGCTGGCCCTGTTCAGAGGAGACCAACAGCCTTCAAGCCAGTGAATTGTCAGTTCCTTTGTAAAGGGTGTTTTTATAATCACTCAGCTGTCTTAGGGGTAGCGTTCACAGGACTCTGTCAAGGAACACAGAGGTGCATATAGCATTGCAGGCATTGAGGTGGTTTTTTGAAACTTATTTTCAGAGATTTTTAAGACATTTTTTAGCTGGTGTATTACAGGGATAATTGAGTCAATAAATATTTGTTATCTGTTTAGTGTATGTGATACAGAGCTATTGGTGCCAATGGTCGAAGGTAATTGTCTCAGATCAACTCAGGCACCTTTGACCGATCTGTGTAGCCAGGTCTAAATGAGCACGTTTCCCTCTGAAGTCCAACTGCATTTTATCTCCCCGATAAGTGTTCAGTTGTCCCCTGCGTCAGCTGTGTCAGCCTGGGTCATCTGCGAGACACTGCTCCGTAAGTACAGCCTGCGATCTATGTGGCTTCATAAACTCAAGTGTAACGTGCTGGCCACAGAAAGGAGGGTTTCATAGCACCATTCCTGCTTGGAACAGCATCATTGGGATTTGGATTAATTGTGATCCAAAAAGTTGTCTTAGCTCACGGCGTATGACCTCTGAACCCCCAAGTGCCAAAATCTTACTATGTAAAGCAACCCCTGTGATACAAAAGCAGACAGATAAACTGAATCGCATGTCACACCATGCTGCTGTCCTATAATGTACTGTCTGAAGAGGTCTTGAGAGTCAGCTCCTGTTGCCTCAGACATGACAGTCCTCCCAACTGAATTCCGGCAGCCCTCCCACAGGGAGAGGCCAGCCTGTTCAGGAACGGTCGGCCGATGGCACCTGGGAGCCTCTGGCCTGTTGCTGGCAGCGGGCAGGTCAGTGGAAACAAACGCGTGTTATGAAGTCCACATCTCTAACGGACGTCTTCCAGAAAATAAAATGGGATTTCCAGAAACATGTGCAGGCTTCCTCAGTGCTTGTTATTAACATGAGCACTGACACAAAGAGTGCTTTTCACACACACGGGACAAGGAATCCTCGGGGAAAGTCCCCCTGAGCCCCCCTAGCTGAGAGCGCAGACAGCACTGCAGCCGTGGGGTGCTCTTCGAGACACCTGTGAGGGCGGGAGGGTGGCCCTGGACCGGGCAGGGGACAACCGAGCCTGTGCTCAGAGGACATCGGGAACTGGGACAACCCTGTAAGAGGCCCTCACTTAGACAGGGCTGGGTCCTTGTGCCCACATCGACCAGTGATAGGATGCAGGCTGCCCCTGCAGAGAGGGTGTAACCTTGAGCTAGGCAGCACCCTTAGGCCCAGGACAGTTTTGGGTAGGGACCCCGCTGGGAGCTGACACTGTGCAGTCAACACTTCAGACTGTGCGCCTTGGGGCTGCGAGTGTGGGGCCTGGGGGGGCTGGGGTGGGTCCGCAGTGGAACAGCAGCCCTCCTCTGTGGCTTGCTGACACTGTCCTTGTGTCTTGGCCTCTGGGGAAATGACATTTCTAACGTGCAGAGGCCACAGCTGGAGGGGCAGGAAGTAAGGGCGACAGGGCCTTTTGTTTTTACTCTTACTTATCAGGCCAGATGTTCTGCCTGTTGAGGGCAGAGCAGCCTGTGATGGTTGTTAAGAAGTGCACACTGCCGCCTGGATTAATAAGTGTACGCCGTCTCCTGGATGCTGTCGCCTGGATTGGTAAACTTACGCTGTCACCCGGAGGCTGACGCCCACCCGCAGTGCGAGCAGCTTTACTCCCTCAGGAGGAATCCCTGACAGGTTTGTGGGCCCATGGCCCTGAGAGCTTCAAGGCCCACCGCTAGCGGCCGCGTCCCGCCTCCAGGCTGCGCGGAGCGCTGTCCTGTCCCGTTCCGAATCGTTGGCTGCGCCTGGCATCGGGTTGGTGAGCCCAGGGGCCCTGCCCTGGACGACTGGATTCGATCATGGACTGTCCTGGCTAAGAGCTGGTAAAAAGGGAAACTTAAATGTCGCCAGGAAATCCCAAAGCCACATCGTCGCGAACACCTGGCGATTCTGTAGTGGGGGCTGACCCCCAGTGCCGCGGGATGGCTGACCATCCCAACAGCAATGCGTCTGTTTCTGTGAGGTCGGCGGGGCCAGCTCGGCCATGGGAGCAGACTTCGCAGGGTGCTGACCTTCTGCCTGGGCTTCCCCAAGTGAATGATTAACTGGCTGGAGTCTCATTGATGGTTAATGGCTGTTATATCAGCTCTGGGGCAGAGACAAGAGCTTGGAGGGTTCTGCTGGGTAAGCAGATGGCAGCAAATAGTGTTCACCTCAGCACCCCTTTTATCTCACGCAGTGATAGAACGATGATGGGCCTGTTTCACGGGGATGTATGGCAGTGACATGGAGGCGGGAGATTTGGATGGAGGAAGAGGAGTGGGCGGCATGAGTGGGCCCGCTAGGAGCAGCCCCAGCTCTGAGCGCCAAGCCCGCCTCTGGCACAGGTGTCTCAGGGCAGCACAATCAGCGTGCGTGCGTGCGTGCGTGCGTGCGTGCAGGCCAGGCACGGCGCCCGTGGTGTCTGCACGGCTCTGCGGGTGTCAGCTCCCACACGGCGCCCTGGAGTGACCTCTCAGAGACTGTGACCAGCCCGCTGGGCCCAGGGACTTTGAAGCCAGATCTGAGTTCATATCCCAGCTGTGCCGCTTGCTAGCTGTGGCTCTGAGGAGGTAACCTAACCTTCTCTACCTGGTTTCCTTCCTGAAAAGGGAGGTACAACGACCTGTTAATGACATTGTCGGAAGGAGGAAGTGAGTTCCCCAGCGGGAAGGGCCTGCAGTCTCTGCTCAGTGGCCTTGGCCTCCCTTCTCTCCCCCACCTGCGCCCCCTCCCCCCCTCTGCTGCAAGGCCTTTCTGTAACAGGACTGTCCTCGAGAATTCTGTAGGAAAAGGCCTCTAGGCGTGAAGTCGCCTGCCCATTGTGCCCAGGACACAGCGGCTTAGCTCTTGGGGGCCAAGTGAGGTGCGGGGCTCAGGGCAGGACTGTCCCCTGGGCCTCCTCTGGGGCCAAGGCACAGCCCCCTTCTCATCTGGAGGTGACCCCAAACTAAAGCAGCAAGGAAGGCCTAGCTGAGGGGGGACCAGCCCTACCCCAGATGCGGGCTTCCGTGTGCCTGCTTGTTTGTTTTTGCATGTAAAGCGTTTTCTCCACATGATCCTTGGCCTCTGGCCTTAATGCCTTCTCCCAGCTTCTGCCCACGCAGGGTCACTCCACCAGTGGTTGTTAATTTAGTAACACAAGCCTGGTTATTAATTGACTTGTTTTTCGCGGTAGCAAACAGGTATTTTTTTCTAAAAAATTGTTTTAGTTTTCATTTTAAATTTCAGCTCTTGTCCAACTGAGAATTCCTACAATTCTGTGTTGGTTTCTCTACTGCCCTTCTGTGGGATTACCTTCTCCTTTCCTTATAAAAACCCCAGTTTTATGTCAAGTGAGAAAGGGTGGGAATCTACTCCCACTCAGTGCCTGTTGAACACCCTCCTGTGTTCAAACACCTGAAAACAAATGCGGAGGTGCTGGCGGCTGGCGGCTGGGGGTTCAGGCAGGTGTTTCTAGGGGAGGCGAGAGTCAAATACGTTCGAAGGCCTAGTGGATAGAGCCAGGATAGAAAAAGCAAGAGGCTTCGAGGAAAAAAAAGGAATAATGATGGGACACAGCTGTGCCTGCATTTCCCAGACGTGTACTCCCTGTGCTGGCAGGCTCAGGGGAGAGCCCTGAGCACCGGCTTCTGCTGGCTCCTCCGGAGGGTGTGCAGCGGAGGTCGGTGCCGGCCGCGACTCCGCCTTTCCTCCTTCGTCCAGGTGGATGAGTGAGACCAGGGCAGTCTTGACCTGCAGAGAGCTGTGTGGTGAAGGCGGACGCTTGGATTGGTGTTGTATGAAGCTAAAAATACTCCCACTGGGTGAGGGGAACAAGGATAAGAAGGCAACTATGGCTCTAAGGGTGATCGATAGGAGCTAGTCAAGTTGAAAGCTATTGTGACAGCCCATGTCTGTTGCTTTACCCTTCCTAGCCGTGCAGTCTTGTCCCATAGGTTAGAAAGAGGCATCGTAAAACATGCTATTGGGAGTGCTGTCAGGTGGCTGAAAGAGTCAGCTTAGTTGCTGTTTATTTTATACACACACACTCACACACACACACAAAATGAGGCAAGCCGGAAAAGGGAGTGATGCATGCCATTTAATCTGTCAGGTTTCTTTTAATTCAAATAATTATTATTTTGATTGCATTCGTAACTCTTGTGGGGTCTCTGCTTTGAACAAATGGTTTGTGGGTTGGAAATGTACAGGTTTGTTTTTTTTCCTTTTAAGCCTGAATATAGCCTAAAGTCAGAGAATAATCTCTGCAAGTTCTGGGTGTTTCTGTTAATGTTATGTGCCTTAAAACCGTACCCTGGCATTTGCAACATCAAACCGAGGCACCTGTTTGCTATCATGGCTGATAGCAAGAACGTGGGTTCAGAAGGGCGGTCAGCAGCTTCTCTCTCCTCCGGGAGGAACCTGATCTCCGTGGTCGGAGTATTGAGACGCCTCGGCTGATGACTGTTTGTTTGGAGGAAATCATGAAGAAATGATCTCTGGACAAAGGGAAGTGAGTAAGTCTTACTTCATTGATTTTCCCCCCACCATTTTTCTTTAGTAAAAATCTTTTCCTTAGCAGTTTGTTCCTTCGTCCCCAATAAAGAGGATGGCTTCTGGCGCCCTCTGGGGGTCAGAAGATCTAAAATCCTGTTTTAGATGAGCTGTCATTTTGGTTGCCTTCAGCTTTGTGAATTGCGACAGCCTCGCTACTGGGCTCGTCTAGAACTGAACAATGACCGAGAAAGCCAGAAAGCCAGCAGCCCTGCAGCGCAGGTGTCTGGGGGCCCCAGCCATTACAGCTGAACCAAGGAGTGTAAGCTGTGGAAACCCGCACGCTGCGAGCCTGCTGCGCCAGGTAAATCTCGTCTCGGATGCTTCCCGCCAGCCTGTCTGATCCACTAAGAATGGCTTTGGGACATTTTACAGTAAAAATGAAGAGAGAACTGAGTGGAGTAAACATCTGTTTTGAAACTAGTCAGATCTGGGCTCGGACCCAGCTCAGGCCATCTGGCCAGAGTGCCACCCTAAGCGATGGCTCCTCAGGCAACACCAGGCTGGTAGCAGCCGCCCGGCACAGACTTGGGGTCTTGAAGTGACGTGTGAAAAAGGGTGCCCTCAGGTCAGTAGTGAAGGATATTAACTAGAAGACTTAGGGAGTCTAGGCTACGGAGAGGATTCTGCCAAACCTCATGTTTCCCAACGAGAGGACCACAGCTTAGCTTGATTGAAGTCCCTCAAACTATCGGGCCCATTCTCCTGCCTGAAATCCACACCCCCTAGGAATCCCCCGCCCGTAAAATTCAAAGCCCCTAATAATCACACCATTCTCACACCTATTCGTCCATTCTTTTTATTTTTACAAAGCACAGCAAAATGAGGAAACAGCTGACAGGCGAGGTGTCCGCCCAGGGGACAACCCCCCTGACCTTCTCTTGGCCTCACGGAGATCATCCAGTGAGGACTCCTTACGTGACTGCCTCTGAGACGCTTCTCGTGGTGGGAGAGGAGAGACAGAAACGGGCATTCACAATTCTTTAAAATGACTTAAAAGCTAAACATAATGTCCATCATAACTCCTTTATCCTAGTACAAAAATAGTGCCAGAAACTATATATTTGTTCAAATATATTGAAAAGGTATAAGAATACAAATAGGTATTAACAGTGGCCAGTGATGATTCGTAAGGTTTTCTCTTCTTAAACTGTAATAGAAATGTACATTTTCAACTATTTACATCACTTGCAGTCACATTCATTCAGACATGTTTACACAGGCTTTGGAGAAGTGTATGGACGGGAGGGTGAGCCGTAAACCTTTTTTCCTCGCTCCCTGTGGTGGAGCAGAGGGTCAGAACGGCACAGTTTAGCAGACTGGGAACCCTGAGCCATCTCCCCCTGACGAGCGTGCGGAGAAACTGCGTCCCCGTCCCCGGTGGAACACACGACTCCGGTCAGCTGTCGCTCTTTAGATGAGAGCCTGTCAGGCCCTCAGCAGGCTGAGTGAGTCCTCCGAGCAGGAAGACCAGACGGTCACGAACAGATTCTTAGAAAGTTCCGGTGAAGACGCGCTTGGGAAGCTGTATAATGCATGTTACAGAGGAAAACCAAAGTACCCTGATGCAGCCTAGGTGTTCACGTTGTCGGCAGACTGTCTGCTGAGACTGAGCCGCGTGGGGTGGCCGCCCTGTCCCACGTGGAGACAGTGCCTGGCATGTGGCAGGGACTCAAACGCATCAATGCACCTCTGATACCGAGCCACTCAGTTCTACTACCTTGTTGTCACTACAGCCATTCACTGGAGATGATGGCAGTACGCTTGGCCCCCACTCCCCGTAAACCAACCTTGTACACACAAAACAAAGCAGTGTCGCTTGTGATGGCCTGTTAAGCTTTAGGAGTACAATTGGGTGAAAAATAGGAAAACTGAAAACCAAACCGAAGTGTTCTAACATCTGTGTTCTATGCTGAAAATAAAGGCACTTCGCTGCTAGGCAAGGATGTGCCTGTTGGTCAGGCTCCTCCCGTGTTCCGTCTGCAGATGTGCTGGCAGGGGACACGGCTCTTCACACCTAAGAGCTCGGTGGTGACATCGCCACCCAGGGTCTATCCCTCACAGAGCTCTGACCCCACACTCAACAGCCACCTACATGAGAAGCTGCATAGATGTGTCCTTCGTTTTTCAGTCTGGGAAACTCAGCCTAAGAAATGCTGTGTGGGATTAGATCGCCGGGCTCTGTGGCCCATGTCCCATCTGACAGTGGTGTCCAGGGCCCAGCAGGGCCAGCCTGGTCACTGCCTCTGTGACACCCCCTAACAGCACAGCTTGTTCGGACGTGTGGACATGCAGGGACCTACCAAGTTCCCACAGGTGTGATGGCAAAAGCCAGTCCTCTGAAGCCACAAGGCCAGGCACGTTCACAGACATCATTTTGACAACTTAGTAATTGAGTGGGGCCTTCGGGCTGAAAACGGAACTGAAATGGCGTCATGTGACTCAGCTATGACAAAAACAAAATCTGCAACAAGCGGTATAAATACAGGGGGTGGTGGGGAGGGCTAGAAAGTTAGTTTTTTTCCAGCTTAAGAAGATACCGGGAAGGAAATATTCACATAAGAACGAAAACTCTGATTTGTGCCCATGTACCATATATGAAACCATGTATGGAATGATTTTCCTAAAACTTATTTGAACCAACTAACCAGTCCTAAAGAAGTACTTCTGTACGAACCAAAACACCCAACAATAAAATAGGCATGGCATTGCCCAACTTCTTTTAATTTCTAAACTAGTAAAGTAAAATTAATCATGATCTAAAGGTAAACCAAACAATTTCTAATCTAAATATGTCTCTTTGCTTGTTAAAATGACACACGCTCATATATCTTCCATTGAGTATACTATGTCTGTAAAAATCTCAGGGACATATACCAGAGGGGTCTAAACAAACTACTGAAGTATGTGACTACAGATTTTAGCATAACTGCTAAGTCACATGTATACAATGAAAAGATAGGTTATTAAAGACGGTTATTCTTTAAACAGTTTTCTGCACTAAGGAATCACATATCATGCATAGGTGAATACCAGTATGTGGGCACATTGTTTCAGCGACAGTCTGTAGTTTACACACCAGTGCCACCAAGAGGTAACCTTACAGATCTCATCTGTATGACATAAAATAAAAATAGAATAACATTCTGAAAATACAAGTAGTGTGAGAATAGCAATACATGTAGCGTTAAACGGCGGATACCTTTCTAGGCCGCCTTCACTACTACAAAATAACGGCCGTACAATTTGTTTGGCCCACTCACCCCCCCCTTTACCTGACTGGTAAAGAATACAGCTACATTATGTCAAGATACATATACGTACTTGATTTTAAAAACTTAAGGAACATGTTGAATTTTAGGCAGTTTAGAGAAAAATGACACGAATGGAAAAACGTGTTTTAGTGAAAAGTCACTGAGAAGGCTGCAGTGCCATAACCCCGAGATTTTCTATCCAAATTACTGATAGAAGCTCAGAAACTTTTGGGGGTGGGGAAGGGAGTTAACCAATCCCACAGATAGCTCTCTTCCTACTCACACTCCCTGGTACTGGGAGATTTTCCTGTCCTGCCTGGAGACCTGACTCTACTTCTCCAATACTCACTGTGCGTTAGGAGCTCGCTTGCAGGAGAGTCCCAGTGAAAGGGGCTCCAATTCTAAGAACACGTTAACGTTTTCTAAATGTACAGAAAGCCGTGAGAAGTAAATACCACCACGTCCAAGCGAGGGTCAGGGTTCAGGGTACGTGCCCCAACCGCTGTGATTGTGGGGTGACTAGTCCTACAAAGCAAACAAGGCACCTGTCAGTCACACAGTCAGTATGGTCTCAGGTTTCTTACCCTGCTGCTCCCCCGATTTCATTTGTGACCCCAATACCAAGGATAGCCTTCTGCTGTTTATATAATTAAAACTTTGTACTTCATTTGACAAAGAAAAATAAAAATGGATTTGTTTTGTATCCTCTTCTCTACAGCCGTTATCTCACTTTAGGTCAGTGCTCCAATTATCACATTTTTCTTGCTTTCCTGCTGAGATTTAAACTGTTCACTTATGAACTATGGTTTGTAAGATGAGCAATGAGGAAGTTACATAAAAAGAGGAATCAATATTTGAAACACTTACTGCTTCTCCAAAGTGTCTTCCAACAGAGCCGACACACATTCCACTTCTGGATCCCACTTGTCTCAATAAAACCAGTGATAATTAAATGACACCTTTGCTTTGCAATACCGCCTTACAGTACCTTCTGTTTGTGTCAGAGTTTTTACTTTTGTGTTAAGGTGATACATCATTGATAAATGTCCCCCCTTCCCCTTAAAATACACTCAACCCACAATTTTTCTCTATCCTTTGAAGGTTTTAAATGTCACAGATCATATTCAATTCGCTCCTCGCCTATTTTCAAGAAAGAAAAGATTCCAAACATTCTTGAAAGATTGGTAATTCCCAAAACACAAAACCAATGATTTAAAACCTCCCAGCGAAACCAGCAGCCCCAGTGCGGGGACACAGCCCGCACCTTCAGTGCCCAGGTGGCACACGAGCCCACGTGTCAGTTAGCTCAGCTCAGCTCAGTGGCATAAAACAAATACACAGAAATACAGAAGGGTCCCCTAAAGACACTGCGTGCTGTGCTCTCAACGTTGTGCAAAAATAAAAATACAGCAGTGGACGCACACACACCACACCTGGACGGTGCCCAGCGCCCCGGGCGGACGCAGACTGCGTCTGGAAGCCGCGCACACACGCGCGGGCCTCAGCTGCGCTTGGTCTGGCCGCTGGCCCCGTTCACCAGCATCTTCTCCTGCTGCTCGGCCAGCGCCTGCCACTTCTGCCTGTTCCTCCTGCAGCCGTCCAGCAAAGGGAAACAGTCCTGCGATACGTGGGTCAGGGCCTAAGGAAAGCGGGAAGCGCACCATGAGAGGGCAGGCTGGGAGGGGGAGCCCTGGTCCCAGGCCGGCACCCGAGGGCCACCCCCACACTCATGTCCGCGCAGGCCACGGTGGGGCTTCATGCCACGTGACACAGATGGAGGTCATTTAGGATCTAGGGGTGCTTCCTCTTAGGGAATATAGACCAGAGCACACCCCCTCCAGCCAGCATCGCTGAGCTCTGCAGGCGGCTGGGCGGATCTGCTGGGCAGGTGGCTTTCCCTGACGGGGGCTAGTGGGAGCTGCTTCCTTTTGTGTTTTTCTATAAAAAGGTGTTATACAATGTACTTAAATCCAAGCGTATAATCAACATTAGCTCATAATTCTGTATGGAATTATTATTTACCAACTACAGTGCCACGAATATTTTGATAAAACAATGTTTAATGCAAATTTCTTAGAGAAACATTGACTTAAATACCCAACAAGGTTATGTAATTTGTTACTATTTTGCAGTCTTCAACAATGTCATAGAAAAACGTGTGGCACAGAAAGATGTACATTATGATATATTATGAATTGCAACCAGCAACTTTTGTTAAATTAAAATGGCATAGAGTGTATACACTAATGTGTTAACAGTTGGCTGTCTCTGAGCAGTGGAATTATAAGTGATTTTATCTTTGTATAATGAGAACATTATTCTGTAATAAATATTAGTAAACAATACATCTCAATATGCACAGAATTTAAGAGCAGATTCAATGACACGGATCCTTGCACACAAATGAAATGGCAGAAAGATAATCTCTATCATGGGTGATCTGTTATTTTGGCTCTATTTCCAGAAACGAGAGAAAATCAAGAGAGACATTAGTGTCTTCAGCTGAGGAACTCCTAGTCCCATCGCTGAGGAGAGCGTCTGCCGTGGGAAGAACAGGAATCCCGGGGTGGTGGAGGTGCTCTGAGGCCGCCTCCGCAAAGAAGCAAACAAGCAGGGCAGCAGAGACGGACGGATGGACGGGCAGGAGGCAGCACACCAGAGCGCCTTCCCCTTCCCGCTGCTGTCTCCTGTCCGTCCCTCCCTTTTCTCCTTGCAGGCCCCAGCGTCTTTATTTAGCTCTTTTGATGGCTAGAGCCCTGGACTCAGCAGAGAACTGGGCTCGTGATGGGCTGTGCGCCTGGGGCAGCTATGCCGTCCCCGGGAAGACGAGCCTCACGCTCACTTCCCAAATCTGGGAAATGTCTGGGTTCCGAGGTTCCGGGCTTCCTCCTGGAATGGCCTGGACATTGTGATAAGTGCATGGGAAACGCTCTTTCACCGAATAGTACTTAAGATAGTTTCCTACTGAAGCTTTTAAAAACGAGGACAGCATCTACTTTCTGAACTTGGGCATAAACATCTAAACTAGTAAATTGGATGTTTTAGGTAGAATTCTTTATATAAAAAAATAAAAATCCCAAACAGCGGGTATATGGACATGGGAGCTTGCAATATTCTTCCAGCCACCTCCTTTTAATCCTCATAAAATGTTCTTAACAATATTAAAGCTACACTGTACAGTGAGAGAGGTGGGTAATTACTTTTCTTTATTTAGGCCCAAACTTCCACTTTTTAGTGTTAACGCAGCGTGCGCAGTCTTCTTTGGTATTCTATACGAGAGTTTGCCAGAGCCAAGCACACAGTAGGTAGTTATACATTAAGGAATTAAGGTTTTTGAGAAATCGTGTTCCTTGTTCAATGCACACAGCATGTTCACAGGCGAAAGACACGATAAATATAAGCCTATTGTTAGTCCCTTCAGTTTATTTAGGTTTTCATGCCTAACAGTCCAAGTGTAGCAAGTCTGTAGTTTTCATATAAATACCTCATACAGCTGCAAGCAGATGGCATCGATGAAGCCGACTTGCATACTTGGGATTTTGTTTTTCTTCTCTCTGTTCATGAGATCCTGAAAACACAGAAACAGAGACACAGATGCATTTGCTGAAAGAACACAGCTAATGGGCTCCATAAAGACGAGTCGCTGGGGCAGCTGAGGAAGGCCTCACATCTACCTCTCTGCCTCCTGACCTTTGAGGGCCTCCCGGACTTCCCGCCAGCACCATGCTCAGGAATGCCCTGATTCTCTGCCCTGTCCGTCCTGGCTGTGACAGTCCCACACCGTCCCCGGAACTAACCACCGACTCTGAGCCAGCCACTGACCTAGACTTGACACTGGCCCAGAGTCGATCTATGGCCTCAAGCTCACTGGTGAAATATTGGGTTGTCAGAAAAGTCATGACGTATTTTGTCTATGTTTTTCAAAGGTCATTTATTTATATAAAGAACAAAGATCAATCAATGATATATTGCCCGTTTTGTTCGATAACCTGTTGCCATCTTTCAGTGAGCTTCATAATTCCTCTTTCATAGAAGGACCTGTCTTTATTTGCGAAAAACTGAACAAGGTGCTGATTTATAGCCTCATCTGAATTGAATGTTATGCCACACAAGGAGTTTTGAAGACAGCGAAACAAGTGGAAGTCTGATGGTGCAAGGTCAGGCAAGTATGATGGGTGTGGCAACACAGCCCATCCAAGCTTCAATAATTTTTGATGGGTGATCAAACTTGTGTGTGGGTCTTGTGTTGTCGCAATGGAACACAACTCCTTTACAATTAACAAGCTCTGGACGTTTCTGGATGATGGAGTCATTCAAACTGTCCAGTTGCCAACAGTACACATTTGAATCGATTGTTTGGTTCCTTAGTAGGAGCTCGAAAAATACGACACCTTTAAAATCCCACCGCACTGAGAGCATAACCTTCCTCTGATGAATGTCTGCTTTTGATGTCATTTAAGGTGAATCATCACGTTGGGACCAAGACCGTTTGCACACCACATTGTTGTGAACAATCCACTTCTCATCACCAAGTTATCAGTCGCTTCAAAAAAGGATTGCTTTCCTCATGTTTAATGAGCATATTGCAGGTGTTTATACGTGCCATCAAATGAACTTCTTTGAGTTCATGTGAAACCCAAATATCGAGCTTGCTTACGTATCCCAGCTTCTTCAGGTGGTCGTGAACGCTTGAATGATGGATGTTCAATGTTTCTGCAATCTCTCATGTCGTGTAACATGGTTTGACTTGATCAATGCCTTTATTTTGTCGTCATCAACCTCGGTGGGCCTCCTTGACTGAGGAGCGTCATTGAGATCAAAATCACCAGCACGGAATTTCGTGAACCATCGTTGGCACTGACATGCTTGTAGAGCATTGTCACCGTAAACTTTATGCAACTTTTCACAAGCTTGACACGCGTTTTTCCCTTTATGGAAGTAAAACAGTAAAATATGGCAAAAATGTAGTTTGGTTTTCCATCTTCAACTTGTTGTAAAATCTCCAAAACTCAACCAAATCGCTCAATTTTTTTTAGAATGAAGCTAGAACTGTCAGCTGTCAAATGACATAGCAATAACATAGATGCGAATGACTCTAGTACTTCCAAAAATGAGCTAGTGCCATCTGTCACAAACATGCGTCATGACTTTTCCGACAACCTGATACAATCAACCACTGACGTGTATTTGGAACACACAGGCTTGGAATCGTCGCTGATATGGAAGCCGACACTCCCAGGGCTGTAGAAGAGGTGCTGGGGCCACAGTCAATCACCACTCAGTTCACACAGAGGGCGTTTTGCGTGCGGATTGTGCAAATGCCGCTGCCGCTTATCCCAACAGCTGGTGACTGGAGCACCAGGCGAGCCGAGCCCAGCACATCCATGGGAAGCAGTGAGTCTGCTTGGAGCTTGTTTGAAGTGAGGCAAACTCCTTTGCCATGGCCATCACAGCCACCCACCATGTCATGCAGCTTCTGAGCAAGCCCATCTTACATGACAGAAGCCCGAGGGACATACAAGATGTGTGCAGCTGAGGACAAAGAGCAGAGTGGGGGACTGCACACAGGAGGGGCCCCTCTTAAGCACACCCCGCTTAACATGGGCTCAATACATGTTCATCTGAGTCAGAAAACACCACTGCTTCATCGTCAGGAGAAACTCATTCCAAAAGATAGCAATGATTTCAGAAGAATCTTTTTCTTCTACTTCACAGATCCATCCTCTATGTAAAAAAGAAAACTTTGAAAGCTGTGGGCCCTCAACACAGCAGTTCTGGGGACATATCCTAACAGAGCATGAACACGGGCACACGTTGAACACAGATGTTTGTCACAGTGCTGTATGTAGCAGTGAACGCTGCAAACATCACATCCAAGGAAGTGGGTACATTCCAGTTACACCCGTTTCTGTAATCATTATGCATAATGCACAGACGCGCATCTGTGAAAATGAAAAGTGGCTTACGACAGTTAAATGGAAAAAGCAAATTACAGAAAAGTAGGTATAATATGATGACCCAAGAAGTCTTTTTTATTTGCTTATGGTTTTTGTAATAAACACGTATACTTCTAATAAGAAAAATGGTTTAAAAACTAAAATGAGAAGTTTCATCCCTACGTAAAGATCTCACTGAAGCAGAAAGTTTACAATAAGAAAGTACCTGACTGATTCCTGCCAACGAGGCGCCATACTTACAGCAGGCTCGATGTTGAGTTCTTTTCTCTCTTTGTCTCCTTGGTCAAAAAATTCAGTCGCTACAAGCTCTGCTATCTGAAATGAACAACATGTGAAGTTTTGGCGATTGTAAACAAGACTTTGAATGAAGATAATGCACTCTCAAGTCTGTCGCTTTCAACCCCATCATTCAAATTAGAATACAGCAGTGATGAGGACTACAACCTGTACTTCATTTGCTTTAAGTGTGTGGCTAACCACAGAGGCTAGAGTCTGTAAGAAAAAAGCAACACGGTCTTTCAATTTAGCACTTAGTGGGAACAAATGAGCGTGCCCTGTGCCATGCCAGGTGCTGGAAGAGCGCTGCCGAACAGGTGCATCCACTGCAATCCACTGATACGCCTTTTAAGCTTTGCAGGGTCCTCCTCTCTTCTTAAAAAATGTCTGTATAAGTTTCTTGTTGTTTATCCTGCAGTTTCCCACTGTCTGGGTTCTGCTGCTCGCATGCCTATGGGGTCATTCAGTGTTGCTCTGTGCCCTGTATGTCCATGCCCCGGTAATGAGCTCTAGAGGCTTGATTAGGCTGAGGTTTGAATTTTTTTTCTGTTTGTTTGTTTTGCCATGACAATGCCATAGGCCATGCTGTGTACTTCTGTCAAGGGCTAGATGATGCCTGGCTGCCTCTTTCTGGGATGTTAGCAACCACTCACAATCCTTGTCTACCCAGTTACCTAGGGGAGGCAAAATGATGCCATTCAAGCAACCACTCCTTTTCCTTTATTTGTTGAAGTACAATCAAGTTCCCCACATTTAGTTACCCTAAATTATTTTGTTACCCTAAAGTACAATCACATTGACAGAAAAGCAGGTGAAATGCTTGACATTCTTTAATTACCATTAAAAAAAAAATAACTGGTTGTCCACCAAAGACGACCAGGGAAGGTTTTGTTTTATTATTTTTATTATTACTTTGAACTCTTGAACTTAAATACGTTTAATGGACTCCAGTCCCTACTGATGCTCAAACTGTCCCATTCGGGCCAGTGGGAGCTTATTTAGTGGCCCCTCCGTTCTTTGCACATGACCCTCCGTCTCTGATCACGCCCCTGCTTCTGGCTAGAAGGTGTTCTGGGCTCACCTGGCACGTTTTGTTTCCGGCTTCAGAACGGCAATGGGCCATTTCTTTGTGGGGCCCACGATCCTTTACAGTGCGGTGTCTAGAAGCCTCCATCTGGGCACCAGGTGTGTTCATTCACCACGTGGTTCATTAAGCCCTTTTAGGGGATGGAGCCAGGATACAACAGAAGTCCTTGGGTGTTCCTGGCTCCTACTCAGGGCTGCGGGGTTTCTGCATCAGCGCGTCAGCCTCAGATGTGCATGTTTCCTCTCAGGCTAGAAACCCTGGTTGTCAGCACCACCAATATAATCCCTCCCTTGCTTCTATGCCACATTGCCTGCAATGGTGATGAATAGCTACAGCATTACCACTAGTGACATGATTACTGAAAACCCCTTTAGGGCTTCCTGGTAATTCTTTTTGTTTTTATGGTACGTCCCATTGGAGATGCATGGTCAAATTATTGTCTTAATGTCAGTTGGGATGAAACAGTCCTTCTCAGTGTGGCTTTGCAACCAAAATCAGGTGTGTTTCATTTTACTATCAAAGTTTAATGACATTTAACATTCAACTTGATTTTATAATTGTAAGACTATTTACATGGTTCCAAAAAACTCAGTTGCTACAAGCTCTGCTACCTGAAATAAATAACACGTGAAGTTCGGGCAATTGTAAAGAAGACTTTGAATGAAGATAATGCAATCTCAAATCTGTACTGCAGGACAAGCAGCCCCAGCTTCCGTCTGCCCTCTCCATCCTGCTCCCTCCTCCGATAAGCAAATCATTAACTTTTTTTGTGGTTAACCCTTCTGGGTTTTTTTGTTTTGTTTTGTTTTGTTTTGCTCTCCCACTTAAAAATATACCCTTGCAATCACTCCACAGTAATATACAGATAAGCCTCATTTCTTCTCACATTTCAGAGAACTCACTGTGTAAATGGACTACAATTCACTGAGTCAGTACCCTACTGACAGATATTTGGCTTGTTTCCAGCCTTTCCTAGCACAGCACTGAAACGAATAGCCTTGGGTAAATATCTTGTTATACTCTTGCCAGTATATCTTTGGGATAAGACTCCTACAAGTACCAGTAAATGAGTATGTGTATTTATATGCTCCCAAAGGGTAACAGTTCTTTGCATTCATTGTTTTCCCACAGCTTCTCCAACTGAGTATGTTGTAAAACCTTTGGACTTCTGACAATCGGATGATTAAGAAATGGTATCGGTGTTTGTTTGTTTGTTTGTTTGTTTTAGTGAAGAAGAATTTACATACCCTGAATTGCAAGGATCATAGGTATACTTTTCAGTGTGTTGCCAAATGCATAAAACCACGAACGCATACCCCATCCAAGATACAGGGGGCTTCTCCTCCCCAGGTGGGGTCCCCGTGAACCTCTTGCCCATTCTTGCCTCATCTTGCCTCCCTCCCCTCACAACCACTCTCAATGTCTTTCACTGTAGCTTTATTTGTTTTGCCTATTCTAGAAATTCATGTAAATGAAATCACCGTATGTATTCTTTAGTGTCTGGCCTCTCTGGCTCAGTGTAGGGTTTATGATAGCGATCTACTGCTGCATGTGTCGTGATTTCTTCTTTTTATGGCTGGGCAGTGTCCCCTGGCAGAGAGAATATCCTACAGTATGTTTATCCATCCGCCTGCTGATACAGGCTTGGGTTGTTTCTACTGTCTGACTATCTGGAGTAAAGCTATTATGAGACTCTGCACAAGTTTTTTCCTATGACTGAGGTTCTGAGAACCTCTTCAAATGAGGAAGAGCCATTCACATTTCTTTTTCTATCAACTTTTTGTTCAAATCTGAGGCCCCCTTTTCCATAGGGTTGTTGGCCTTTTTTGTCTTTATTTTTTGTAAGTTCTTTAATATTAGAGATATAAATTATCTATCAGGTAGAAGTTGCAAATACTCTTACCAGTTTCTCACTGTCTTTTAGTTTGCTTATAGTGTCTTGCCTTGCAAAATTTTCTTTATTTTTTTTTCATTTTTAGGGATTCAGACTTATCAGTCTTTTCCTTTATTGTTTTTGCATGCTGTGCCCTAGTTAGGAAAGTTTTCTCATTCCTGGGTTACAGAGGGATCCACAGAGGATTTTATTTAGACCTTGCGTGGTTTAGTTCTCTGCACCGCACTCTATGCACTGTTTAGAATTTAAGTGTGCAGAGTAGATCCAATTTTGTCTTTTGCCATCTGGCTATGGAGATGGGAAAACCATCCTAACATTATTTAGCGAAAAGTCTAGTTACTCCAGTTGTTTCAAACGCTATCTTCTATTACATACTAAATGTTCTGTACAATTCTATAGTGTTCCACTGGTCCATCACCCACACCAAACTGTTTGATTATAGAAGCTTTATAGTATTGCTTGGTATGTCCGGACCCTAACCACATCACTCTTCCTTTTCAGGGTCTGATTCAGAAGAAAGGATAAATGAAAATACATATTCTTCCTTCTTCGTTATTAAAAGGATTTGCTAAGAACATCTCTAAGTGAGCCAGAGTAGTTCTGTAATTGAAACTTACCAACAGCTCGGGTTTTGCTGTGTTAATATAGATATTCCCTTAATATATCCTACAAATATTATTAAATGCTAATGAATCTTCTCAAAAAGGAAGCTTGTTTATGTCCAGTTATGTTCTTTTAATACTTAAAAATTAAAAAGTTCCACAACTACTTCAGAAGCAACCTTTAGGAGTAAAGGATTTTCTTATTTTGACTTTTTAATAATTACTTTTATGTCACTAAGCGACATACCCGTTGCTGAATGGGCCAGGGTTTTGTAATCGCAGAGAGATCACACGCCGTCATCAACATCGCTCTGTGTAGGAAGGAAAAAGCCCAATAAGTCTGATTTACTTTTATGCAAACATATAACCTCATTAAACAGTTACTAGTAAAAAAGCAAAATGAAACCCTCTGAACTACAGGAGGGCAGTTCACAAAGACTAAAGAAACAGAATTTATATAGAAATATGGGTGATACTGTGACATCAGAGGGTCATGAGTTACCCAGTGAAAGATTGGAATTTGCCCTCCAAATGCCTCATTTAGACCCAGGTGGCACAGTAGAAATTATTAACCTTTGGGCAAAAACTTGCCTGCTATTACGATTTTTCTCACACTGGTATTCCACTCTCAGAGGCAGCATGATGAAAACACATCGCTTACTACTAATAACCATTAAAGGATAACATCAAATATCCTATGGTAAGTCCTCGGAGCAGGGATTATGGTGGGTGGTCCTAACTTGCTCCCACGGGCAGTGACCGCCATGGGGAAAGCCTCTGGATTACTAAACGGTGTCTGCCGGAGAAGCTGAGGGAAAGGAACATGAGGACAGTGCTCGGGGTCCTTCTCGTCAGAGCAGAGAAAGCGGGCTGGCCCCTGGAGTCCGGGACAGGCACTCTAGACTCACTGCTGCGGCTACGGCATGAAAACCACCCGTCTACTGCGCAGTTTCCCATGGCCGACCCAAATATGTGCCATTTAGTCCTTTTAATTTGTTTGAAGGAACAGGCAAAAGGCCATTGCTTGTGATACAGACACACTCAGGGTGAAGGACTATTACTTGTCCCTCTCGGAAAACCCAACCTAATGTACACAGGCCACAAAGAAAATAATTTTCTGCCACTCTTGCATCTCTTACACCGACTCTCTTGAGGGAAGTGAGTGCAACGAGAGTTCTAGTCACTGTTCGGACCGTTTGCATGAAGGATTTCAATAACACGCCTCCCCCAGCGAAGGCTGCACCTATACCACCTTAACCCAGTCAGCACAGCAAAGGGGGCAAAAGGCGACGCTGAGCACAAACCCCCAAGAACTGCTCTCCGCAGCCATGGGGAAACTGAGGCACACACCTGGAACTGGCTGTATTTCCTCTTCGTTATTGAGAAAAGCCATGCACTAATCACAGCAGCATGGCTACCCTTTTCTAAGGTGCTGCTCAGAAAAACATGTTGAGACGGTTAAGTGAAGGCTGTCTAGAGGACAGACAGGCCGTTCTGTCCTGTTCTGGGCTGGGCGTTTGTGTGTTGTTTCCTTATAGTCTGCATCTTCGCGCGCTAAGTAATAACAATCTATTTAGAGAAACGCCGACTGCGGAATTGTAACAGCACTCTCCTCAGAGTCGCTATGTCTTTACAATGGACTCTGCTCTTCCTCGCTGAGGCACTCTTGCTCAGCAAGGTCGTCATGGTGACAGCGAAGGGATGGTACTTACAGCTGACTGGAGGGGCAGGGGAACGGGAGGAAGAACAAAAACCCAGAAGTGCTCCAGCCCTGACAGTGCTCCTCAGCCATCGTGCCAGGGGCGCAATCACTTCACAGCCACCGTCTTGCACCCTCAGACTCTAGGGCGCTATTTTCAGCTCTTTCAATTCCCAAGAACTGGGGATATGAACCATGAACCCTAGAGACGTGTACGGATGCGCTACCACATTTTAAACTTCCTTCTAGAACAAAGGAATGATTTATTCAATTTGCAAATGCATTTCTTTTTCTACTAAATATTCATATCTGGCCCTTTGGGCAACACTGGAGAATTCTGACAGACTCTAAGATCATCGCATTGTAATTAATGATTGCGATAAAATCTGATAATGATAAAATTAACTGGGATCAAAACTTCAGCTTTAAGGATAGTAAGCCTACTTACAAAAACAACTCCTTTTGGTGAGGGTCTTCTAAGTTGAATTGTTTTTTTCTTATAAGTTCAAAAAACTCTCCCCGCCTCCTTGAAAATAAAGAAAAATATTTGGAAGTTATGAGAAGTTCCCAGGCTCTTATCCTCTTGGTCTACAAAGAATCATGGGAGTCAATTTGGGGGGAAAACATCTCTAATGAATTTTACTCATCTTAGAACCCAACATAAAAATCATCATTCAAAAATCTTTAATACCTCACTTTTTCCCCCTATACCATTTTCTTTGGATGAAACATCAAACCTCACCTAGTACACATCACAAGTATGGTAATTTCAATTCTTAAACATGATTTTAAGAAAATGAAACAATATGAAGTTAAAAATGTGATGCCAAGAATGATTTAAGACATTTTAAATGGCATAAGATCTACATGGGTTCAGTCTAATTTCATATAATGCACATATTACAATGTAGCTTTAAAAAAGTTCATGATAATTACTCTATGTCAGTATAAAGTTGTCAGAGAAAGAAGGAGAATGCTGGAAGGAGTACTCATTCACACACATAGTGACTGCGTCCTGTACGCGCCCAGCATTGTTAGCGTCTTGGGAAGTCATAAGACATGAGTTTTTTCATAGTGTTTAAAATCTAGCCACAGACACCAGGTAAACAGGAAAACTCATATAACAAAACTGACTGTATGTGCTTGGGTACCACAAAGGAAATGCGGGTATCACAAGGGTTTAGAAGAGAGACGCTCGTGGCTTGGAAAGGTTGGGAGGGCTTTGTGGTTACAGGTATTTTTCAAACTCTTGGTAACCTGATCATCTTTATTCAGCAATCCTTTTGAAGCATCTGAAGTTGACTCAGCTGTCTGTTATCCTGGCTGACTTTACATTGCTCCAAGGTTTGAAGAAGCAGATGTGTTTTTAGGTGCAGTTGCCTTTAGATGTACAACAGCGCATATGTGGTGAGTGCTCCTGTGTGTCTGCCCCACTCGCTCTCACGTCTCACGGAGCGGCTAAAGCATGGACGTGCACCCCTTACGGAGGGGGAACCCCGGGAGAGTGACGGCCCGCTGCCTCATCCCCACCCCCCACAGGCTACCCACGCGATGCAGGCACACGTCACAAGTCCCACCCCAGTGCACACTCCAGTGTCTGCGTCAGTAACTCAAAGTTCTACATTCGTCCTCTTCTTCGGCCAAAATCACATCAAATGAAACAAGCTTTACTTGTCTGGCCTTCAGCTCCTTTTCCCGGCCACCGGCGCTTAGATGGCAAACAAGTAATAGTGAAATGGTGGGAGGTCGGGGGAGTGGAGGAAAGGAGGGAAAGCAAAGGGCCTAGATTGTCCTTAGACTGGACAGCCTGCTTGGAATGACCGCGAGACGGCCATCTGCTTTGTACAGAGCTTCCGAAGCACAGCGGAGGGCAAATGTTGGCAGGAACTCCTGCTGTGTATTTCTCGCACTAAGTAAGAAAGCCCACGGACTGTTCCGCTTCCTTTGGAAGCTGCTCCACTCCGATGGCAGCTGTGCCAGAGCATCTGTCCCTGCCGTCTACATGATTTCCCGTGTGGGTTTTAAAAGTCTGAAGCAATGCAAACAACTTACTTAATGTACACGGCCAGGTCTGTAGCTAGAATCGCTTGCTTGATTATTTTCAACGTGGTCTTATATTCTTCAATGGAGAGGCCACTGAGAATCTGATTGCCCTTGATAAAACAAAGAAAGATCATTGTTAGCGCCCCACCTGGAGAAGCTGCTGACAAGAACACAGTCTGGAAATACAGTCACACGTCTCAGACACATGCCTAGGATTCTGAGCTCATGCATGCGGAGGACACCCGCTTTCTTACAGTCAACACCATGAAGTCATGTGTGTCCTCCATGCCCCCGGCCCCATCGCCTTGTCGTGTAAGAAAACACAGCTTCACAATGTGCGTCTCCCTGCGGACGTGAGTTCTGCCCATTCCTACCCACTGCGGGCCTTAGTCGAGGCCTAAAATCTAACTGCATATCCTTTTCCTTTGGCCAATCTACCTGCAAAAGAAACTCTGAGAAAACCCAGAGCCACACTAATGGGCATGGAGAATGCAGTGGTGAAACTTTTAAACAACTGCTGATTTAAAAAACCATTTCTCTGTGGATTTTGTCATAAACCCAGTAACATTTGGGGGCAAATTTATATGGTTTTAACTCAATCACTATGGGGAAGAGCGTGTGCCCCTTAGAAGCAGGCCGACGCAGAGGGGACGGGAGCAGAAGCCAGCCGTGTGCTTCCTACGGGCACAAAGCGAGCGTGGGCTGAGGCACCTACAAGGGGTATTTAAAAGACGGCTAATCCATGTGCACATAATCAAAAGTATTACTACATAACCATTTTTTATTCCTTGCCTGTGATTTGAAGCATCTTTCTAATCTTGAACTAAGTAAAACATGCCTTGGGGTGCTCAAGATATACTGAAACATGTGCAAACTGAGTCAGACTTGCTTCCTAAACCTCAGGACTAGAAGAGCCCAGAGGCTCAGGGCAGGACTCGGGAGGGGAAGGACAGTTCTGAAGATGGGACTGCGAGGGTCGCCGGCGCGCCAAAGCCTGTGCTCGGAGGACTAGGTGCTGAACTAGGCACAGATCTGACGAATCTGCGATTATAATCTTAAACATTATGTAAAATATTAAATCATTGTAGATTCTAGACCAACCAGAAAACTAGCCAGAAAATACCTTCTGAGACTTTAATTTACTGTAAGATAAAACCATGTCAGTGGTATATTTTTATAGCCCCTTCCCGAAGCAGGGACCGTAAATCCTTACGTGTTGGTGCTTTGGAAGACAGAACGTATCAATGGGTCTTAGGACTTGAGGCCAGCCACGTATATAACCAGGTTCCTTACACGTCATGCTAAGTAATTACACATTACACAGTAACTTATCTAATAACAGAGGTGGCCATGATAGGAATATTGTTAAATGTGCTTTTTTAAAAAGAAGGTTAGCATATTTTCTTTAAAAAACTGAACAGGGTATTAAAATGAAAGCTTTAACTGAAGCATACAGGTAGCGAATTCCAAGGCAGTCCAGGTGTTCCTGCTATAACACAAATACACATTCATGAAAAGTCTCAGTTCTGAAAATCTACACACGAAACATGACGTGGCTTACGGGAAACAGTGTTGGGGTAGCCACTCGCAGCCCACACAGCCTTACAACTGGAGCTCAAAGCAAGTCAAGTGCACTGGACATGCCCGGAGGTGACGTAGGCAGCCAGGCTGGCACTGGAGGCTGCCTCTGGGCGTATTAAAGATGCAGGAAAGCAAGCGCATGCCAACGCTGGTTTGTGGGGCCCAGAGATGCAGGGCTGCTCCCACGGGGCACCGAGGGACAAGAGACCTCGCAGCACCCTTCAGCAGAACAAAGGGAGGGCCACCTCGGCCGAGGGCCGGGTCCAGGTTCTTGCAACAGAAGGGAGAGGGATACAGTGCAGGCGCCAAACGGGGGGCTTTTCCTTGAAGGTCAGAATTCACCTGCCGTAATTCCGGCAACTTCCCCAGGAGAATGTATACATGACAACGCAAGTCACACATTGTGCTGACACCACCCTCTGCTTGCCAACCGCACGTGAACGGATGGATTCTGGGATGTGTAAGGAAGCTGCCCAGAACTGGGGGCATAACTCCTAACCCTTCCCCACAGCGAGGCGCTGAGCGAGGGCTGAGTGTGTCCCCTTCACCTCCGGCAGGAGAGGAGCTGGAGGTCCCCGTGTGTCTCTGGAGTGCAGTGGGCTGGGGTGCAGCGACACAGGGCTTTTGCTCAATTCCTGTCTGGAAAGTATAGACGCAGCAGAGAGGCCGCTGCTCTGGGATGGACTGCACTGTCTGAGTTTCGGAGGCACGGGGTCAATTTAAGTCCTGTCCTGTTCAAGAAAACCTGTGCAGGGAGGAGCTGACACTGACATCCGGTTTCTAGGAGCTGAGTAAGGAGCCATACGTTGATGATAAATGGGACAGAGATGGCCATTCATATGAGAGGATGCCCGGTGGAATCACCCCCAGTGAGGGTGCTCAGCTGGGATCATGAAGTCACCCATCAGAGAAGAAGGGGTTTCAGCCCCCACCAGGCACCAAGAGTGAGTGACTCCGGCAGCACCAGCGTGTAGAGAACTCTCTGGCCCTTTCTCCATCTGTCCTCCAAGTTGGGAGGGGACGACACTACATGGGGGCCTGGAGGTACAGAGGAGCGGGAAGAAACACAAGGTGGGGGGTGAAAGAAGCCATCGGGCAGTAAGGGGAGAGCCTGAAACTGAATCAAGGTCAAGACCTGGACTCTTACACGGGCCTGGACATTCTGGTTTCGAAATGGAGAATCATGTAGTCTGTGCTGAGGCCTGAAGTAGCTGAGAAAGTGACCAGGAAAGCCATGGGCCACCCTGAGTTTTCTTCTAGGGCTCAGGGGACAACCAGCTCCGCTGGGGGACCGTGAAGAGGTGGGGATAAAACCGCTTTAAGATTATACGCCATGCACTGTGCTTGTGCAGCGTGATACCTACAGCTGTCATGTTTTCTTATTGTAATGGTAACACGTGCACACACTAGATAATGTGAATAATGGACAAACCAAAATAAGAAAATAAAAAGTATTCATAATTTACACAAAGACAACCATTGTTAACATTTTGGTATGTATTATCTTAATCTTATTTTCCTTAACACAAATATATATAGCACAGCATATCTGACACTGATATATTCATTTAACCAAGCTGCGGAACAGCTTTACTCCCTCACAGTTTGTTCACGGTCAGAAGTTTCAATAAAAAGAGGAAAAGGAACCGCCAGTGAAAGCAAACCTGAGAGTTCTACCAGCTACTTCATTTGACCCCCCCATCCCCACCCAACAAAAAAGCAGAATTAACTGAGAGCCATAAAACACCAGTTTGCTTGTTTCTAATCTGGAGTAATTTGGAATAACCGAGTGGAGGTGAGTGACCAAGCTGCCCTTCCCAGGCAGCCCTGGCACAGCTGGGCTGTGTAGAGAAGCGAGGCTGGAGGACCTGCGTGTTTCGGCTTTGCCTTCCTTACCCAAAAAGGAATGACGCGTGCTCAGGAATTAGGAGGCTGGGCAGAAGTCCAAAGCTTAAAAATACAGCTGAGCTTACGAAGCTCCCTTCCATCTGCACCACGGCAGTCGGGCGCTTACCGGGCTGTTGAGAACCATCAGGCACTGGTCGAAATGGTGGTGCTCCATGGTAGAGTGGCAGTACAGCTGGGCAAGCGGGTGGTCACTTCTGAGCGCGTGTCGTGGGAGAAGAAAAAGGAAATGGTCAGTTTCCACAATGTGCCAGTTTAATGATACCTTCTTTCGGTCAACTGGAAAAAAAAAAGAAAGCGATTTCACAAAATTCATCAAGCCGGCCATTTTTGTACCTTTTGCTGAGAAAAGAGTGAGGTAACCTCTGGGAAATAGGTATAAAGAGTCACATTGTTTTCAAATATCCATGAAACTGCTGCTGGTCAAGGTGGGAACAGTCTCGCTGGTTTTAACACTGATTGAAATCATAGGTGAAATGAGGACAAAGGATTAACTTCTGTAAACATGAAACAATGATCTCTGAAATAGTTGTGATAATATTCTTCAATTTCAAAACTATAATTAGCTCCTAATCTGAAACCAGTTTCCACGCTGGCCTTTTCCTGTGAAATAAGGCTGAAGGCCAGCATATTCCCTTGTGCTTTCGTGTAAAAAAAGAAGAGAACTGCCTAAGATGGACAGGACTACGATGTGGGCGGGAGAAGAAGCAGTTGGGGCACGTGTCCTGAGGAAGGAAGGGAGGGAGGGAGGGAGGAAGGGAGATGACGGAGTCAGACAAATCTCCCCACGTGGGGCCAGCTCAGCGCGAATGTTCTAGTAGCTCTCTGAGCTGAACTGTGGGAGAAAAGTCGAGACTGTTTGTTCGGCTGAGAGGAGACAGGAACGGATACTGTACTGAGTTCATTACTTGTCACAGATGGTCACAAATCAAGTCCCCGAGCATGACAAGTACAGTCCCCACCTCAGGTTTCTCATGACTCTTCCCATGTGAACAGAAAGCACAATTCCCACAACTTCTTCTTTAAAAGAAAGTTCCCCAAAGTGTCTGTCCCTAATTTATAGGACAGGAGTTCATGAACACAGCAACACACAAGTGCTAGATAATAGGAGTGATTTGTCGCTTCTTTAGGTGACTATATGAAGCCTTGTTTTACTTTGCATTTTATTTTTGGGAGAGAGGAAAGCTACCCAAGACTGAAGAAATGTAACAGGAAATACATAAGGAGTGGGGGAAACTTAAGGAAAAACAAAAGGCAGGAAAGAGAGCAGGTAATCTCATCAATTCCTGCAGTGTCATCCGCCCGCTTGCCTCCACTCCTTCCACAGCTGGCGAGTTGCTCAGATACTGTGCCCGTCACTGGCCAACGGGAGACAGCAAGGGAGTAAGATGCGACCTGTGACACCAAATGCAGAGCTGGAATCAAGCCAGGAGATGCATGGGGCTGCGGGAGTGTAGTAGGGAGGCGGCTGGGCATCGTTCCAGCAACCTAGGCGAGAGCCTGGGCGAGGGGGAGAACCCCAAAGAAGGAAGCAGAGTGAGCGGAGAGACGTTTAGGGGCAGATGTGGCGGCTGCCATGAGTCCTGATGCTGGGCCTGACTGGGGAGGAGGGGGTGATGGGGAAACGCCATGCTGAGATCCCACCTGTCATTCCCAACAGGGGACAAAGGGAGAAGATGGTTAGCGATGGGGACGAAGGAGGGGACAGGGACTAGTTGCGAGCAGGCTCTGTGGATTTTGAGGTGCCCGAGGTACTCCCAGGTGGGTATAAAGGTGTGAGCTCAGGTCTGGCTGCAACACATCAAGGTGCAGAGGGTAACCCGAGCCAGGGGAGCAGATGAGATGAGTCCGGACGCGGGCCTGGGATAAACAGTCCATGATCCCCTGCTGACTCCTGCCTCGTGTTCTGTATTCCCTCTCTTGGCAGCGTCTTCTCACCACTCAGACTAGATATGCTAAAGTCAACCTCTCTGTGACAACTGCAGCCTTCCTCCGGCCCTCCGCTTAGAGAAGGAGACGACTCCAGAATACCTGGGATGCAACTTATGCAGGAATTCAAGGCCACCCAGGATGAGTCTAGCACCCGTTTCATCTGCCGGGTGCCAGCTGTTTGTAAGTCCCCTGCCCTGTGAGGCTGCAAAGCTCTTCAGTCCTCAGAGTGGTTCTCCCCTATGATAACAATCACCGTTTACCGAGAGGCACGGCGCTAGGGAGCTTATATTTAATTTTTACAGGGATCCTGTGTAGGGCACTTCTGTCTACCACATCGCAACGCTCAGCCCCACCTCTGACTCCGGCCACCAATGCATGTCCCGTCTCACATGTGCTCTGCCAGCCTTCCTGTGGTGCCAGCTGGGAGGCGGCTGGCCCTGGGCCATCATGAATATCCCTCACTCCCGATGATGGGCTTTCTGCACTCCTGCCCCTCAGCCTGCAGTGTGGGGAGGTCAGGCTGTGGAGGTCGCCTGTGACCGACGGGGTCTGGGAGTGCTCACACAGCTGCCCCTCTCCCTCTGCCTCTGTTTGTGAGTCGTTCTGGGTCTGATTTCAGATGACTTCTCAAAGGTACCGCTGCCTGTGTGGGCTGGATAACCCCTCCTCCTCCTCCTCCTGGGTTTCCCTGTCTTCCCACTCCCAGCATCACAGGCTGGATTAAGCTGCGTGCACATCAGCTCTTGTGCCAGGCTGTCCCTGCCGTTGAGCAGGCTGAGGACACTCTAACACTGGCATTTTAACATTTGCTGTTTAGATGACCAAAAGCTCAGAGAGATGATCTTGGTCAAGATCAGCATAAGTGGCAGAGCAGGGTTCACACACATCCCCTTCCCCGTGTCCCACCGGCTCACGACCCCACGGCCCGTGCACACAGCATCACTCACTGGCCTGGCCGGAAGCTGGGCTAGAAATGCCATCAGGCAGCTGCAACACAAACGTGTTTAAAACGTCAGACGCACGTGACATTTGTACACCGTGCAGTAAGGACGGCTTCACATCAGAAAATGCCTGGCTTGTAAGAGACGAATGCACATGGTGCGTTAGCCTTGCCTTACGGTCTAAAACATGGGCTATGAGTCAATAAAAGGGCGACAGATGCCCCAACGTTACAAAAATGCGCATGGAAACCAATGAGTCCTGTTGGTGCGCTGCCTCCTCACTTGAGGTTGAACTCAGCAGCTGGAGTTCTGTCCCCACCTGATGACAGTGAGCAGAAAGGGACCAGCCGCCTCCCGCCCCTGCCTGTGGTCCTGCAGTTTGGGCCGCCCTATGACTGGCACCAGGACGCCAGTGCAGAACCCTAGAAACAGAAAGCCTTCGAAACCGACTCCTGCCACCCCCGTTCCTGTTCACTGCCTCTGACGACGTTCTTGATGTTGCTTCTCATCTGTAGGTACTGCTCTGGGCTCCAATCTCTTAACTACTCTGTCACGCATTTAAATCGTCCCTACCGTCCTCTGTGAGCCAGGGATTCTGACTTTCCCGTTCTCTGTACCCACATCGCATGACACAGATATCCAGGCGATGACTCGCTTGGCCCTTGACCCCACTTCTTTGACGTCCTTGATTTCATGATCATCTCCTGTCACCTCAATAACACAATGGCTTCCCTCTTTGTTCCACGATTTCTAGGTGCTATCGGGAACAGGGTCTTTGCCACCCCCGGTCCACCAAAGGACAAAGCAAGGTCCTGAACTCCTATCTGTCCTAACAGTATCCCCTGTGGAAACAGCTACAACCTGCACAGCATTTAATGTGTCAGGTACCGTTCCGAGCACTTTATACTTAAACTCTTTTAATCTTTATTCTGTTACACAGAGAAGAATGCATGGGGGGTGGGGGCGGGTTACATGACTTGCTCAAGGTCACACGGGGGGAGGACAAGGCAGGGTTGGCACTGCACCCAGGCATCTGACCGGAGTTGGCCCCCAACCACTAACCATCAGAGCCACTGCACGATGGTGTAGGACCATGCGATCTCACGCTGTAAAGTGCTAAGAGGAGTTCCAAATGCACATGATAAGGGTGTGCTAAGTGCTGGCTTCTATTATTATTATTATTATTATTATTATTATTATTATTAGACTATTATCATTAGTTATGACATTAGGACTAACTGTTTCCATATTCAGCCCTCCACGCTCCTGAGGCCTGCAACTTCACCAGGGATGACCTCATTTCACCCCTAAAACAGCCTCTCCCCAGTTAGAACTTCACAGATCACGACTCCTGTGCTGTGTCTACTGTCCGTCGGGCCTCGCAGAGCCTGCTGACCCTGTGCCCCCATGCCAGACCGGACTCCAGCTTGGCCTGGTCACTGCGTTAGAGCAGAGAAAGCACTGAGAACAGGAGTTTTATTCTGATTTTACTGAACCTCTAATCTTAAAGCAAACATTGATCATTTCACCTCTTTGAATACCACCTCATTTATTACTTTCCCCTCCCCGCTCCTCACTTCTCACCCACCCCAAAGCACACACACTCCCCACTTGTTTTTCCTTTTCATCAATGGCACCATCATATTGTCCCAATTTCTTGGGCCAGGAGTCATGATTTTCCCCCTTCATGCATGTAACTAGCTGTTCAACATGAAATAAAAAATAAAGTTCTCCTTGAGTCTCTTCCTGTGATTCCCACCGTACTTGCCAGCTGAGCTCCGAGGTTCTGATTTCTCCCCCTTTCACTCCCAGACGCTTCTTCCTAACAGTGTCTTTTTTACCCACGGCCACGGCTCCCTGCCTTTTCACGGCAAACCTGGCAGCGGCGCTGAGATGAGCGCTCTCCCTCCGGAGATGTGCGAGTTCCCCGTTCGCCCTCGCACTTGCCCTCCCAGTCGGGCTAGCCCCACTCCCGAGGAAAGAGGCCCAGCTGCTGGTGTCTCTGGATGCCTTCCTCCACCCTCCTCTCAAATCCTCCCCACTTGTCCTGATCCCGCTTGTGTCACTTCCTCCATTCACAGTGGAGATGGACTACGCCGGTCTGGACCAATCTCCTTCTCTGCTGGACATGGGCAGCCCAGGTCATTAAACACCTCAGGACTCACGGGATCCTCGCGTGCATTGATCAGCACTGTTCCGTGAGGATCCGAGAATTCCTGAGCAACAGCAGCCACAGTTTATACACTTACAGCTCTCCTTCTGCCTAGCCAAGTGCCAGGCCCTCGTGGCTGGCCATTACCCAGCTGCCTACAATGAAGGATAATTTCACTGTATTACTTGATAAAACACCAAACCTGAACCAAGCCAAATAAACCTATCAATGACAGTCACTGCAGGCCTAACAGGACATTTCTCTATGTGAGCCATGTGTTAGCACGAGCTTTCTCTAGAAGATGTCTGTACTTCAGCCATCTTGTTCCTAGTACTGTCTCTTTTTTAAATAATTCAATTTCTACATGAAATGACTCTCTCATCCACCCACGTGGGAAAGAAAGCACAGGACTGAATTCTTCCCCCAAATATTTCTCTGGCTCGCTGTCCGTCTCCCTCATAAGGGCAGTCTTCCCGATCAAGGAAGGAATCAAAGGGTCAAAGCTTACATCAAAACACGGCTCCCTATACGAGGATATCTTTCTTCGAATTAATTTTCTGAGAAGATGCTTGGGAAGAACTAATGATAGGATAACTTCAGCTTCTAACGTTGCTGTCACGTGAGAGCTTTTTCACCTTTTGACGTGTCACTTTTATTTCTGCGCCTTTTTTCATTGTTTTGGTTTTCTTTCTATCGTGTTTGAACATCTGACAAGATTCGGCTCAGCGGACCTTCTAGAAGTTATCTCTTTCTGTGGGGATGTTTACGGTGTCTTATTCTCCCAAGAGTCCCTGTTAAAACATTTACCACTAAGGAAAGAAAAAAAGAAATAAGCTCCTCCCCCCCCCAAAAAAATTCTTGGTTTCCTCTACCCAAACCACAGGGATGTAGAAAGAAATATAAATCTATGACACTTCCTTCCTTTTTCTCAAAAAGTTATCTGGACTGGGTGGAGTCTGCTTCGTGGTGTGTGTGAAAGCAAGCTTCTGCAGTCCACGACATTTTCCCAGGACTTTTTTTGAAAGAGACAATGACGTTTCTCCAGATGTTTTTCCGGGTAATGATTTTTAAATAAACAAAGGAAGAAATAGCTGAGTGTTTCCACTCTCCAGCAGGGCGGCATGGCGTCTTGGAGCTGGTGTATACCAACCGGCAACATCACATCCAGCTCTGAGCAGGCTAGATCTTTAGGCTGTGCTCAACTCGGTGCCTCCATGTATCTTTTCACTTTCTTGTTCCCTTCCATAATTACTCCCATGTCGAAGGGAGGCTCAGGATCGCAACCACATGACAAAGCACAGGGGACAAAGGGTCTGTCACCCAGTCAGTTCTCCAAAACATTAGACTGTAAGGGGAAAACAGCCCATCTCCGACACTCAGGCACGAGCTTGCTATCTGTTCCCATCAAAGGTCAGCAGAGGACGAGGTTGCTACAGCACTACAATTCTTTTTACATGAAGTTTTCTATTTATTTAGATACAGGGAATGTGATTAGAGAGCTTTCTGAAATTCCCTCAAGATATCAGACATCTGGAATTTCCTTAAGAAATCTACCCAGTTGAATCACTGCATTTTTTTTTTTTTTAATGCTCAGTACTAAGAGATTTGGCCATGAACATGCAGGCTTTTCAAATAAATTGCTGCAAGAAAATAAAAATATCTCAGTGACTCAAAACTCTGATGGAAAGTGATGTCACCTTTATCATCTCATTTGTCACTGCAAATGTCACTTAAGATCTGTAATGGAGCCTGAAACGCTTGTCTGAAGAGCTAGAATCTTACTCTCCAAATCAGCCAAAGAGCAGGCTGATGACAATGATAGGACTGTCACTGGCACCTGCTGCTAAGATGTACTGAACACTTAAATATGTACCAGACATTCTACCTGGACTGACAGGCCTTAGCTCCTAACACAGCATCAGCCCTGTGAGGCAGGTATGCGAGTACCTGCACTTTACAAATCAGGAAACCGGGGAACAGAGAGTCAGCTCCCTAGCTCAGGGTCACGTGGGAACTGGGAGAGGCAGGATCTGAACCCAGGTCTGGCCACACAGCAATCCCCCAACAATGAGCTACACACACGGCCTCACTATGACCAAAGCCGCCTTCTGAGCACTCACAAAGCACCTGGGACTGGGCGGAGCACTTTCAACATTATCTTTTCTCTTCCAGGATGAAACCCTATCTTTTCTGAACTAGTCTTATTATTTTTCTAGTGACTTTTTTGAAGTTAAGGCAACTTCTTTTAACTGCAATTTAAAGGACACGCGTTCTTATGTTTGGGAAACCCTCTTACCGCTGGATGTAGGAGTTGTTCACGCCGCGATGGTCCAGATCGTGGCTGAGGGCTGCGATCAGCAGGGCCAGCACCTCCAGGTCCGTCAGCTGGTTCTGCAGGACCAGACAAGGGGGCGGTGGTGAGCGAGCTGGCAAAGGGCCCGAGACCACCGCTCTTCGGGTTCATGCATTTGTGCTCGCTGCTTTACGTCTGTGCTTCTCTGATCTAGTCACGGGGGACTCAGAATGCAGTCCCTTTCAGCACGGAAGAACTTGGTCTTCAGAGCGGGATCACTGCAAATGTCACTCATCAACAGAAAAGGCTGAAATGCCTCCGTCAATCACCTGTTCACCTACGGTAAACGTGGCTAATTCTCAGTGATCTAAGTGTGTACATGGGATAATCAAAAGAAACTTTCAGTGGCTGTTTTCCCTCTGACTTTTAGTTTCCTGCAGATTCCGCTGCCTTCACTCTTTGCTATGAGTCTATGTCCTAAACACACACAGACAATGTGAATATTAAGCAAAACAATAGAAAAAAAGAGGATCAGGAATGAAAATTTAGCTTTAAAAAGTTGCATAGTATAACCCAGAGCCAGTTATAGGCTGTTTTAGAGTATCTTCCATTTGCATTACCTACACTACTTGTCTTCATTAGCAAGATAACCAAGTTGAAATTCGGATCAGTTCAATTCTGCTGGAATTCTCAACAATCTAGATAGTATATTTGTAACAAACAAAAATCGTCGTTTTGTTATTCTTCACAAAAAGCAAGGACAGTCTTCAGTGGTACAATCCTCATGACCTTCCCATACTCTAAAATAAGTTCACCGTTTGTTACACATGTTTGCTATGGCAAGCCCACACGACTGTGGTTTCTCGCATGGCTTCCTGGAAAACAATAATTTCTTCTAGCTCTAGCCACTTGAAATGTGCACCATGAAAGCAGAGACAGAGAAGAACAGTTTTAGATTTTTAAAATCTTTTTAAAGCATGGAAGCCCTGGCTTAGAAAGCTATATGCTGGATGCCTGGAGTCACCTAGAATAACTAGTTGATTGCCACTGAAGCTAGAATCTCAGGAAAGAGACATGCATAAAATCTGGAATTTTATGGAATGAGCTGCTTGAACGTTTTCTGCATTGATCTTTGTCAACGATCTCTGGTCAATGTGTATGACACCAAACCTTTCCCATGAAATAGTACTTACAAAATTAACTGAAGGCTCAAGAGAACCTGCGACAGAGAACCCAGGCCTTATCTACAAAGCCAAGTTCAGGGCCTGAGTGGTTTTTGAACAGGTTGAATGTGAACATGAGAAATTTGATACTTTTTTCTTATTCTGTGGAGTTTTCCTCTAAAGGAAATATTTATTTGTCCAAGCACTATTTACATTTAACATGAAGTTATTTACAGACTATTTTAAATTGCCATATACATTACATGCGAAAGAAAGTTAGCAACTAAGTATTTTGCCATACTGGCCTTCTTACATTAAAATATAATTTGTTTTGTAACTGGTGATAAATATTATTCTCAATCATCATCAGTGCACATTTTAAAACACTTGGAAGAACATGCTGTAAATTTTACTATTAAAGCAACAAAATGTCTTAACTATATGAATAGCTCTAAAAAGTACCTGAATTTTGCCTGCTTTTAGGGCTGCGAACATGCACTGAGCTGTGTTAAAGGCATGTCTCCAATTATGATAAGCGACATTCTTCCGGTAATTCTTCTTAACACTCAAAATCCACCTGCAAAGAACCTTTAGGAAGTAAAGCATAAGTGGTGACAATAATGGCTAACGTGTATCACATATTCACTCCCCAGGCACTGTACAAAGTATTTACAGCTAACCCTCTGGGGGAGGCATGATTTGATCATTTAACAGGTGAGGAAACTGACGTTCAGAGAGGGAATTTGCTCAAGGTCACTTTGGACCTGAAGGGTGGGGCCCAAATTCATGGGAGCAGTCCAACTCCAGAGCCCACCATGTTAGCCACCATGCTAACTTAATTAGATGTGAAATGCAAGACAGCTCTCAGACATGTATTTTCGGCATGGGCAGGGCACTGACTAGCTTTTTTAGATATTATGTCCATGTGTCACCAGTTAGGAGCATCCAAATAGACAGTCACGTATGTGTGATTTCACTTTAGAGGGCCATGCAAGCAGCCACTCTCAAGTTCTCATGCTCCCATCCTGCATATCTGCAAAGGTATTTAGTGCGCGACTCCGGGTGGATTGGGGACAAGGCATACAGCACAAGTTTTGATGCAATCATTAGCTCTTTATCCCTTTTAAATTATGCTTAAATATTCAGACAGAGTAGGTGCTTGGTTACCAAGGAGTAATTTAAAAAAACAGTATATGCAAAATAAAGCCCTGGGCTCCACATGGAAAAAATATATCTTAATAAGTGGGGAAAAAAAAGGGCTGACAGTTGAGAAAATCTCACAAGCTGGGTTTAATGCAACTTCTAAGTGTTGTGTTCAGTAAAACCCCCGGGGACTCGAGGTCCTCGGCGTGTTCACTCCACGTGTTTCTTAGCATCAGAGTCTGCGTCTTCAGTTCTGAATGATTTACTGTGCCTTTAGGGATCTGTAAAAATAAGCGTGCGCTTCTCCCTACATGTATCACTGGAGATGCTTCAAACACAAAGAGCACTGCCCTGGGGAATGGGACAAGTACCAGGGAAAAGACTGCTGCTTCACAGCAGTCAGCACAGGCGTAGGCCAAAACCAGGGTTCCCTCAGCGCCAGCAGAAGTCGCGTAGAGGGTTTCGTCGGAAACCAAGGCTTCTTGTCCTCCCTTTTCTCTCCAGGTCTCTCTGCCCCCGTTCGGTGACGTGGTTCGCAGGGGATGCCGACCATGGAGAACCAAAGCGTCCCCTGGCTCCCTCCCCTCTCAGGTCCACATTTCAGAGGATCCCCGTGTGTCTAAGACTGACATGTGTTAACCCCAGGTACGCTGAGCTTCTCTCACCAAGACCACTTCTGAACAAGGTCGGACAGGAAGTGATGGATTGGTCTCAGAAGGAGCATTTTCAGTAAGCTCTATAAACTTTCTCAGATATGCTTAGAAACTATGCAGTGAAGTGTTGGAGAAAATTGCTGGGATTAATTAAAGAATCAAGGAAAATATGTAGGAAAATCCAGAAATCTAACCTGCAGACAGAGCTCTTTATTATGAATCTGTAGATATAATTAAATAGGTGCGTACAGTCAACTGATGATGGTCTGACCTACGATGGTGCGAAAGCGATGCACACTCAAAAGAAAGCATCCTTTGAAGTTTGACTTTGGATCTTTTTTGGGCTAACGGCATGTCACACCCTGCTCTCTGGTGACGCCGGGCCATGAGCCGCAGCTCCCTGCCAGCCGGGCCACCATGAGGGTAAACACCCACTATCTGCAGTGTGTTCATTGTGTCAGGGGGGTCTTCCAACCCACAGGCTCAGGTAAGTGTCCCGAACACGGTTAGGGGCGGCTGGCCAGGCTCTGAGGTTTCGCAGGTCAGGTGTAGTAAATGCTATTTTGACTTAGGATATTTTCAATTTACAATGGGATTATCAGGACGTAACCACCGTCATAAGTCAAGGAGCATCTGTACTTCACGTAAGGTGAAGCAATGACCACGTGATTCCTGATGGACTACTCTATTATGCTTTCATCAAGATGGGCCGAATAGACTTGGGTAACCCAATGGATACAGCAGTTGGCAACTAGAGTTAAGTATAGGTTTTGGTCCTGTTATCAGGATGTTCTTGCGGCACACAGGAAAATTAGGGCCCCGTCTGCTTGGTGGATATGCCTGGCACGTTCCAATCTGTGAGTCTTTTGTGCAAACTATGGAATAATTTTGTGCAGTCTGGGTGACCCCAGGGAGCATGACCAATACACGAATCAGTCTCCACCCGTGCCGAAGGCCCCCTAAGGCCTGGGTGGCGTAGTCAAGACGGTGTGGGAGCGAGAAGCAACAGGAGACACGGCTCCGCTCCTGCCTCCAGGAATCTCCATCAGTGGTGAAAATAACACGAGTGCCCACATAAAAGAAGTCAATCAACCAACACAAATCTGAGAGCACAGCTTTATAAACCGCCAACAGCCTTCCTGAGGGCAGGCAGTCAAGGTTGTCCCAGGAAGAGAGGCTGAGTCAGGCTCTGAGGAAGAGGAAAGCTGTACATACACAGCGGAGCAGCCGCACCTCAGGGAACGGCAGGCACGAGGCGGAAGGCGAAGGGAAGTCCGCACACGCAGGTTTATCGAGAAGCGTCAGGAGTCTGCATCAAAGGTCGGCGAGCGCAATGACGTGATGGTTACAGGACAGGAAGCCGAGCAGACACGAGAAGAGCTGACATGTTTCACTAGGAAATGTTCTTTGTCAGGGCAGCTCCATGACCTAACATCCTCTGGCAATAACCTTTAATTCTATCATTCTAAAATTACAGTGACAACAATATCTGAAATAAAGAGGACAGAAGAGTCGCGAAGCCAGGAAGGCCAACCTGTGACGTTCAGACAGATGCCGGCTGGTGTTCGAACAGTTGTTATTTAAGCAGGAAAGGAGAGCAGACGAATGAGACAGTGAGGACAAATAACTGTCTAGCAGACAAAAATTCAGGAAAAGGTAAGAACAGCGATTGCCAAAGAAACTCTGCGTGACTATCTTCATATGTAACACTCAAATGCTATCTAAAAACTTCTGTTTTTAAGAAATAGATCAACTTATAAAAATTTCATAAATAGGTACAAGGGTCACAGTCCTTCATTCCGGCCAGGCTCTTGCAACAGAATCATTGCTAGTTTAACGTAAGGCAGGTTTGCTAGTTTAACGTACGTACAGGAGATCTCAGGAATCAAAGGGACCTGAGCTTCGTTAAGGTCCTGTAACTTGCAAAAAGAAGACCTGAGATTCACATTTAGAACTGGCTCGAAACGATGTCTGCGCTCCATGAATAGAAAAGGCCTTAAAACACGAGCCCCGTACCTACAATAGAGACAGATGATGGGGTGACATGACCGTGGTCAAGTCTGACCTAAGGAAGGGATCAGTGACATGCAGCCTGCACCTGTGTGGTAAGCAAAATATCATCCGAGTGTACACACGTGCACATGCATACATGTACAGACAATCACACAGACAGACACATGCATGGTTCTCACAAGACTCCCATATGAAAAAGTCATACCATTATCCCCTACTACCAGATTGCAAACTGAGAATGTGAGAGCAAGGAGATAAGAGCCAATCACTAGGAGAGCTGTGACCCAAAGTCTGATCTTTCTGCCCTCAGGCTGTCTCAGTTTCTCCACTTGTAAAGCAGGGACCGTAATAACAAAAGAACCTTTCTTGAGAACGTCCTGAAATAATTAAATGACATGGTGCCTTTTAGTCAGCACGCCCTAGTAAGAGTCAAGTGCGACTACAGAAGAGTCTACAGACCCTTGTTATTTGTTTACACTCAAGAGTAATATCAACTTCACGGAAGAACCAGGTTCAGCCCCTGGAATGACTGTGAACGGCACTGTATTAACCTCATTCCGCTATCTCAGCCCTTCGCATTCAGTCCTCACTGAGAGGCTCTCAAGGGCTGTGGCAGCTCGCTTCACCGCTGAAACGAGTAGCCAGCACAGTGCTGCGTACACTGTACATGTGAATACATTTTCATTTCATGAATTAATGGAGTGCTATAGTGGTATTTAGATTTCCAGAAAGGAAATCTGTACAAGGAGACTAGACATTCAACTGAGCAGAAAAAAATAACTTTAATGGCAAATTACTGATTTTTTTTTTTAAACAGTCCTTGTTCTTCTCCCTTATTCTTTGATGCCATACACACGGCCATTATGAAACAGAAGAGAACTCCCCAATCTCTCCAGGCAGTACTAGAAGGTATCGATTTCGGTCTTGCTATTTTCTGAGAGGTGAACAGGTCGGGAGCAGCAGTAAAATCCGTTTCCATCTTTACCCCACAGAGGCTGCCCTGCTGGCAACAGAGCGTGACCTCACATCAAGCCCCCTGACCCCTCATTTCCAAGTGCTCGCTCTGTTTGGGTCCTCCCTGTCCTGTGTTATCATAACCTCTGCAATCAGATCAGTTACCTCCCCGCTTCAAATTCCTCAGCGGCTCACCATTGTTTTCAGGACAAAATTCAAATTCCTCTGAGCAGCTTACAGGGTTCTGCATCATTTGCTTCTCTTCTTACCTTCCTCTCCAGTGTTCCCCTTGCCACTCTCAGCCCCTCCCTCAGTACCCCAAACCCCTATCCCTTCACCCCTCCCTCAGTACCCCAAACCCCTATCCCCTCACCCCTCCACCAGTGCCCCACACACCCCACCCTCAATCCTCTGTCTCCTGCCTTTGCACCTCCTATTTTCACCGTTGGGAAAACTCTCCCCAGTTCTTCAACCTCATGCTTGATACACAGTAAGAACCCAATAAACGTCTTTTTAATGGTTGATCATTTTCCTTTAAAAATCTCGGGTATGCATTAGGTGACAATACATCAACGGCTGGAACTTAGAAATCCCCATTCCACGCTAGCATCAAAACGAGTTCCCTTGCACGCATGCGCGTGCCCACTCCCGGAGGGTGGCACTGCACTCCTACCTCATGCTTCATCTGGAAGTTCTGCACGAGGTTGAGGTCGGTGAACATGCGAATTGTGCACAGCGCCGTCTCCAGGTCCGACAGCTCAAAGTCGCTGAAGCTGAAGTCGGTGATCTTAAGGGTCTGGGCGGATGGCACCACAGCAGCCTTGGGTGAGAGGAGGAGAAAATGAACCAAGCTGTACATCAAGGCAGCGGCGAGGATTCACAGAGCTCTCTCACTGCCACAGGGCGACAGCCGCGGCGCTTACTTTTTCTTTTGAATGTCATATACTAGAAACCTTTTCATATAGGACCTACTGCCGTATTTTTAAACTGAGCCACAAGGTTCCAGGGAAGCCAGGTGGAGGGGACAGGGTGACTGTGCTGACACTGTGCCTAGAATGGGCCAGGGCTAAGGACTCCCCAGTCTTATTCACAGTCAGTAATTATTCTGGACCCAGTACTGTGGGGACCAGGACAGTGATTGTGTTGTAAGCATTTTACATTTAATTCTCACACCACCTAGGAAGCGGACACGCCGGCTCCATTTTTCAGGCAGAGTCTTACACACAGAGGTTAATTCCTCACCCGTGGAGGCCCCACGAGTGAGGGAATGGCACCCGGCTTCCACCGCAGGCTGACCGCCCTGCTCTCATCTTAGACACGCTCTGCTCGGAGGCCAGCAGAACACACTTCACCCAGGCCCGCTCGCAGGATCACCTGGGGTGCCTATTCAATGCTCGGGGAGTCGCCTCAGGTCTGGGATGGGTCTTGAGAAGCCAGTTTTGATTTTTTGGAGGGTTTTTAAAAATTATCATCCTTAGTCTTGATTTGATAATCATTTAATTGTAGTTAACACCCACAGTTTCTTCAAATATACCTTGTTCTTTTTCATCAATGTCCCTTCGTATGCCCTGTTTCTCCGGGAAGCACCTATTCTCTGTAACTGATAGGCTCCTTAAGGCACAGTTCCCATCCAAAGCGGGTCAGATGCCCTGCAGAGCTGACCACCGCCACCTTGGGAAGACCTGTGAAACGACACCAATTCCCTCGGCTGGACTTCCCTGCCTCCTAAGCACACCAGCATCTACAGCAGACTGTATCTTACACATCTTCATATCCACTGCGACTACTGATGGAGACAGCTTTGATATGTGTTAATATGAATACGTACTTATCAAGTGAATGGGAGATAAAAGTCTCATTTCCTTCACTTCCTTTTCATTATAAGTTCCAGTTTGAAGGTCTCCACATCTCCTAGGAGGGTGAAGCCCTTAACCGGGGCTGGAAAACCGGCCGGCCTAACAAGTGCCCTCCCGTCTCTTTTGTTTGGTACTGAATGTTTGGGGAAAATCACCAAATTTGTTATACTGTCTAAAAATGGGGAGGGTTTAAACAAAAATAGATTTCTGGCTTCTCCTGAAAAATCGGGCCACCCTGAGCCCCGACACCCACAAAGCAACACTGGCCACTGCCCAGGGGCCCTGGCTGCCCAGACAGGCCAGCTGGGGGTTCTCTCCTGGCCTTCCGGAGGCCAGCCTTGGGGCTCAGTGCTTGCAGGAACGCCCCCACCCCCACCCCCGCCCCTGGGCCATCCCCCGGCTAGCACTGCTTTAGCCAGATCCAAGTCACCTGATGGAAACAGGTTTCAGCTTGGTGCACGGCAGAGGGAAGAAAAATTAAGAAATCTGAACCAGGTTCCTTCCATGTAATGGTTTTCTCCTTGACTCTTGCCAAACCCCTTAGGTTTCCTGTGTCTGGGACATAACTACTGTGCTTTACTTCCATCTTTTGTGAAGTAAAAAGGTCAAAGTAAAACAACTGACGGAGCCATCTAGAGCTTTTGCTATCCACCCGAGGGTGCCTGCACCCTCTCATCTTGACCTTAGCATGTGACTTACATACACCAGAAGTGTTTAACCTTTGAATGTCCCCCTCTTTAGCCTCCAAACGAAGAATCTTTTCCCAAGCCCCACATTCACAAGAAAATCTGCATTCTATTAAGTCAATCCCACAGGCGAATGTGTGGGCTGAAACAGGGGAAGAGGGGGTTTAAAATGTTTAGATACAGGGCTTCCTTTTTACACCAGCCCCCAGCATCAGAGTGGGAGAGGTCCGCTTACAGCGCTCGGAAGTGTGGAGGTGGGAATAAGCCGCCTCCCAGCTCTCATCAGAGGACAGCTGCTCCCCATCCACACAGCGCTGGACAGAGAGCAGATGTTTTTCCTTAGGGCATCATTATTCTTGCAGGAGGAAGTTTTCTTTCTTTCCTTCCACAAAGGATGTTCTAAACGCTACAGGATAAAGACTGCCAACACAGCTTGTGCCTCTCCACCCGACACTAACGCCAGCCCCTCTCCCCTGAAAAGCATCTTTTGCTTGTTCAGCCTTTCTGAGCTGACCTCTCGGGGCCAGGCAAACACGTCCCTTCAGAACCTTGTGGTCAGTGATACAGAGGTTCACAATTTTGGGGATCAATGACTAACCAGCCACGAGAAAGTCACGTATCTTGTAAAGCACTCTGACCATCAGGAGAGAATTCAACTTTTCGTCTGCTGTGGGCGAGCTTGGGATAAAGGTGACTTTAAATTCTGCTCACCACCTCATATGATCCATGCTGCCTGTCCCTCCACAGGACGGCACGGCGCCATGAATCCTCAGGCATCACGATTAGATCTTTTAGTGCTTAATTCAAAGAGTTAGGCCCTCCTAGAGCGGGCCGTTTCAATGTGTGTCAGATTAACCAAATACGGAAAGCAAGAAATGCACAAAGCTCATTGGGTTAAAGATTCAGCCTGGAGTAAAGCTTGGTAGTATAACCTCATTTTTCTTCTGAGTTCTTTAATTGTATCTGCCACTCACACCAATGAAGAAGCTATTTGCCTTTCGTGACTCTTCAGAGGGAATTCTTCCTTTAAATCACTTTTCTATGACTCATTTCCTAATGCCTTTCGCCAATCTTGCAAAAATTAAAAAAACAAACAACCAACGCTAGAAGTGAGATCCACTGACATATTGTTGGGAGAAGGGTTGGAACGGATTGAAGGAAGCAGGATTCAGAGTTATAACAATGTTTTGATTTCTCAGTGATCCTCAAAACCAGTTGTCCTGAATACCAGCTGACTGACAGTAATTAAATAAACTGACCACCAGCTGACAAAATCCTACAGCATTCACCACATTTGCATTTCATCGTTAGACAACGATCGTGACGAGAGAAACTCACAAGCCGGGTGACGCACATAGTAAGAGGAACATTTGCTTTTGGGGTCCAGGCCCGACATACCACTGTCACCCTGAGCTAGACGTCCATGCCTCTGCCTATGTCCTCACTTATAAAACCAGGTTGGATTAGACCATCTCCAAGGTTTAATATTCTGAGTTTACGGCCCACGTTTCTCTGTGTCCACAGGACTCCGGAATTGCTTCCGGCCCTCTCACTCTGGAAGCTAACACCACCCTGAGTGGCATCTAAATCTCGCCAGTGACCTTCCAGAACAGTGCCAAGCTCTGCCTCTCACTCTGTCAGCGCTGAAGGTACATGGACGGGTGGCCCTTAGCTGCTATGGTGATGTGGTATTTTTCATGTCTGTTTCCACCCACAGTTTTCCACTTTTAGCAGCTGTGGTTGGAAGTTACTTACAATGGTCAATTCTAGATTATTTCCTTCAAGTAGAGAATTGGTTATACTTTATCAACAGGAGTTTACTTTGTTCTTACAACACATGGCGCATTTTTCTTCCCAGAAGTTTCACACCTACTGTTCTACTGAAGCTAATTTACAAGTGAGTGTCAGCTTTCTTGAGGGCACATTATCAGAGTGGCCTGAGCAGGTAACTCCGAATGCGACAGGGAACATAAAGGTCTCAGTGCGGCTGCCGTGAGATTCTGAGAATGGCGTTCCAGCTACCACTAACAGCACTGACCCTTAATGGGGTGTGTGCACCAGGAGCTCTAGTCGCTACAAGTCTGGGAGCCCAATTCTTTATTGTGCTCTTTTTGTGGGCGGAGAGACTGAGGCACAGGGCAGTCACATATTCACCTGTGATCGCAGGACTGGAATTTCAACTGAGACGTCTCTCTCTAGACCCATGTTCTTGACCATCACACTGCATTCACGGAAATCAAAGCTGGCAACGAAAATGCATCCCAGTATCCTGGGCAGGTCTGCGCTCTCCCCAGTTAGCAGGTGGTTGTATATATTTAATCAGCTATGACATTATTTCTAGCTTCATAACCGTCTTACAGAAAAAGCAGAATCTTGTTGAATGCACTGAAGGAGCTTGAGCTGTGTTAGTTCATGCTAGATTATAGGCTTTCCAAAAGTCTGGATTTTCCAGAATCTACTGATTGATTGATTTATTCATTCAATCACTCAACAAAATGTGTAAACCAGGCTCTTGTTAAGCAATCACTAAATAACAGCTATTATTATTATTATTATTACTATTATTATGACTCAAGAACTAATAGCTTGACGGAGATGGCAGACACGTGATTGAAATACATAGCTTACGTGCAGTAAGTAACACAAGCACGTTGGTCATTTGCCCAAGTGGTTCCTGACAAGACCACGACAGAGAAGCGAGTGCACATTTCACGACTTCCTTTAGTCGCTTGTGGTGGTTAACTGTGTGTCCGTTTGACTGGCCCTGGGGTGCCTGGATTAGACATTAGCTCTGGTGTGTCTGTGAGGGTGTTTCTGGGTGAGATCAGTCCTGGAATCCATGGGCTCAGTAAAGTGGATTGTGCGCCCCATGTGGGTGGGCATCATGCCGTCCACTGGGGGCCTGGATGGGACAAAAGGCAGAGGAAGGGAGAACGTGCCCCTGCCTGCTTCCTACCTGCCTGCTTGAGCGGGGACATCTCAGCTCAGCTCAGGTGCTCCGAAGTGATTTCAACCATCAGCTCACCTGTTCTCAGGCCTTCAGACTCACATTGAATGTCCCAGCAGCGTTGCCGGGTCTCCAGCTTAGAGATGGCAGATGGCTGGAATTCTCAGCTCCTGTCATTGCGTGAGCCAATTCCTCAGAAAAATCTCCTTCGAGATCTATGTCCTGCTGGTTCTGTGTCTCTGCAGAACCCTGACTAGCTGTCCCCTGTTTTTCTCAAGTTGAGGAGCATCTATCCCGACCTTTCCCAGTCCTTACGTAAGACCAACGAGGC